GCAGTATAAGCAGTAATAGTAGGTTTAGTATCAATAGCAGTAGACAGCAGCTACTATTCTGTTAGCTATAGTAGTATGTGTAATCACTAGTGTAGTTGTTGTAGTAATCAGAGCTGTAGATCTACTAGTAGTGTGAGAGTAGGAGTCTCAGTTGTAGTACGAGATGTACGAGATATATCCGTAGGGAGACACAGAATGTCTGATATACACACTGAAGTTTTTAATTAATAGGCCTCATCACAGACATTACAGTAAAAATTCCCTCCATGGCGCTTTTATTTTGAAATTATTGGATTGGGTGGGGTGGGGGGGTGTAGATAGAGGGAGGGAGGGTGAGAGGGTGAGGAAGGGAGGGGTGGTGAGGAAGAGATAGAGGGAGAGAGAGAGAGAGGAGAGATAGACAGACATACTGACTGAGAGTGATTAACAGTGAGCAGAGGTCAGGGTGGAGGGGGGAGGGGGGGCGAGTGTCTTTATCATATTGGTCTGTTGACAGAAAGCATAGCTGCGTCATGTGACTCCACTAATCAGGTCACAAGGAGCAGCTGTGAGCCACAGACAGATCCTGCAGCGTGTGAGTGCTCGTAACCACGACAACGGCGCACCTGTGCGGCTGCAAAAGGGGAGACATGGCAGCTAGTTACACAGAATCCACACCTCAGACAAATGGGAACCAGCGAAAAACTATAACAGCTATCTAAAAAATACGGCGTTTGTATGAGACCCAAGACTCTACCGAACGCGTGGATGTGCTTTTTATGTCTGTCCGGTAATAAATACGGCTCCTATGGCCGTTGACAGAACGTGTACCTTGTGGATTTTTGTGAGAAATATGTCGGCAGATTTGTATTGGAGCCTATGGGGCTTTTGGCAGAGGTTGTGTCACTCAAACACTCCTTGCGCCAAAACTAAAAAACTCTGGGATTCCATGAACACATTAATCCAATCAGCACAACCATACCCTCATTAATCTGAAGAAATGAAGCCTCTAGAGTGTATACTTTGGCTGCAAGGACAGAAGTTCCATACTTTTTTAACCAGATTTCTGCGCTGCTTCAGCCTCTAGCCCGCGAGCTCTCCACTCTAGCAGACGCAATACACACTCATGTAAAAGTCAGAAACGGAGCGAAGAACTAGTGAAACATAATCAGTGATTATGAAAAAAGTACAATAGATATCAAGAAGCAGTTTTTTTCATAAAATAGTTGAGACTTGTGTGAACATTTGAGAGTTGAAATGGTGTCTGTAGCTGAAAGATTGGCGAAGCTGAAAAATCTGAAAGTTGAAGAAGTTTAGGAGGATTTGAAAGCAAACTCCATTTGAAAACCATGTTAAAATATTAACGATTATTGATTTATATAAATTCAAGCATAAGAGGTAGAAAGCTGAAAAGTCATAGCCCTCAAGCCAGAAAGGAGCTGAACATTTTAATATTTGAAGGATTTTAATAGCTGAAAATGTGAAGGAGTTGAAAGGCGGCGCGGAAGAAATAGAAGAAAAATAATAAGTCGGAAATAAAGATTCGAAGAACAATACTTGGAATGCATCTCAATGCATTCCAACAATTAAGACGCCTTGGAGATCTCAATGGTGATTGGCCGAGACTCGACACGTCACATCATGTGTTTTACTGCGAAGATCACGACATCATCTTCAGTCCTCGCCTCAATCCACTCTCAGAAACCGAGCCTGTGTGTGTGTGTGTGTGTGTGTGTGTGTATGTGTGTGTGTGTGTATGTGTGTGTGTGTGTGTACCTGCTGCTCGATCAGCATCGCTCTCTTGGCTCCTAGTTTGAGCAGTTTGTCCGGGGACGGAAAGCTGAGGAAGGAGTAGACGTCTGGCGGCCGGGATACGGGCGCAGGGGTGGACACCTATGAGGGGAGAAAATAAAGTAAAGTCAGCAGCAAATAAATGCGTTCACACGACAACAGCCAGTGAGGCCTTCAGAGTTCGTCATCTATTCAGTGGAAATAGTCACTGTTGTACTACAAGATGTTGACAAAAAAAATGCACACGCAGCTTCGTTTACTCCATTGATTCTGCCTCATTTCAGGGCAGATATTGATCAAAACCTGGAGGAACTGAACCGGTTCCAGCCTTTCAGCTCTTGTTAAGAAATATCTTATCAAAGGCAGTGACTGTGGCTGCTGTCAAACAAACCAGTGACTGATTAAATAATTGTGTAAAACGTTTACACGAGGATCTATAATTGATGTAATGTTATTTGGTCTATGGCCCTTTCCTTGAAGCTGCAGCATCATCATAACATCATTGAAGAACAAATGCAGAGGCCCTAATGTTGTCTTTGAATTTTTAGGGTGTAAAACTGTACCAGGTTTAGGAAAAAATTATGACATAAAGGCGGAATAAAGGAGAACATATATGAAAGATTACTCATTTATCCAGAGCGTAGCAACTTGATAGATCTCATAGAACCTGAAGGCTTTGAATGCAATCCTCAGAACTTATAGTTCGAGGAACTTTAAATGAACTTTGAATCACAATGTATCATGAATGCGTACAGAGATGTGCAGCAACACATTCGTTTGGGGTCATTTTTTGCTTCGGTGCCACACATCATCACCACATATTTATCTGACCTTGATACCACTGCTTTCTTCTTCCTCCTCCTCCTCTTCTTCTTCCTCCTCCTCCATTTCCTCCTCATCCACATCCTCGTCTTCATCCTCATCGTCCTCATCGTTCACGTCATCATCATCCTCATCATCCTCTGGCACGCCCTCGTCGTCACTGAGACAAATTAAAAAGCACTTCAGTGAGAGGAGAACGTCTCTTGGGGCAGTTTGTTGCACCTGATGTGACTGAAGTAAATGTATCAAACAGTAGAGCATGAATAGAAACGCAGACATGGGCTTTTGGCCCCCACGAGTAAGACAAGGACACACGGGTTCAGAGAGGATGTACAGTTTTCCATATGTGGGCCACAGGAGTGTGTGTGAGTACGGCGTGATTACCTGAGCGATCCTAGAAGCTGGCCAATCTTCATGGCCTCCATGGCGTCTTTCAGAGTTTGGCAGCCGTCCTCTCCTAGACTGTTACCTGAAAATGACATCATTTTAACCAGGCAGGGAAGATACATTAAAACAAACAAATCAAAGTCTACAAACGAGGAGTTTTTTACCATTTAGATCCAGTTTCTCCAACTTTTCTCTGCCCCTCACCGCTCGTGCCACAGCCAGAGCGGCATCTTCCGTAATCTCGCCAAATGACAGATTGAGTTCCTGTGAACAGAATAGTCAGTAAAGAAGACAAATGGAGGGACATGAGCTTTTCAAAATAAATGACTATAGCAATGAAGTGTTGTTCCTCTGACTAACCCTGAGGATCGGTAGTCCCTCTGAAACAGCCTCTGCAATGGCTACGGCTCCTGCTGGCCGCACCAGACAGTCGCCAAAGTTTATCACCTGGATGTTGCGTAGGTGTTTCAGCGCCTGAGGAGAACGCAAATATCATTTGCTACAGCCTTGAAGCATCGAGGGGTATTATTGGTAGAACTGTAGTAAAAACGATGGTGACGGACAAATTGGTGGTGGATTTCTTTTTATCAACAAGTAAAAGATACAAAGTATAACTGAATATGGTAAATACGGTCATGGCTGTAATACAGATGATTATTAACTGTGTGTACAAATCAATAGTATATTTTAAACGTCAGCCCTGTGCTAGAATATGGTGTAGAACTGCAGGTGTATATTAATACAAATACTACATCTTATATTAAAACATTCCTGCTAAACGTGGCCTAAAATGATTGCAACTGCTTTATATCATATATCTTTATATCTTATATTTACACAGGGGTATAAATACAACAACAATGACGACTTTAAGGCGGAAAAACAAAATGTAACTTTGAAACCAGATTTGTGCTTAAATGGTTTGTGAATGAGGCTCTCCCATACATTCCATTAGGTCGATGTACCTGAGCCATGGCGATAGCCCCCTTCTCAGTGAAGGTGTTGTCGTTGAGGTTGAGGATGCGGAGCGCTGAGTTGTGTTGCATGGCTTTGGCCAAAGCGGTCACCCCCGGGTGATTGATGCCATTCTGAGGCATGTGAACCTCCTCCAGGCTGCCCATCAACTGAGAACACAAATTGTAACCCAAAGATTAAAACACACAGTCAATCCGAAGGTTGTTGGAAGGTCACGGGGGTCCTTGGTCCGGTACCTGGAAGGCTTGAGCGAGGGCAGTGGCTGCATCGTTCTCCAGGCGGTTCCTCCCTGCAACAAACACCTTGAGGCCGAGCGGAGCGCCCTCTGCACTGGACTTTTTATGGCACTGGATCAAAGACGCAGCCAAGATCTGAGCAGTCCAACAACACAGATGGGACATTTCACAGCTGTTTCTACAGCCAGAATAGTACTTTCATTCTAGCTGCTATGAAATTAATTATGAGATATCTTTTTCTCTCTCTCAACAAATAACTTTCCCGGCTTTTTTACCTTCCCCTGTTGTGGAAGTGTACCTAATAACGTAACGACTGAGTGCACGCGTCTCATTTTAAAAAGGCGTTCTCATGAATTACCTTTCCCCCTCCAATGCCCATGCCACAGTTGTTGAGACGTAACTCCTGCAACGTGTAGCACGCCGTGCTCTTGAGCAACTTCTCGATTCCCTTCACCCCATCAGGCCCGAAGGCGTTGTCACTGAGATCTAAGACGGTGAGCCGGGCCCCTGCCAGCATCACGGCGTCACCCAGGGAATTCTACAGCACCCGGAGGGAAAGGAACCAAACGACAGGACACGTGGGGCAGTGCACCAATAAGAAAGACAACATAGTTACAACATTGTAATCATTGAGGAGTAGAGCCAGACGTAGAAAGTATGCAATATATCAACACATTTTGACTGCCAGCCTTGAATAAACTAAAGAAAGTGCATTACCAAGGCAGCCGGGATCTCAGAGCGCAGACGCCCTGTGAACATGTCACTCCAGTAACAGCGCTGAAAGAGAGAGAAGAAACAATGTCAGCACTACATTATATAGGAAACAAAAGTTGAATATGCTGTTTTTATTTTCGTTATTAGTGCTAATACAAAAATAACAATTCATTGCACAAGAAAAAAATAATCTGCCAATATGTCAATGATTACAAGCAAGATCATAAAAAATGAATATGTGTTGCTTTTCATGCCTTATGTAACGTACAAGTAATTACTTTAGTTTTTAATTATTGCTCAGACCAAATCCCGGCTATTTGCTGACGTCCTGTTGGGTTTATGGGTGGGGATTATTTACCATCTGCTGATACTCCATAGACCAGCTTATGTTTATCAAGTAAGATAAGACAAGACATTTCTCAGAAAAACACTGTGAACCTTGAACATGCTCTTTGTCTCTAGGGCCTTGGCGATGGCCTTTGCTGCCTCCACCCCTACGGTGTTTCCCTCCAACCTCAGGGCCTGCAAATCTTCAAATTCCTCGATCTCCTTAACCATGTCCGCCACTGGAGAGCGGGAAGAGAGCGAGGGGTTAAGACTTTGTGAAAGGAAAACCCAGACCCCTGCGTTCAAAGTGATGCCTTACACTCACCTGACTGGGCATCATCCAGCTTTCTCCCCTGTCCTTTGTAGCTCAGCTCTACTTCCACCACTCCGGTCTTAGCCAGAGAGTCGGTCAACTGGGCAACACCGTCCGCAGCCATCTGCACACCCGGGGAATACACACAGCGTGTCTTTTTATTCTGCTTCACAATGACACTGTTGTCCAGTTTACTCTGCACAACTTACTGATCAGGAATTAAAACACAGACCACAGAGAGCAAACATACGGGTGTTTGGGATAGGAATGTATGGACATTTGGTATAGCAACTGCTTCCTGTTTTACTGGAATATTTTCTACTTAACTGGTGTTTTACTACTGGGTGAATCCACCACAAAATAATATTTAATTGCAGTAAATACATTGCAGCTCTGGAAGAATTAATGGTTTTCTACATATCTCGTGCAGGGAATGACATACATTTAATCGTAAATTCTGGGACAAATCGCTCACTACCTCGTGTGCAATTCAACGTTAGCTCTCTGTATTTAACGTTACATTGAAAGGAGTTGGGAACTTGTTGAAGCCAGCCACTAATGCGAAGCCCACGTCTACACAACCATAACACGAGCTTAACTCGCAATGTTCCTTCAACCCATGAACGCAGGCGCCGCGTCTCCTACACGCTGACCGGATCTAACGGTGCATCCTGAGACCTGAATGTTGTTTTGGGGTGGATTTTCTTCTGTGGGCTGCCCGGTTAGCTTTAGCCGGGTGCTGCGAACGTTAAGCTAACACACCAAAACGGTTGGAAGCCAGTGGAGCTTGAACGTTGACAGCAGTCGTTTTAAGAACACATTACGTGCTTATTTGGTAGCTAGTTAACACGTTTATTCCGTCGGTTGCAGTATTATGAAATATGTTTTATCGGTGTCAGCTAACGTTAGTTAGCTCGCACCGGTAACGTTACGTGGGACCGAGCGTGGCGCTCACTCGGCCTCTCCAGTCGGCCATGTGAAAACCGCTGACTAACGTTAAAGTTTGTATTAGTCACCCCTCGTTATTACGGAATCTTTAACCCAACAGACATTGATTGTCGCATTACCGCAAAACAGCTGTACTTATTGAATCCGGTCCTGTCACACACTCCCGCTCGCTCTCTGCGTTCAAAACCGAACCCAGCACTTCACCCGAGCTGAGCAGCAGAGCGGCGCGAGACAAGGGACTTGTAGTTCTACTGGACTACATCGCTGCGTGAGGCTCTGACGTTCAACGCGTCATCAGTCCGTGAGCACGATGGAGGACGATGAGGCCAAAATGCCAAATGTAATCATGCAGATAATAAAAAACAAACATTAATTACCAACAACATTTACAGACGTATACATCAATTAGATTTTTGTGTGTGGCTAGTATAGTTGTTGCTTTTTATATTCTTTAATAAAGCCGAACTGCCAGGCACCACTTTGATCGTTATGCCGTTAATTAACGTACCGGTGTCATAGTATCAAATAAATTACAAAGTGAAATGAAGATTAAAAGCACGTTGTGAAGTGCCGACGGAGGACGCGCGCGAGTAGGCGGGCCCTGTGGTGTAAACAGGAAGCGGTGCCTGACAGACTGAACTCGGCCCCCCCCGAACACAGCGGCCCGTTAAAGGGCCAGTGAGGATGTCGGCAGTTTGCTCGTGGATGCACTGGTGCTGCTGGGAATCGAAACTTAACCGGGAGTTGAAGTCAAGAGGCGGAGAGCCTCGACGGGTCTCTCCCTCCTCGGCCCCAGAAAACTGCTCCGTGTCACCGCCATCGGGCGCTGGACGACTTCAAAACTTCTGTTTGGTTCAATGAACTCTTCTCTTCTACCGGTAGGTGTGTCTATTTGCGCCATGATAGCGAGGGACACCTACGGGAGGGGGTCAGGGGCTTGATTTGTTTCTTTTTTGGTGGGGGGGGGTGTAAATTTATTTGAAAACGGAATAAACACCAAGTCGGATCCGGTGTCTGCACGAGGTGACAAAGCCTCTTCTTGCGTGGCTTACTGCTGCCGAAGGAAGTGGCTTCACGCCAGTTCCAGGTCACACCCGACCCCAAACAGCACATCGGGGTCGGGGTTGGCTACTAAATTCGCTTTTCTGCCCCCCTCAGATAACGAGGATGGACGCTGGCAGACAGAAACGCAAGCAGGAGATCCGGGACTCCCTGAAGTTCATACAGTGAGACGCACTTTTGGTTCTTTTGAGTTCACCAGATAGAAAGTGAAACCAGCTGTCTCTTCACTTTTTCTGAGCAAGTTTCCCTCTGGTGTTCCAGGTCTTCGCTGGCTTATCCAGAGCCTGAGGGCTACCAGGTACCACCTGCTGACACACGCACACTGTCGTGTCTGTATCTTCACTCTTCAGCTCTTCTATCTGGTCATCGGCTGTTGATGAAATCACACACACCTCCTCGCTGTCTTTTGTCTCCTGACACCTCTCAGTTCCCTCCGGGCTGCGTGCACGATCCAGGACAGGCCTCTTTCTCACATATTTGGCCCGTTTTCTTCCTGGTGACCGCCTTGCTCTCCAGATCTTTTTCATGTCTGTCTTGATACTAACAATGCTCACAATACTCACTCTGAAATATAAACTGGTTGCTGTAATCATTCCTCTTGTTCACAACTAGCTGCATTGTCCCCAGAGGATGAAAGTTCCTGATACTGACACCATAGATTAGATTGATATTCTTGTTTTTAAGTCTGTTTTAAATGTCTAACTAATTAATGGATTACCACACCTTTCGTGACCTGGTGAATGTTTAAACTATTTTCTAAACCGATCCAATCGGGGATCGGTTCCGGCTCAGTGTGAGCGGGACGAATGTTTACATCAACCCATATGATGGCCGTCGGGGTGTTTTTTGAATAAACAATATTCAGGACATGGCCCGATGTTTTTGGAACATATCACACACCTTTTGCACCCCCCCCATCCCCCTACCAGGACTTCCTTACCCGGTTAGTCTGCAACCTGCTGGATGAGGGCAACATGTCGTTCAGAGACCGTGACTGGAATCAGGCGCTGAGAGACTTCAGTGAAGGCTTGAACGTCTCGAGCTACGCTGCGGCGGAGGAGATCCAGATCCCCGACGCTCTGCTGGAGAGCCTGTACGTCAACCGGGCAGCCGCCTTCCACAGCGTGGTGAGACACAGCCGCTGGTCCTGGCACGCCGCGTCCGCTTTGCAAACTGCAGCTCGTGCAGACACTTGAAGTTTGTCAAATGACCTGCAGCTACGATTCGGGCTATTAAGGGCTGTGACGAAGGCTTCTCCAAACCCAAACCCGATCGGTGCATCAGTCAGTCAGTAAAAGGGAATCTGCCTATAATGATAATAGCAGGTTAAGTTTGTTTTCAACCTCCCACAACTTGGTTTGTGAAATCCGGTAACGTACCAGCGGTTAGACATGATACAATGCGTTCAAGGGAAGGTCAAAGAGCGCGTACGGGGGAAGCCAGGTGTAAATATTAAAGTAAAATGTTACAGGCAAAATAATTAATTTAATCATAGATGGTGTTAATAAGTCGATGGCAATAACGGGCTTTAAGAAACCGTCCACACACTACAGCTAGAAACAGAATTCTGACGGATAATGAATGGGCGATTGGCTCGGCTTGTATCTGTCCTGTCTTCTCATCGGCCGTGTTCCTCCCCCCAGGGGGAGTACGAGCGAGGCGTGATGGACTGCGACATGGCTCTGACAGTGTGCAAGGAGAGCCGCAGGGCGCTGTACAGGAAGGCGCTGTGCTTGAAGGAGCTCGGGAAGTACAAGGAGGCCTACAACTGCACCACCAGCTGCATGCTCGATACTCGCCTGGTAATGACGAGACACACGCGGGTCCCGAGAAATCGATCCAACATAAATCAACAGCAGTTTCGTAATGACCTTCACCTCAGCTCTACACATCGTTTGTCTTTTGTGCTCTTTAGCTAAAGGGAACGCTGGCAGTGGAAAAAAGTCACTAGACATGGTACATGTCAGACCTGTACTGTAACTTGTGCAATGTGTTAATCTGTTCTTTGTCTGTTAAACTCCCAACAGGACAAACGGGTGAATGAGCTGGCACTGGAGCTGGCCATCCACCTGGGACTGAAAAATCGGAAACCATATGTTGGCATAAAGGTTAGTAAAATAATGAGGTTTTACTTTTTGTTTCACTGAAGATAAGAAGCAGTCTCGGGGTGGGAATGGATCTGCACACACCGCCATGTCAAATCCCTTGTATGTCGAACATATTCTGGCAATAAATGTCCCTGATTCCTGATATAATCTTTGTAATTTCAAACTGATGCATCAATCTACACTTCAAAAAGTGATTTGTTTCCATCTATTTTTGATTGAATCCTTAAACTCTGTGATGCAGTGTAAAGTAAATGGTTAACCAGGTTTCCGTATATATGTTGTAAAATAATGTCCATAAGAGAGTTTATGACCTTTTGAACTGACATGTGGTATTTTCGGATATAACAAACAAATGTTCAGGATGATTTTTGAAGTAAGATCTGAATATTTTCCCAAGGAGATCATGTTGTAAAGTTTTTAGTGTGTGTGTGTGCGTGTGTGTGTGTGTGTGTGTGTGTGTGTGTGTGTGTGTGTGTGTGTGTGTAACGCTTTGAGTAGCCTTGATGAATGACCTGTATGTGTTTCAACGCTGCTCCATGCTTGCAAGTATTGTCGAGTCGAGTAACATTTTTCTAACACTACCAAAGGCATTTCTCCGTGCATAATTAACCGTATTACGTAACTCCAATGAAGACCTGGTGCAGATTTGTGTCCCTCATGTTGAGTCTCTCATTGTGTCTCTCCCAGGAAGAAGGACTTTTCAGGACAGATGTTGTGAATGGAAACATGACTGAAGCTATCAAAGCAAGTTCTATTTTTCTGTAGCTTTTAATACCTAAAGAATAAATCAAACCCACAATATTTACTGAACTTGATTTAGTTTTTTCCCTCTCCCTTCCAGGTGTCTGGTGCCCATGTAGGAAACGGCGTGAATCCTCTGAGTGGCGTTGCACCAGGTGTGAATTTTTCACTTTGACCTGTTCAGAGTTGTGTCCCCAAACCAGTACCGGCAACGTGTCTGTCCCACACGTGTTTGGTTTCCTTTCATGAAGATCTTGAGATATGTGTTCGAAAAATAAGTAAAATGTCCCTACTGCTTCTCTGCAGTTAGTTTTCCCAGCATGCCTCAGTGCTCCATTCCCTCCCCAGCTCCCTGCTCCCACCAACCCAACGTCTCTTCAGCACCCGGCGCGGCGGACAGTGTGGAGGACTCCGAGCTGATGGGAGATGATTTGGACAGCCTGCTCGACTGCTTCCCCAACGGCACCGAGCCACCTGAGGTTGATTGGATTTTTTTACATTGAAAATAAATGGTCATGTCATTTACAGTTGCTTCATGATTCAGAGATGAATTGTAAAGAAACCAAAACGATGAACTGAAAAAAAGGATACTGAGGAGTCGGGTGACAATCCTCGATGAGGTCATCACTACGAGTGTCCCCGTAGTAAATTGATCTGTTTTAAAGTAATTCTATCTTCATAAACGTAACAGAACCATGTTGAAATGGCTCAAAACCTTTAAATATATTTCTGGAACAAAGTCCCAGAAAGCTGCAGGTCTGCTGAGTCTCTCGGGTCTTTTAAATCCAGAATTAAGGCAAGGCAATTTTATTTGTATAGCGCTTTTCATACACAAGGCAGACTCAAAGTGCTTCACATCATAACATTTCATACAATAAAGTGAAATAAAATGCAGGAATTAAAAGACAATTTAAAAACAGCAAATAAAATTATAGATTAAAATCTTATTTCAATTGTTTAATTAAAGGCAGGGGTTAGGGTTAGAAGATCTTAGTGATCTTGAAGGCTTATGTAGTGGAAGCATATCAGTGATATACTTTGGCCCTAAACCATGTAGTGATTTATATGTGAGCAGTAGGATTTTGAAATTAATTCTCTGACATACTGGGAGCCAATGTAAGGATTTCAGAATTGGTGTAATGTGCTCACATTTTTTGGTCTTTGTTAGAACTCTAGCAGCAGCGTTCTGAACAAGCTGGAGCTGCCTGACATTTTTTTTGGAAGACCTGCAAGGAGACCATTACTGATGGTGTTATTCACAGGCTTTGGGGTTTACTTTGAGCTGGAGAGAATAGGAATGAGATTTGTTAGATTAGCAGTGTGTCTAAGTTTCGCCATGTTCAGTCTCTTGGTGGTCACAACAGGAATGCAGAAGGTGCCATGTTTTGACGTAGGCGACCTTGGGTCCAGCTGATAATGCGGTCTACTGCTGAACCCTTTTCTATCTCAGTAATATTCAGGGCTGCTGTCAGGAGGAGGAGGGGGTGGGCCTAAGGGGGGGGGGTGAGCAGCCTCACAGCTGGGATGGATTTGTGGAGGTGGAGGTGGAGCACGTCTTCGTAGAGGTGGGGGGGCAGATTGGCGTAAGATGGCATCCCCGCTGAGATGAGCTGGTGCAGGTGGACGCTGGGGGGGAGGGCGCTGAGGTCGATCTAAGGGAGTAAAAACAGGAGTAGGGCGGGGGTTAAGTGGGGGTAACTCTTGGAACTCCAAGGGGGAGGAGGGGGGAGAAAGAGGGAGACGTGGACCTGGATGGGGGCTCTGGGGGGGTGGGAGAGGGATCCTCACACGTAATGGAAGGAGGGTTGGAGGGGGATGGCAATGGCGCTCCTCCTTCGACGTTTCTGATAAGCTGTGTTTTCTCTTCCTTCTTTGTGGGCTCCTCTTCTTGTCTCGTGTCCTTGGCTGTGGGGACAGATGGATGACGCATGATGTAAAACATGTTGGTAATGAAAAGCTTTGCTCCCATCTTATTCAGGCAAAGTCCATTTGTCTTAAAAAGATGCCTGCGGTCCCAGAAAAAGCTAAAATTGTTGATAGAATGCATTGAACCAACTGCACATGCAGTTAAGAGCCATTTGTTGCCAATTAAGACTTTTCTGTTAGCTGTTGTTTTTAATTGACCATTTCTGCAATTCAGAATTCTTAAACTACACTGCAAGTTTTATTCTATTTTTATTCTTTTTTTTTTTTTTTAAATCTTTCTAACTGACTTTTTAAAAATGTTTCAAATGTTTCAATAAGTGTGAATCTCCTCTCCGGCGGTCACTCCCTACACGCTGCACACACACTTGTCACGTTCTGTTCTCTGGTGCACTTTTAACTTTTTTTTTTTTTTTTTTTTACTTTTTAATTCTTTTTAACTTTAGTTTTAACGTATTTAATTAAAATTCCTCTTGCACTATGTCTTATCTGTCTTGTTGTCCATTGTCTTACTGTTTGCTCTTGTGCACAAGTAAAACTTGTATGTTGTATGACATATTTTGGCAATAAATGTTCCTGATTCCTGATTGCTTTATGTTTTGAAGCACTTTACATTGCCTTGTTGTTAAAATGTGCCATACAAATTAAATCCCACGCTTCTTTCTCCATGTTTTCCAGACCCCCTTCCAGGCAGCGCTCTCAGTCCCACACAGGACCTCCACCTGCGAACGCACCGTCCCTTCTGTGCTGCCCGCCCCGACACCCCAGCTGCCCCCGGCCTTCTTCAGCTCAGCCGTCAGCCACCTCAACTCGCTGGATTTCTTTTCAAGCGACGGCTGCGGCGCTACGACTGGAACCCTGGATGCCCTGGACGACCTCTTGACCCCTGGCCTTGGAGGTGGCGCACGTGCTGCAAACTTGCCGCCGAAAGCCGAGGCTCTGGATGTTCTGGACGGCCTCGATTCCCTGGATGACTTCCTGGATACGATTCCAGCAGGAAGTGAGGCAAAACCGGAACTTGGAAACGTGGAAAAGTCCCTTGATGATTTGCTGGATGAACTCAATCCTCTGGAGAGCGGCTGTGGTCCGCGAGGTGAAGTCCACCAAACTGGTGTGAAAGCCTTGAACGCGCTTGACTCCCTTGATGCCCTGGACTCGTTTCCCTCAGCAGAAGGTGTTGGGGCAGTGTTCTCCGTGGGGGGGGCAGGCCTCGACGCGCTTTCTGATTTCGGCTCAACCGGTGATTATATTTATCAATCAGTGTTGATTCTTTTTTTTTTTTTTTTTTTTTGCTCATTTTTTCAGTAGAACCACTAGTGAAAGCGCACTGTTTTCAAATGAAAAATATCTGCTTATTTGCACATACACTTAATTGTTTATGCCCATATACATGAGAAATGTATGATATGGGTGTAGTGGGTTTTTATAATTTAACTTCGTTAAAGTGCATTTAAGTGCTTCCCCTTTTTATAAAAAACACATTTGTGCCGGGACATATTTCAATATGTCCCTCATTTACTTTATCTCCTGTTAATGTTCCTCAGCGATCACGGACTCTCCGACTGCTGCAGCTCAAGTGATGCGATCTCCAAAGAATAACTACAAGGTAGGACCTTATCGCCTGGCTTCTGTCCCAGCTGGTTGTTGGTCGGCATTAACTGAAATCTCATCCTAACCCTCGGCCACTAAGGAGAAGCACAACCCAGCGCTGGTTGCGACCTCTAACCCGCTGTCCTCCACTCATGAGTTCCTGCAGGCCTGCTCGGCCTGTTTCCCTCGGCTAGGTGAGGCTCCTCTGGGCAAATTTAAAGGAATATCCTTTTCAGGTGGAGGTTCCAAAAATGACTCCCACAAAAAAAACAATACCCCTGTCTTGTGTTTTGTTTTCAGGTCAAGGCATAAACACATTTGTCCACAAGCCCAACCTGGTGCACAGCTGTAGGAGGGACATCCTGTTATGTAGGCTCACGCAGGGTTCTCCTTCGGGTTGGACCAGAGTACGGCCGATTCCCAACTGGAGCTCCTTCACTGGGCCGTTCGTACTTTGCAGAGGTAAGTGACTCGATATCGAATGGATGACGATGTCTTTCAGGTCTTTTAAATCCAGATTAAAGACTTTTGTGTTTGCTGCTGCCTTTAATTGACCGTTTCTGCAATTCAGAATTCTTAAACTACACTGCAAGTTTTATTCTATTTTTAGTCTTTTTTTAAAAATCTTTCTATCTCTCCGCCGGTCACTCCCTTCACGCTGCACACACACACGTGTCACGTTCTGTTCGCTGGTGCACTTTATCTTTAACTTTTTAATTCTTTTTAACTTTAGTTTTAACGTATTTAATTAAAATTCCTCTTGCACTATGTCTTATCTGTCTTGTTGTCCATTGTCTCACTGTCTGCTGTTGTGCACCAACCGCCAAGTCAAACTCCCTTGTATGTCTGACATATTTTGGCAATAAATATTTCTGATTCCTGATTGCTTTATGTTTTGAAGCACTTTGCATTGCCTTGTTGTTATGTGCAATATCGAATGGATGGCGACGTCTTTTCTTGGATTGTTTGTGGTTCACTTCTTGCTTCTTGCACAAAACGCCTTAATCAGGAGAGACCTCTTGAAAAACTTCAGCGTTGCGGTCTAAAGTTATTTGTATCCAGATGTGGACCATAAATGGACATGACATGATCTATGTTGAACTCTTGCAGCAGCGGGAACCCATAAACATTCTTTATACAGACCTTTTGTATTGCAGACAGAGGGGTTCACATCAGGGTTGTCAGCCCTGAGGTGGAGGTCACACATCCCTTTGGCCTTTATGGCCCCGTTAGACTGTTGATTCTGATCTGTGGAGGAAAATCATTGTTAATCATTTGTTGACAGGGTGCAAAAGGGAACAATTGCTCTTTGTGCTCTGCACAAGTAATGTCAGTAATCCGTAATGCGTTTTATTGATAGTAACTGGGAGAGACCCTTGCTGCTGATTTGTAGCACAAACGATTTAATTCATTCAAGCCACAATTCACCATGAAGTCCAAGAAAAAACGATAAATCCAACTCATGATGTCAACCGTGGACGTGTAACAGAGTGAGTTCTGCATTTTTCTTTCCTGTCAGAACTGATAAATTCTGGGGATTTGGGCCTGTGCAAGTATGGAGAGAATTGCACGTTTGCCTACAACCAGCTGGAGATCGACGTTTGGACGGAGGAGCGGAAGGGACGGCTGGACAGAAACCTGCTGTTTGACACGTCGGGTTTAAAACTGGACCCCGTAAACAGCAGTCATTCGCCTTCTGCATGAAGACAAGGGCATGTTCATGTTCCTCTGTCAGGTTAGAGCCCTTCAACTGTATAACAACATGATTTCAAAATCATATTTTCTTTTAAATTATTATTTTTTTTAATTCACACAAATATTTGTTGTATCATACTGGATACGTTTAATCTTTGTTCCTTTCTGCCCTGTATCCTCTGTCTGTAGGAATGCTATGACCGTAAACCTAGAATCATCAGTAAGCGCTGTCGGGACGATCACACCATCTGCTCCAACCTGGATGCTCGCCACACCTTCGATGCCAATAAGTGAGCCTGTTCACAACATACTCGTTCCTTCACCAATTTCATTCTCATAGGCCAACGTCTTTCACATTTGTATTCCTCCCATCTCTGCCCGTAAGGTGCTTGGCGTTTGTGGTGCGGACCCAAAGCGTGAGCTACAAAAAGGTGCGACCGCTGAGTGTCCTGTGCCACTTGGATTTGTGCCGCCAAGCCATCCGGTACGGCTGCAAGAGAGAGGACGACTGCTATTACGCTCACTCCGTCATAGAGCTCAAAACCTGGAGGGTGCAGCGCAACACCGGTGCGGTCTACATTAATACATCAATAATGCAGAGTGCCTGACTGTTATCTGTCCCCTTGAATAAAAAGATTCAAATGCCAATAAAAGGCATCTATAGATGTGCTGTTTCTATTCTAATGAGCACGGGTCTGTGTTATTTTCAGGTATCAGCCCTGATGAAATTGTGAAAATATCGACCAAATATAACGAGGAACGGGAGCAAAACTCAAGCAAACATAAAGGAAATAGAGTAAGAAACCTCTTTTTGATTATTCTTTCTATTGTTCATTGAAACGAGGCAATGTTTCCCTCTCGTTTTAATATCAAATGTATTATCTATATAATCATTTCATTTTAAGCTGCTGTCTGCTGGAGGTGATTGGAGCAAACCAAGGGATGGAGCAGCTGGGAAGAGTCTCAACATGAAGATGAAGTTTGCCTGTGCTCAGTGCTTGCGCGACGGCCTGATCAGTGAACCGAACAAAGCCCTGAAGCACTGCACTGCAAAGGCCCGGCACACGTGAGTCACAATGCAATTAATCCTTTTGCAGATGAGCGGCTCGATGTTAAACTGGTGAATCACAGGTGATCACAATGATCCGTCACTTTCCCTGCTCCACCTCTGTGTCATCTTCAGATGGACTAAAGAGCGATGGGTCCTGCTGGTCAAGTCCGTGGAGAGAAGTAAATGGGTTCAGGTGCGACCGCTGCCGCATGCCAAGAACTACCCCGTGCAGTATGATGTAAGTGTGCCGCGCCTGCACGTACGCTCTTCAATGCAACGGCCAGTTTCAAACCACAGCTTCTGTCAATCAATTAGACATTTTTACGTTTGTTTGCAAAAGTCTTTCCAAGTTATTTTCTTGCATTTCTTGTTATTTTTATGTTTACTATAAACGTGTACAGTTACCTGTTTGTAGTACTATCTGTGTTTAACAGCATTAAATCATCTCCTGGCAGATATGCACCCAGATGTTAAAGAAAAAGAAATGTAACTACTCGGGGAACTGCACCTTTGCTCACAGCCAAGAGGAGAAGGAGATGTGGATGTATATGAAGAACAACAACTGTGAGTTATCGGAATGGTGATGTCATATTAATGGAGTGTGCAACTGATTTAGCATTAAGTACATAGAACATTAAAAAATGGATACTGATCCAATTGTCCTTGTCAACGACGGACCTAAATTTAGTGATTTGGTATGTTAGCACTGGTTAACTCAATAGGGAAGAGGGTCTGAAATGTTGCTTGAATGGCCAGAAATCCAGAACTTTCTGTGAGCGATTTGTTTTTGTGCCTGTAGTGTTCGAAATGCAGCAGATGTATGACATGTGGCTGTCATTAACCGCCCAAATCCGGCAAGCGGATGGAGCCATCCCCACCCAGCCGGTCCCAGAAGATAAATATATTGCCATGCCGACGGACTTTGCTGAGCCAATGGTGGGTGCAGCTTATATTTCCCTTCAGCGAAGTCGAGCACCAAACTAAAACGTACACATTGCGTTTCCTGGCTATGCTTTTTCTCTGTATTTTAGAACGGCTTTCACTGTCGCCTGTGCGGCAGGCACAGTAACAGTGAGCGGCAGTGGCAGCGGCACATCTCCACTGAGAAGCACAAGGACCGGGTGTTCAGCTGTGAGGGCGAGGACGAGGCCCTGACGTGGAGCCACCGTTTCCCCGGGCCGTGCCTCGATCTCTGCCCGAAGTAAGACCTTTTCCTGCATCCGGATTAGAGGTGTTTGAATCCCGGTGCCAGCCGGCTTCTCATCACGGCGCTGTTTGACAGGTTTGATGGCGGCTGCCCTGACGGTGTGGGCTGTGACTACGCCCACAGCTTGGAGGAGCTGCAGGAGTGGATCGAGAGACGAGATTTCCTGAGGCAGAAGCTGGCCAAAGCCAGGGAAGACATGCTCATCATGCCTGATGAGTTTGACTTTGGAAAGTTCAACTTTTTACTTCGGGATTGAGAATTATTTTCTATTTTATAATTTTTTTTACTTTTCAGCCATTAACTGCCAAATTTAGCATTTTAGTTAATTAAGAGACAAAATGAAAGGTCATTAAAGTAGCAGTGTGCCTTCCAAAATGATGACTTGATATAATTCATGAAGCACACGCCATTTACGCCTTAATCTAAATGTTTTAACTTCCTGTTACTGTAGGGAACATTTTCACTTTTTGCTCATCAAATGAAATGTACAGCAGATACAAAGAGACACCTCATCACTGACCGTTCAGCAACTGTTCATATTTAACCACATGGAGCCGTTTCAATGTTGTTAAATTGTTCTGTTATTTTTTCTTCATTTTGTGTTGTTTTAATAGGGACTTTAATTAGCATGTTTTTAATTGCAAAGTTCCCTTGGAGAAGATTTAAGGCCCGACTAGTCATCATACATACATCGTACATGTATATTTTAATTTCCTGTTACTGTACGGAACATTTTAAGAGCCACTTTTTGCTTGTCTATTCTGCTAAAACCTCAGGCAAAAATGTACAGCAGACGACACACTTGTCATCACTAAATATTCATTAAAGGCTTGTATCTAACCACACATCGCGGCCATTTAAATGTTGATCAATAGTTGTGTTCTCTACCCTTCTTTTGCATGTTATATTGGCATGTCTTTAATTCCAAAGTTCACTTTGAGAGGATGTGAAAGGCCTTGTCTTGGCATTACTCGCCACAAATGTATATTTAATAAAAAATGGTCAAGTTCACCTGTTTATTCTTATTTTTATGATTTCGTGTGGAGCATCTGATGATGTTCATCAGAAACTAGCGCGCTACTCAAACGGGTCACTAGGTGGCGCTGTGCTTTGGCTGAACCGGTTTGTTGTGCCCGCGTTAGGTACCCGCCCCCCTGCCCTCTCACAGGCTGCGCGGTGTGACTGACAAGGCGGGTGCAAATCCTTCGACCAATCAACGCGGTCGGCGCGCGCGACTCCCCTCGCTGATAACGATACAGGTTGTTCGGACAACAGCCGCGAGGAGACTTTCTGCGAAGTCTGTTAGAAGTGAGAGAAGTCATCGGCCGACGGACCGCGAGCGCGTTTCATCCCTCAGGCGGACTCGACTTTCAGGCGTCCGTGGATAACTTTCATCATGACAACTAGCCACTTCATCTGTGGAGACAGGAGCGACGTTCCCGATCTTCTCAAGTCTTTGGCTGAATACCCCTTTTCCCTCCCCGCCTTCGAAGACACCGGTGAGAACATTACCTGTTTGTGTCCTTTCTTCCAAGCTCGTTACGTAATTGGCTTGAGATGTATCAACGAGTTGCTCTCATCTGTCATGTGATTACTGCATTTTTACTCTTTTAACTCTAGCGTTCCGTTATTGAGCTACTTTAACTGCTACGCATGTAGTAAATTACTATTTAGAATTTAGGAATAATTATCCAACCACTGGTAATTCTGTTCCCTAATGGACGCTTTTACATTTGATGCTTGTGTGTTGCTGTTAAAAGTGCTTCATTCAAATGTGTGCAGTACTAGAATGTTCACATGTAGCTGTTGCCACTAAATAACTAGTACTTCTTCCGTCATTGATGTAACAGTGTTATAACTAGTTAAGTTAAATTACGTATAAGCAACGGTAATTTACCTCTACACTCTTATTATTATAATAATATAAAATAACAGTTCCCCCTCTCTGTCACGGCTCCGGCTGCAATCAGCAACTCCTGATCATATTTATTGCTATTTATAAAAAGTAAAATCAGTCATGGATATTGTAGTTAATGCTCTTACACGTTCAGGTGTGTGTTTGCAGTTTCTCCATGCAGACAACATTACATCATTCTGCAACTGATGCAACAACACTGACACAGTCCTCCGTTCACAGTTTCATCACTTTTCGTGCTTCTTGAAAAGTAGTTGATTGAAAATAGTTGACAGTTTCACGTCTTTCTCTCATGTCTTCCGGATGGTCGCCTTCTGAAAGGGGCTGAAATTATTCCTCCTCGGTTCGTCTTCCTCGGCAGGATGTTGAGTCACCTTTAACGCAGGGGCCCCGCTTCAGCATCCATGCTCGTGCCAAACATGTCCGCCGTCTCGTGTCGTGTACCAACTCGAAGCCTATGAGTCTTGTTTTATTGTCCGGTCGAGATATTCCCCATTTGCCGACACCACCTCCACCCCTCTGCTCCTGATTGTAGTCTTTGATTTCCATGCGCACGATTCACAATAGTCATCAACAGGATAAACATCCTTATCTGATTACATGTGACATATGTACTCCTGGCCGTGTCACTTTGACCTGGCTCACACAGCCGCCTGTGAGAAGACACCTTCCAAACAGCTTCCAAACATAACGTACGTACGTTATTTCAACATAACCATCATTACAATCAAATCATTGGTTTTAAATCCCCTGTTTTAATCAATAATGTAAATATTAATACTGTCAATCCTTGAAATTCAAACCAAATGTTGTGCACATTCTCAACAAAACCACGGCTTGACCACAAGGCCATTCAGCCCTGAAGATCAAGGGCACTGACAACAGTTCATTCTAAGAATTGTTATTCTAAGCTAACAGCTGTTTGCATTTGTTGCACTGAAAAACTCCGAGGGGCCGAGGGTTTCTGTTTCAAGAGGCTCTGCAGGATGTTTAGCAAGTGATGAGGAATGGGAACTCTGTGTAATGAAATACTCTGAAAGCTGACTGACAGTGAGGTACTACACACAATTCTGTCACATGCGCACACACAGACCAAGCAGACTTTGTGAAAACCCCCACAAATAAGGTGTGAACGTGGGGTGTTTGTGCCGTTTGAACACTGTGTTCCAGAAACCAAACATCCTGCAGGAGAGCGCGACAGTCTCGCGCGTGCACGCGAACGTAGTCTGTACTCTGGTTGTAAAAATGTGCCTTTTTTCATAATAACGGCGGTGTGAAATCGTGGAGCATAGTGACATAAAAATACGGATAGCTTTACAAAAAATAAAGACACGTACAATAAACTTAAACAATACAAATCTAAAAATCTACAACGATATGAATTGTGGTATTCTCAGTAAACACAGTGAAATATCTGCGCTGGCCGGGGAGGAGCGTGCACTCGCTAAACTTCGGCTCCTCCTGCCAGCTGGGCGCGTGCCCGCTGCGGCTCGACAGCCTCACGTGCTAAATATCCGGAGCCACGCCCCCTGACTAACTGTACCTTCGCGTGAGAACGATAGGGGCGGGGGCACGTGTTCCGACACGAGTACCCGTGCCGAGGGGACATTGTGTTTTTTGTTGTTGTTTGTTTTAGGAAGTATCGAGCGAGCGTGTTGGTGCAGGCGTGTGATCTGTGGTCATGATGAAAGTGTACACACGTTTATAATTTAGTCTGCTTCGCAGGGATGCGGCTCTATGGGACACTTATTATGAGGTCATGTGCCACACCGGCCGGTTCCGTAGACTGTAAAAATAAATGCATAAAAATGTAAATATTGTTGGTCTTCATGTGGACAATTTGCGGCTAACGAGAAGCGCGGTCGGACTGCACGGGCGGCCCTCACAGCCAATCAGCTTCTACTATTCTGCGAGTGGGCGGGGCTTCTGGCTCATGAATATCCAACAAGCGCGCTTGCGGGACAGACAACAAGGGGCTTGTGTTGTGTTGTTTTTGCACCCTGAAATCGTTAATAACAGCCCTGGACGCCGCACGCGGGTTTGAAAGGAAGTGACCGTCTGCCCGCCGAGTTGTCGCTCTGGCTTCCCGCTGAAGGAGGCGGGCGACGTGAGGCCATCGATCCGGTCTGATAGGAGTTAAACAGGAACCATGTCTGACAAAGCCGCGGTCACAGTGTCGCTTCAGCCCGGCGGTACGGTCGCTACGAGGGAGCCGCAGAAGTCCTTTCCTTTTGTTCTGAAGAAGATCATGGACATCCCACCTCCCAACATCCTGGAGGAGGGCGACGACGGTAAGGGCAGAATGCGAGAAGGTGCGCTCCGTTTCCCGGTTGGTTTCCGTCACGTTTTATCGACACCGTTTACGTTCACTCGATTAAATGTGCACAGGTCCCGTAGCAACATCTCGGACCATATCGTGTCTTTTTAATTAATGGATTAAATAACGGCCGTCCGTCAAACTCGGTGGTCGGAGACACGACATGTGTTGCACGAACCCAGTCACCCTTTATGCTGCGAGAAAACGAGAAAAGAACATGAAGTTCCAGCTCCTCTCTGCTGCTCCTCAAGCAGCGCGCTGAGGATGAGAAGATAACGTGCACGTAAACACGCTCGACTCTCCTCCACCGCATTGCTCTGGTGGTGTTTGTTCCCGGGTTTGTGTGTCCGTGCACGTGAGTGCCAAGCGTGGTCCTTTCTCGGGTCTCTTCCTAGTCTACTTTCCAGAATCCTCGTTCAGTCACGGACTCTCCAACCCGCCGACAGGCGTTTTGGGTTGGAACCCAGTGTTATTGTTTTGATCACCACTACCACCCCCCCCCCCCCCCCCAGCCATGAGCCTTTACTGTGCACCTGTGTGACACGGTGTTGTCATGTGTGCACAGGGACACATTTCCCTCATGTCGAGCACCCCTTCGTTGAACCTTTCGCCTTTGTCCTGTTTTGTGTGCAGAAATAGAGAAAGAGAAGCTTTGCTCCACTGAGAATGTGGGGGAGGCGAGGCTGGGGCAGCCAGTGCTGGTGCAGATTCTAGAGAAGGAGGTGGTGGTGCAGGTGGTGGTGGTGGAGTATCAGCATCCTTAACCCCAGCCATTTGGGAGAAGACCATTCCCTACGATGGAGAGACCTTCCACCTGGAGTACATGGACCTGGATGAGTTCCTCCTGGAGAACGGGATCCCTGCCACGCTGGAGGAGGAGGAGCTGCAGAAGACTTTGGCCTCGGTGGGATTTAAAGGCAAATTTGTCCCCAAGGTCACTGCGAGAGCCACTGCTGCTGGCGCCCCCGACGCCACCTCAGCAGTAACCCCGTCTATCTCCGCCACGTCCACGGTCACCTCTGATCCAGAGGAAGAGGCGAGCGTCACTACGTTACAACCAGCCAAGTTAGAGGAAGAAGAATTAGAGGAACAGGAAGAAGAAGAACAAGAAGAGGAGATTGAGGAGGAGGAGGAGGAGGAAGAGGAAAAAGAAAAAACAAAATCTCTGCCTCGAGCGGCAAAAACAGAAGTGGAAGAAAAGAAAACAGGTGAGAAATCTATTATATTATTTGGGATGTGTTTTTTTTAGATGGACAGTTCCCATTAATGATATTCATGTAATGACAACATGAACTAGTGTGCATGAATACACAAAGACAGAAACAAGTCTAATGCGATAGATTTCATATGTATGGAAGATGGCACGACACAAAAACCCAAACCGCCTGTCCCTCCATCCCCATAGAGCGTAACACTCCCTCCCCCGTCGACCCAGAAGCCATCGAGGTGGACATTAACTTCCAGCCGGACCCCACAGACCTGGTCCTGTCCAGCGTACCGGGGGGAGAGCTGTTCAACCCGCGCAAGCACAAGTTCTCCGACGAGGAGCTGAAACCGCAGCCGATGATCAAGAAAGCCAAGAAAGTGTTTGTTCCCGATGAGCAGAAGGTAGGACAACGAAGACGTTATGTGGAACGTCTTTGAATGAATGTCATGAAGAAACATAACTGAACAATGTTTAAGCAAGCAATGTTTACAATAATCCACAAGCCTTGTAAAATTAAAGATCAAAGGTGGGTGGGGGATGTTCTCACAACACAGATGTTCGTTTCAAACCCTCTCCCGTCCCGTCTCTCCTTCCGCCAGGATGACAAATACTGGTCCAGGAGAAAGAAGAACAACGTGGCAGCAAAGCGCTCCCGCGACGCCCGGCGGCTGAAGGAGAACCAGATCACGGTGCGCGCCTCCTTCCTGGAGCGGGAGAACGCGGCGCTGCGGCAGCAGGTGGCCGAGATGCGGAAGGACTGCGGCCGCTGCAAGAACATCCTGTCACGATACGAGGCGAAGTACGGGCCGCTGTAAAGAGCTCAACCCCCGGCCCCCCCCGACCCCCACCTTCCCCACACCCAAAAGTATCAACGATACGAAAAGCAGAACTCCCCTCCCCGCAGAATTCAACGCAGACCCGAACCACCAAGGAATTCCAAATGTCCACTGCGGTCTTTACTGACCTCCCAGTTTCGTTTTTCGAAAACGGCGCCGGAGTTTTGCATACACATTGGCAGGCAGTTGATGGGATGGCATGATGGGAGCGGTGGCGGCAGGAAGGCCCGTGGCGAGCGCCTGGCTCCTACGCTTAGAGAGGAAGGGGACCACTGTCCGACTCCTTCCGTGTGGTCAAACGCACGCGGCGAGTCCGGTCGGTCCCGAAGGCGCTCTCGAGTCAGTCAGGAGATATGGAAAGAGAGTCACACACAGATCAGTTTTCATCACTGCACTTCTTCTTTGTGGACCAAAGCATGAGTCCGTATGGAGTCCTGTATTCAGGAGGGTACGCGCTGTTCCGCCCCTCACATTTACGTGTGTCGCGCTCACGCTTGTGTCTGTACTTTTTTATTTTTCAAAGAGCCCGTGGCAGCGTAGGAGGTAACTGAGCACGCGGCCGACTCGCATTCACAGCGGTGCTTCCAGCTCGCAGAGGAAGGGAGCGGGGCGCTTCGGCTCGGCAGAGGAGGAGGAGGGGAGGAGGACGGGGGTCCGTTAGCGGCGATGTACACAGTCCTCTCCCTGCAACGAAACGGCCGCGTAATCCGTTCGGGCTCTTTCTCTTCAAGAACACAGTGTGTGTGTGTGTTTTATAGTGGTGGCCGGTATCTTCTTCATACGCCTCCATCCCGGGAGGCAGAGTAGCTCATTTGAGGGAATAACACATGCATGACCTTCCATTTAAAGCTAATGTGATCCAATGTCCTTTTCTACTAACCTCAGATCAGCTTCCAGCACACAATATAGTTTTGAAAGAAGAAAGACTTTAGCTTTCGCTTAGAAGATGATGTATATTTCCCGAATGGAGTTGTAGGGTTGCTTGTCTGCAGGTTACTGTGGACGGCGGTCGTCAGGTGATTGGCGGTGGAGCGGTATGTCGATGCGTAGGGACGTTTATTTCGCTGCTCACTGCAGATAGAGGGCGCTAGAGCTACTGCCTGCCGCGATGGCTGGATTGATTTTAAAACAAAAGAAAAACATTTAGACGGCCCCAAAGTTGACCGCTTCTAAACCTTGTAAATGAATGATTGTCTCGTGGTCTTTATTTCCCTAGACAGGAAATTTGTCCGCGTCCTCCTTACCAACCAGATACACGTCCTCATATTTGCCAAATAGTCGATGAGTGCTGTATTCATTCTGATGGTAACGATGCGTCTGTTGATTGTGATGTATAACATGTTGGATAATTCCTTTTCGAAGAACAATTCTTCTAATGAAACCAATGCAGGGATATTAATGGGTAACTGTTCTTTTGGATGTTTGTTTTAAAAACAGATTAATATAGTTTTATGGAATCCCCTCCATATAAATATATACGTACAGCATGTGTTTAAAAACACAAAGGACCGGACACACTCTCGTTTACCTCATCCAGCACTTCCTATTTTTAATGGTGAAATGTGAGGTCGGGCTACAAAGTGGTCGTAGTCGAAGCAGAAAGCACATTAAAAAGCAGCTTTGATCCATTGAGGCAAAACCTGGACTGAGTCGCCAAATTGAGTGTTTTGCTGAGTCTGTCTAGATAAGTCAACACGTGACGGACTGTTATGGGACTCAGTGTCTTTGGCCGATGCACATTTAGTCATCAGTCGGTTTGTGCTCATAATCGCCGTGATTATGTAAAGAAAAGAAGTGTGGCAATAATACTGTGTCATGAAATGCTCGTTTAATTTCTATGATGATGTTGTATGTTGAGTTGATGTACTAAATAGAAATGCCCCGAAAGTCATTTGTGCTTCCAGTTCAGATCCTCTAGTCTGGGATCCTAATGCATGAAACCCCGTCTTTAGTTTGTTTTTCTCTTGAATATTTTACACCAAGTGTACTTATGTCTGCAAACTATTACTGAAAATTAGATATGAAAGTTCATGGTCTCTTGTACAGCTCAAACGCATAACATCCTTATTATAATGTTAGGTGTTTATGACTCTTCATAGCATTATAGAACCAGCCGTCCAGCGCTTGACCTTGGGCCGAACATCAGCTAAAGACAGCATCTTTTAATCACTGTGTGGATTGTTGTTTATTTAACGAAGATTAATCTATATCTAGATACACTGGATCAGTTTGTGATTTTGTGTTTCTGCTATAGATTCTGTGCTTGTTCCAGTTTCCTGGGAGACGTTTCTTAGCAATGTGTTTTATGTTGCATTGACATTCAAACTTGGCTTTGGCTACATTATGCTGTTTATACTTAAGTATAGTTGATTGCAAACATTCAGTTATTTTTTTACGCTGATGCGAGTCTTTTAGACAGAAGATGATTTATATCACAGAACGTAGCAATTTCCTATTTGCTTTGGCGCAGAGCACCTGGAGCCAGCTGTAACTCTCAAACCTGCTTATAACCGTTTAGCAGGGTCTAAACGATCCAGACCAACACACGCCAAACAGTGCCAACAGTAGGAAGGAAGATAAGCAGTGGTTTGTGTCCGACCTCCAGTCTAAGGTAGCAATGGCCGTCGTACCATCAGAACCACTGTCTGGCCCCAGCAGGCGACTGTTCTCTGCATGAAAAGTGCTGCAATTAGCATCCGCAGGTCCCAACTGCCGCTTTAGCTTCTGGTCAAACTGTTGGCACCAGCTCTGGGTTCTGCACATCAATGACATATCCTTGTTTGCGAATTAAAGCGGCGACAGTACTCATAAAAAAATAAATACATTTGAAAGTATCGATTTTAAAGTGCTTTATTTTCTTCCTGTTCATTTTTTATATAAACATGTTGTTTGTTGTTCTATTGTCATCAACATGTGTAGGATACATGCAACTCCAGTACCATGTTCTAACAATCTTGTACCCTGCAATTGGAATAAATTGGCATTAAGTGAAATACGTGCTCTTTGTGTGACCTTGCCAACCAGCTGCAGCAGCTCTAATGGGAGACACTGGTTCTGAGACAAAGAAACCGGAGACAACCAAAGGAGGAGAGGGATAAAGACCCTCCTCCTCCTCCTTGATGTTCATGTGCACCATCACCCATGTGCACGTCTCATACACACAGTCGGGATTATGTTTCCCACAGCTTTGATGTTTTCCACCCGTCGTCTCGGCCCTGCTGCTCATCAGTATTCCAGAGGAGTCGGAGATGTTGCGTAACGAGCACATCGGCACACTGGGGAGCAACATTGCGTAACAGCAGCAGCCTCAAAGACTAGGGGTGTGTGTGTGTGTGTGTGTGTGTGTGTGTGTGTGTGAAGGAGGATGCAAGGGAGGGGCCCTGCAAACTGGGAAGAGGAGGAGGGGAATCAGGTGATTGGAAGGATGGGTGGATGGGGGAGAGGGCGGGAGGATGGAAGGGGAAGCAAATAAGATGACAGAGAAATAAGGAGGATGGGGATGCAGTTGAAAACATGTGAGTCGAGGGGGGGGGGGGAGGAGGAGGAGGAGGAGGGGGGGTTGGGATGCAGAGAGTGGGCGGTGAAGAGGAGGCGCGCCAAGGAGGAGCCCAGACATGTTCATGTCACACCACTGCATGTCACTATATAGAGACCACAGCCCAGTACACACAGGATGATGACATTTGAAGTAATAACTGGGTGGGTCAGCTGATGTGAGTAATCTGGTTCCTCAGTGTTGAATTTCATATTCCCTTTGAATTATTGATCAAACACAACTTGAGTTTGTTTACTGCGATAAAAGGCTTCTCACAGGAACGCAGGGGTCGTCTTTCCTTTGCGTTTGATGTGCAATATGTTCAACATCCATCTAATAAGGACGCACACAGAGGTGAGAGGGAGCATCTGTAACGGAGCGAAAAGAGGATTTCTCCATCTGGTCACGCGGCTACACCCAGAATCAACAAGCAGCTTCTTTTCCGTGGTTCTTTTTGCCAATCTGTTTTTTTTATTACAAACTTAGAAAAGAATCTGATACAATAAGAAACTGCAGTAGTAACTCCCCATTCTTGGGGGGGAGGGAGGGGGGAGCACAGAAAACAGGTCATTGCATTTCAGTAGTGAAAGATTCAGAACACATCTACAGGGTGTACAGTTCATACAAAATAGGAAAAATAATAAAATACAGGCAGAAAGAAAGCACTATTTATACATCTGGACTTAACTATTTTAATGTTAAATGTTGAACTTCACATAGAAAATAAACTTTATGACAATGAAATATCCCAATGTGCAAAATAAAACGCACACGTCGATATAAGCAAAAGGACATCAGAATACAAAATTCTTGTTTTTTTTCCCTCATTGATGGTCAACCCTGGTTGCAGCATGGCCTGCGTTTAGTCAATTGCTCTGCACGGATACAAGGGGCACAACAGCCTTTACAGTAATCCCTCACATCCTGGGACACCTCGCCAGCCAGATATGTACAGAGGGAATTCTTGTTTGGAATAATTGCACAAATAAGGAAAACAAAAAGTGGTCACGTTGACATTTTGAACACGTACCAGGCTAAAAAAGGTTTTTAAGACAAACACACGCAGTCTGGTTATTTATTTTCCACAAGCCATGTGAACCAGAGCTGACGAACGGATCACATTCACAGGACATTCATTTCCTTCATCCTTCTGAACCTGCTGTAACACGGTCTTCCTAAAGTGGAGAGTTCTTTATTTTTTTTATTCCCAGGTGCAAAGAGGTAGAAACCGCTTGAATTCTTCAGGGTAATTTTAAATTATGGCATTAGATTGCACTGGATAAGGTTGAGCATCTGTGTAAGTGAAGACAGTCTGGGATATATGGCTATAGTATCAGGACCAAAGGACTGGCGGACGACCCACTGAGGCGGGACACATAAGCTGGAGGTCAAAATATCTGTGGGTCCAGGTACTCCGGTAGCAGAGACAAAAAAAAAAAAAAAAAGGGGGTTGTTCAGTTTGTTATATATATTTTTTTACCCCCCCCAGTGATTCACTATTCTTTTAGAGGAAAAATAAGGGAATGACCCAAAGATGCATTGAATTCCCATAAAAAGGGGAAATGAACATTGCACTGAAAGATTTTTGGTTTAAATGTACTGCCTATGGGAGTAGTGTTGTCCGGCTGCCCTGGGAGCAGAGAAATAAGTGATATCAGCCATCCTTTCCTACACAAACCCACTGTAAACATTCACAGCTTAAGCTTCAAATCCACCTCGAAGAACAAATACATTTACCCGTCTTATTAGACAAATGCTGCACAAGGTACAATACACATTCAATACTTTATTCTGTACATCTTTATTTTGTCTCAGTTTGCATATATTCATGTTATTTTCTGAAAAATAACCTCAGCATGTAAGAAACTAAACAAAGAATCTGAACATAAGAACTTTGTACATATTCCTGGACTTGTTGCGTCTCACTCATACAAATGTAAGTGATCATTTTGCAAAAAACAAATACAGAAATAAATTACAAAACATAAAACTATAAATCTTTTCCCCCCCTCACAATGTGTACCTCTCCACCTATTCCCCTTGGAAAAAAAAGAAAAGAACCACAAACTCGCATGCGTATGACAAGCTGTCACATTGCAAAACCATCATGAGCACAAGTCAAGGGTCCACGGGGGCTTTTATACAGAAACGTTGCCTGGGAAACACTGAAATAAAAAAGGGACAAGACTAACTGCCCCTCGTCACCAGTGTGATGCCCTTGAATACAAATTAAGCGCCCGTTTGAATCTCTAAAGTATTTCATGGTGGCTTACTAAAATGTGCTATTTCCAAACAGGGGGCAAAGGAACGGTGCCGGCGCTCGTGCCTGTGGGCGACACACAGGTCCAGTAATAAAGTGCTGGACAGCTCGAATGGACATCTGAGAGTTACACTTCCCTGCAGTGACTGACCGACAATCACGTGGACTCTGCTGGTAAATAAACCATTGTTGCACAACAGCAGACTTGCAGAGATCTGACAAGATATCCAAGAAAAGCCAGTGAAGAGCATTCGCTTCTGCATCTTTGTTCACATAACTGGGGGAGACTTTATGATTTTGTTTTGTTTTTTCCTCCCATTGTTGACAGCCACAGATCACTGAAGACTTACAAGGGGATGGGCAGAGAATAGTGTGCGCCTCTGGCTTCAATACCATTTAAGCTCACCAGAAACGTGTTCTGGGTTTCAAAGTGTCGCTCTCGGAGCCGATACTGCTGCTGCGCTCTCCCTCTCATCCGTTTTCATCGGTCTTCCCTTCTCTCTCTCATCTCAGTCTCGCCGTTCCTGCAGAAGAAAACCTCTCCTTCATAGTCAAAGTCACGCTTAGCAATTTAATCACAATCCTACTGCTGCATCCCTTTCGCCTCTTCATCTTCACACACAGCTGAGTGGAATTGTGCATTCTTGCTCGCATTCTCGGTCTCCCCATTTGAACACGTGAAACCATCCCAAAGTGGTCTTAAAATACAGATTTATAGTTATTCACATTGACCAAGGTGTCCCCGACCTTCCCGGCTGTGGTTTCCTCTGAGGGCTGCAACACATCTCATTACATCACACTGCCTCAACACCCCAGCGCCGTCTTTCTACTCCCGCCGCTGCTCTCGCTTCATCTCAACTCATGCCAGCGGACGATAAATTGCCTCAAATATATATATATACGGAGATCTATGCGCCCCGGCGACCACAGATATCGCGTGAGCACGAGTGACTTTAAAGGGAAACGGGCCCACGTACAAACGATGGGTCTCTCCATCACGCTGAACCACAACAGAGCAGGACTACGCACTCTCACAGCAAAGCCCCCCCACACTGTATTTGTTGCAAGTAGGGCAGAGCAGATTGCAGAGCACAGTGCTGAGCTTTTCCACAGCGTTCGCCCCTGCAGGACTTGGCGAGGTCCTTTTTCACAGCATGACAGTGCATTGCAAAATGGAGCTACACTATATCCGGGTCCATTAAACAACAAGTCAAGAGAGGAAAAAAGAAAAAGGTCCCTCACATTAACATTCAATTTAAAAAAAAAGAAGGATATTGGCGACTCAAGGTGGAAAGGACCCCTCCCATAGCAAGCCTACACAGACCATGAGGAGTAACAGAAAGGGCCTACAGGGCAGAGTGGGGGGGGGGCATGGAGGAACAAAAGCACATGAATTATTCAGTGGACAGGGTTTTGTAAATCTTTGTAGTTAAACTTTTATTAGTAATAATTTCTTAGAAAAAAAAAAAGAAAAGATCTGGAGCGTCGCTGATCAAATCCACCTCCTACAACAATTTGTATGGTTACAAATGAAGGCTTAGTTGGCTAGCACAACGGGCTGGAAGGGCTGGCTCGGGTATTGCAGGTTGTAGCTTCCTAAACCCTCGACAAATGGCGGCTTCTCTATGTAGGGGATTCCTCCGTTGCTGCCGATGGCGCCCGCGCTCTGGGCAGGGGAAGGGCTGGAGAACGGGTCGAAGGACAGGTGGGTGTTGAGAGCGTGGGGGGGTTGGAACGGGCCAGCAAGCGGCTGCAACGGCCCGGTGTCGGCGTCGAAGTAAAGGTGGCCCGGGGATCCTGGGTAGACAAACTCTTTGGCGTTGGGGGAGAGCTGGCTGGCGATGGGACCACCGAGGGAGTGCAGGGACAGGGACAGGGGCTTGTGCTTGAGCAGCTCCGGCGCCGAGACGTTGGTGGGAGAGTGGTCGAGCATCCTCTGGGCGGGCGGCGCGACGGCGCCGGAGCCCCCCGCCGACCCGCCGCCGCTGCACTTCTTCATCTTGGTCGAGCCGAACTTGGTGGCGGCGAAGCTGGCGGTGGTGAACGTGATGGGCTGAGGACGGGCGGCGGGGAGCGCGGGCGCCGGCTGCTGAGCCGAGAGGTAGGGCAGCCCGCCGCTGGGAGGCGACGGGGTGGAGGTGTTTGAGGAGTGGGCGGCGGGGTCGGGCGGCGTGCTGGGGCTGGGGTAGGCGAAGAGCCCGGGGCCCGGCTGGGCCGGCAGCGGCGTGGGAGAGCTGGAGAGCGACGGCATGAGGGCGGGAGACACCTGGCTCCCAATTGGCACGAACACCTGAGCTTCGGGGTTGAAGCCCAGACTCTTGGCCTCCTCCGCCTCCGGTTCTCCTTTGCCCTCTCTGATCAGCCCCTCGGCCCGCTCGCTGCCACAGCCGAGGCCCGGCGGGTCCTCCAGGTAGAGGACCTTCACGGCCCCCTTCTCCCCGATCTGGTAGGACACCTCGTAAGGGTCAATCCACACGCTGAGCTCTGCAGGAACATTTGCGCGCACCTCCTCCGTGTCCAGGCCACTTCTCTTGGCGGCCAACTCCACCACAGGGTCCCTCGGGGCTCCCAGGTGGATGCAGCGGAAGGCGGAGCCCCTGAGAGGCGCCTCTGGGTACCAGTGACCCTGGAAACGAGACATCAGTATCTTCTCCAGCTCCTCGCCGAACAGGTCGGCTCGACGTCGAGGCAGCTTATTGTACAGGTAGGACACGATGAAGTTGAGGGCGACCTTCACCTCCAGATGCATGGCTGCACCGCGTTAGCACCGTCCTGGGAGCAAAGTGATCAAAATGAAGCAGAGGCAACCAAACTGAACTGTTTTTTTCCCCCTCTGGCTTATTGAAAAGTGTATGATTCTCTTAGTGTCACCATGGTAAAGGCACCTTGAAGGCGGGGGCAGCACGTTGCAGGCCGTCTTTCGTGGTCACAAGTATGCAACAACGTTGTCGGGTCCCAACTGTGCAGGAAAAAAAAAAAACCCAGAGGAAAGCAGTCATTTAAATGGTGATGGATGAGAAACAGAGGAGCTGCTATCCGCCGTGAACAATCAGGTTTACATTTTACAGACATGGAAAGCAGAACAAACAAACCTTCTCAGTAAGTATTTGTAGCTCCTCTTGTTATACATTCAAGCAAATAGTCACATGGTTCACAGCACTTTAATATACCAGAGCTTTCATATTAAATCAAATTGCTTAGTTAACCAATGCAGTTTTTTGTATTAATAAAAGGTACTTTTGGTTCCAATAAAAAGAAGCTTTGGTAAATATGTATCAGTTAAGTGGGACGCTTTATTGATTTAGATAATTATGCGCCGATGAAACTAAGAAATCTGCATGTGAGCGGATCAACATGCTATGAAACAAGATATTTGACCACCGATGGCAAACATTCAAATAAAAATAAAGGACTGTTTTGAAGTGCCTTTTTGAAGCAGCCATAACTAGATTGCACCTTTTGGAACAAAAGTTTCTTTTATAAAAAACACTTTATTAAAATGTGTGATGATCTGATCTGTTTCACTCAGTCTACATGGAAGTATTTTAAAAAGGAGCGAACAAACGAGCCTACGCGCCACTATTTGTATTCAATAAAACACAGCAAACATGCATGTTTTATACATCTTCGTGTCATCGACGGAAGGCTCTCCTGACGCATGCAACAGATGCCGTGTTGTGGGCTTCAGAAATCCTTCATAATGTGAATCCCATCGAGCGCCTCCTGCTTAATGCCAGCTCACAGTCACACAGGGGCCACTCAGCCCCACGCACAGCGAGAACTCACACGCCAAAAGTACAAAAATAAAACCACAAGGTAAAATGGCAGGGCAGTAGTTTAACTTACCAGAACACCATTTCCCACCATGCAGTGCGTGCAATAACCTCCCCCCCCATAGGCATATACACACAAACAATTCACTCACATTCACTTCCCCGCCAGATGGGGCTTTGGCAGCAAAGATTAGGAAGACGGCTCTGAATAAAGACAATTCTAATGTTATTACAGATAAAGCAGCACAGGCCGGATGCCGCTGTGGGCGTGACGGTACAAGACCAGATGTACATTTCCCCCACATTATATGAAAAAGGTGACATTGAGGCAAAGGCAGGGGGTTGGTCTTAACGCACTATAAATAGGGCCCCATTTTGCATCATCAAATGGTGCAAATTCGCTTTCCACTGCCGGAGTTAAAGAGGAGAAGTGACTAGAAAAAGGATCTTCCAGCACACGTGCTCCATGACCTGAAACAGCAACCGTCACTAAATGCCTCGTGTGCACACAAGTTACCTACAGCTGTATTTCCCTCATAAAAAGGAAACTGCAGGATGCACAAGATATCCAATGTCATCCAATGACATCAAAGAACCAGCTCAGTTAATAAGCACAGATTTGTTGCTCTAAATTGTGAACCACAGACTTCCATTTTAATGAAAAATAATAACAAAAATGGCATGTTCCCGGAATCATAAATCCCCGCTGCTATGCCCACATCTCATATTCCTCACCTGCAGATTTGGGATACAGCTACTAAAAGGCGCTAGATTCATTTTCACAGGGCTGATGTTGCAGCGCCCGAGCAACAGCAGAAAACATAGTGCCATTTTTGTTTACACCGACTCATCACCAGAGCTGCGTGGCACCGCGTGCGGCGAAGTGTCCACCGCACGTCATCGTAGAGGAGCAGCACATCCTCAGCGAGCTTTACAAGCGACCAACACAGCGGATTGACGAAAAGCAGAAGGCCGATGGGATTAGAAGCGAGGGTCAAGCACAACATATAGAGGCCTGGCTGACACGGAGACGCACACGTGCACGCGCACGCACGCATAACATCAACACAACGGCGTACGACACTATCGGGATTTCTCATTTCCCAGGTTGATATGTATGGAGCCCTTTCAATGGGGAGCATGTTGAACGTATGTAGCGGGTGGAGGTAAATATGCAGGGGGAGGGGGGTGAGCTCGGAGGTGCATCATATCCAGGCTTCCCTGTGTGGTGATAAGGGAACACGGTGCACCTGGGGATCACCGCCATACGCCTGTAGAAAGGACGCAGGTTCAGCGGACGCTCGCTGTAAATGAATGGATCATTATGAAGCGGGGAAGATCCTGCAGGACAGCGTGTGCTTACCGAGCGACGGGGAGAGTAGCTCCTCGGCGTGAACGTGCACGATGGGAAACAGCCGTGACAGCGAGACGGACTCGGGATTGGTCACTTCAGCAAACACACGCAGCGGGGGAACGGACGATAAACAAAAGCGGGGTCGTCAAGCGAAAGGCTGAACCGGTGCGGTCATTCGTTCCAGGCGAAGGATTTCTGTCACGCAAGAAAACAGCAACGCGCACCAATGTTGACAATGAACGCGCGCGCGTGTATTTGACGTGGCCGTGCATTTAAATCACATGAATCCATTTCATGCACCGGTTGATGCTGAATTACTCACCGTTACCGGTGCGCGAGCTTCTCTCGAGCTCCTGCGTTTCTCTCGTAATTCCGGTGCGTATATTCCGAGGCGACTGTGTCGAGCGGTTGATTCAGTCGCTGACCACCGGATGCTGCTTCTCCTTGTTGTTGTTGTTGTTGTTGTTGAACGTCATAACTCCTGCCCCGACTCTCAGATGGCCTCCGGGTTTCCCAGTTTGTCTTCAGCTGACAGTTTGCGTGGAAGGTCCAGAGAAACTTTACTGTTTGACAACCCGGCGTATTTATACGCGGTGACTCGCCCACACGTCGGTGACGGAGGGACTACTTTCTTCAAATGTGTGGTAGCAGCTGCGTTACTGTCTCACAGGATGAAAATGATGCATTATATTCCCCTTTCAACAAACGAATGGATGTCATCGGTATTCACATTGCATGCATTGTTATTTACCTGCGCGTGGGGTTTGAAAACGACAACAAAAACACACAAAGGTTACTCACTCATCGCATTCTAAATGTTTATTTATTGTCTTCCTCAAAGAAGAGAGGTACAAAAAATCAGAAATTGAGGCAGTTTTTCCCTCTATGTTTACCTCACGAGCTCTAGTTTAATTTGCGGAGGGATATTTGTAGTTTTCTGCGGTGCTGGACAGTTTGCTAAAAATACAGGCGGTGATGGCAACAGAGTCTCTATTGGCTGAGATGGAGCAGGAACTGCAGATTATTGGACTGCATCGTCCACTCAGCAGCTAAACGGACTTGACTTTTTGCAGAGGCTTGAGGGAAATGGTGTTCGTATTATTAAACGTGGTAATGAGAGAGTTAAATCATGTCAAGTGCTTTGGGGTATTTGGAATTATTGTGTGATGGATTCGAGGAAAAGGAAAATACACATGTACAAAGTGAACCATTTCAAAGGGCCCATAAAAATACCTTGATTCATTTTTACATTTGCTTACTTTGGTGTCATCCAACCACGGTTATGTTATGCCTTCATGCGTGTATTGTCCAATACTGCGTTAAACTATGAAACTATAGTTATAATATTGATTACATTCAATTCAATTCAAATTCAATTCAAAGATGTTATCGTCAAATACACCCCCCCCCCCTGTGTATTGAAATTCTTATGCTTGCCTTTTCTGGAAAGCCGACCAATTTAAAAATAAAAATACAATATGTACATAAATGTACATATTGTAACAGTACAGTACATGTAATGATATCGTGATATTTATATATACACATTTCATTATGAATATTCTAAGATTTTGAGAGGTATTGAGAACTTTGCTCAAGTCAAAGTCACATAAATGTAGCAGGTAAAATGACAGTTCAGTTGATGTATAACAGAATTCAAATAGTTTTGTCTTGTTACGTTTTGTTCTTCTTAGTCTGTACATCGGGGGAACAACCGTAGATTCATATGAAATATATTATGTTATCAGGATAATAAGAATAATAAAGTATTATTAATAATATACGTAGGCCATAAATCACACATTATAATAGAATTATAATATAAATATTATAGCCATTTGTTTGTATAATAATAATGGTATAAACAATATTACATTTGAATGATAAAATATGGACGTTTACTATATTTAATAATGTTGTGCATCTATATTAATTGAGCCGATGATAAGTTAACGGCTCCTTAGGCCAGTTACGTCACAGGAGGGCGACACATTCATCTTTGTCAGTGAACAAAATGGCGTCTTACTGCTTAACTGTCACTAGGCTTCGGGTAAGAAAACGTTATTTTACGCGTTCGGAGTATGTTTATACGTCACCGTCGAGTACATGTGTGACAACAGACACGTCGTGTCGTGCAGTAAAGTCGGCGTTGCTTAAATTTGACGGAGGACGGTTGAATGTAGAGGAGTGCGCGAGCCGGGTCACGGTGTCCTCGGTCGACGCGGGACAGCGGCGCATTCTGACTGTTATAAAGTATTTCCACCCTCACGGCGACCGATATCATCGCGTGTGCCCGTTAATAGCGGTGACGGGTTCGGTGGACGTCCAGCGAACGGTGGCTCGGATGGCTCTCGGTGCCCTGGTGTTTGCAAGGTGATCGCAAGGTTACAGGCGGAAGAAGACGAACATGGTTGCCGGAGTAGCGCGTCTGTGTCTCGGTGTGATTTTCCTTTTAAGTTGCCTTCTTTAACCCAACGTCTCTCTGCGTTCTCTCTCCTTTTCTCCCCCATTTGAAGACAATCCGTTGACGACGTATAAAAGGCCATCGTCACAGCCCGCAGTCTTACCTTGTTATCACATATTTAGTTCATAATTTGAGTCGTGGTGGATATATTATTATATTGATTGGTGATTATATAAAAACTACGCATTCAAACCGGTTCTTTATGAACCAGTCACACGAGTCAAAGGGTGTGAAACACTGAAGCTGCTGCCCAGCAGGGCGTCAGTGTGTTTATTTACATCGCACTAAAGAGTCACTTTATAAGACTGAATGTTATCTACAGCACAGTTAGTGTGACTAGGTGAGGATTCTCCTCATTTAGGTTTAATCTAAGAGAAGACCGGCCTTTATGTTGCAAATTAAAAGGACACCCTAAAAGGAAATATCGAAACACGAACAGATTACATTAATGGATGAAGATTCTCTTGCGCTATGACGAGGGCGTCTGGGGGAATTTTCCATTCTATCTGGTTTTCTTTACATATACTTCTGGGTATTTAATCGTTAACCTCCTGATGAACTGTGCCTGTGACCTCTAGTGCTCATAGTGAACAATGTGCTGTCAGTAACAGCCTTGCAGGCGAGGCTACGCTCCGAAATATAAGCCGTTTACACTTTCACCCAGTTCTGTCTGAGCACAGGACTTTTCCACTGAGTGACAGCTTATTAAAGGTATTGAAAGAAAGATCTTGAAAGGCTCAATACAATTTGATAAGGCTGTAGCAGAAAGAAGTGGGCACAATTTGAACAACCTGTTCTCATTACTTGCATGAACAAAAATCCTAACCTTCAGATGTGAAGGGGTGAGTTCCGGGAGGGGGGTGAGCTACGGGGAATGCTCTTAAGTTTGAACTAATGGTCCAAGTCTTGCATAATTGGATTGCCTAGTTTGTTTGTCCCAAGCTGCACAGTAAAACATTGTTCACGGCGTTCCTGTTGAGGACTGTCTTCTGTTTCCTCTGGTCTAGCTGGCCCTTGGAACCGGGGCCAGGCGCTTTCATGTCTCCTCAGCCTTCAGCGCCAAGGTGGCCATGAGCCGCTTTGAGCCCGCCTCCAGCGTGAACTATGGAAAGATGCACGAGAACATCAACATTGTGCGCAGGAGGTCAGCAGCTGCCCTTTTCACAAATACACATGAACATGCAGTCCTTGTTGATTTACAGTTTGGCTCACGAGGAATGGCCAGTGATGTCACAACTTCCCAGTTAAACTTAGTGGTAACCACCGTGTTGCCTTGTGAGAGGCAGCAGGGCCCACAGAGCTAACTTTAGATGTATTCACATTCTTCTCTCACTGTGTTCTTACCTTATGCTGTAATCCAGGAATAGGAAAAGCCTTTTGTGTTGCTGTTAAATGAATTATTATTTCATCCAAATATATAGTGTACATGCAATTAATTTCCAGCACAACACAATGTTTACCGCATGTTTCCATTAATCCACGGCACCAGGCTCGGCAGGCCTCTCACTCTGTCGGAGAAGATCGTGTACGGCCACCTGGATGATCCAGCAGGCCAGGACATTGAAAGAGGCCGCACCTATCTGCGCCTGCGTCCAGACCGCGTGGCCATGCAGGATGCCACTGCTCAAATGGCAATGCTTCAATTCATCAGCAGTGGTCTGCCCAGGGTGGCCGTCCCCTCCACCATCCACTGCGATCATCTGATTGAGGCTCAGATCGGAGGGCCGGAGGACCTGCAAAGGGCAAAGGTGAGGACAGATTGATGGAGTACTGTATACATTATATTAGAATCCACTGTGCAAGCAGAGGGTTGCAATTTTAGTGGCTGCTGAGTGCATGTCCACAAAACAATGAAAAAATCTGACTTTTCACCAAAACAAGCCACAAGGACTAGTATTATTGTTTTTTTTGTGATAGCTTGAAACATATTCTTGACATGATAAAGCATCAAGTGTTGGAGCAAAGTCTATAATCCTCTGGTTCCATTAAGGATACTCAAGGATCATATATGAATATACCTCTTTCTATTTTACCGTCAACACAGGAAGTGAATGAGGAAGTCTACAACTTTCTTGCCACTGCTGCTGCCAAATACGGAGTAGGCTTCTGGAAACCCGGATCGGGAATCATTCATCAGGTACAGCACACAGATTTTATATGGATGATATAAATACTATAAAATGTGATTTGAGTCATTAGAGTGTGACTGGGAGTGACCTTTCCTTGCATAGATCATCCTGGAGAATTATGCCTATCCTGGCGTGATGCTGATTGGTACGGACTCCCACACTCCCAATGGCGGTGGCCTGGGGTCCATCTGCATTGGAGTGGGTGGAGCTGATGCCGTTGATGTCATGGCTGGAATCCCTTGGGAGCTCAAGTGTCCTAATGTGAGTTTAGTACATACGTTTTCATTTCATGAGCAGTTTCAACCCTGCGCTCATCAACTGCATATCTCCCCAAATTATTTTTTCAGGTGATTGGAGTGAAGCTGACCGGAGCCTTGTCAGGCTGGACCTCGCCGAAAGACGTCATCCTGAAGGTGGCTGGCATCCTGACTGTGAAGGGCGGTACTGGTGCCATTGTGGAGTATCACGGGCCTGGAGTTGACTCCATCTCCTGCACTGGTAAGGATGAGATACCACATGAGACCTGGTACGCTGGTTGAAGTCCTTCTGTGTTCACGTCTGATAGTCAAAGACCGCAGACGACCTTGACTAACCTCCATATCCTGCCTGAATAGATCATTTATGTATTGAAACATGGTGCACTGCATTTTAAGTCTAGGGGTAATGTGACACTCTATTTCTCAGGGATGGCCACGATCTGTAACATGGGTGCTGAGATCGGAGCCACCACATCCATTTTCCCTTACAACCACCGCATGAAGACGTACATGGAAAAAACTGGCCGAGGAGGTCAGTCTGCTAATGTCTGCATTTGTCTGTTTAGTCTTTATTCAGTGTTTCTTACCTCCAACTGTGTCCCCTTCTTCATCCCCTCTCAGAGATTTCCGCCGTGGCTGATCAGTTCAAAGAGGACTTGGTCCCGGATAATGGCTGTGAATATGACCAGGTCGTAGAGATTAACCTGAGCGAGGTGAGTCAAAACCACGCTGGTGTAATGCAAGACATTATTGTCTGCATGTCCAACCCACATGCTACTTATGTACTGTGGTGCTAATATTCATGGAATAGTCGTATACAAAGAACTCACTGTACTTGGTACTTTGCAATGGTGCTAAGCTAATCAAGATTTTGCGGAGTAGTGTTTCACAACCTCTCACATATAATTATATGGCTTTCCAGTGAATAACTTCTCCACTTCCTTTGTGCAATTCATTGTGGGTCAATTATATCCATCGATACAATACAACCTTGTCCAAGAATCTGGATGTACAAAATGGATTTGAGTCCTGCTACCAAAAAACAGATAATTAGATAAACCTGTTTATAGAAGCACTGAACAGCTTAATGAACGACCCATGTACTGACAATGAGTGGTAAACAAAGTCATTACTGACCCACCATTGTTTTTAATGCTGTAATCTTGTGTGTTGTCTTGTTTTTGGTTTCATGACGTTTTGATGGTGCATTGGGCTGCTAATTTATACTGCAGTGGGTTCTACTTTTAATATAATTTTATAGCGCATGTCCCACATTTACTTAAATGATGACGTTGCTTCATTAAGCACAGTTTCCCTCTTTCTCTCACAGTTGAAGCCCCACATCAACGGACCATTCACGCCTGACCTGGCTCATCCCGTGTCTGAGATTGGAGCTACAGCGAAGAAGAACGGCTGGCCCCTGGAGGTTAAAGTTGGTCAGTATTTGTGCAGTATTTGTATCGTCTTTCAGCCGTCCATTTTTGTACGCTTTGTCTAGAGAAATAGGATCTTTCTTTTTTGTTCCAACAAATTGGGTTGTTAACCAGATATGATCAGATCACATTACATTACGGTCATGTGTGTGCAATATAATCATTTCATATAATCATTGACTGAATGACAATAATATGTATTGGATGGTTAACATTTGTAGTTACAGACTTGCTTCTCTTTTGTGTGGAATCCTGTTCAACAGTTTGCATATAATATACAAATGTAGATAAATAAATCTGCCACTAACTGAATCCACATTCCCTTTAGTTTTCTTGTTCACCGTCCTCCTCTTACAAACATGGAACTCTTCTCCTGCAGGTCTGATCGGTAGCTGCACCAACTCGAGCTACGAGGACATGGGCCGGGCGGCCTCCCTGGCCAAGCAGGCTCTGGATCGAGGCATGAAGTGTAAGGCCCAGTTCACGGTGACCCCCGGCTCTGAGCAGATCCGCGCAACTATCGAGAGAGATGGATATGTGAGTCCGACTCTTACCAACATTAATTGAGCGAGTGACACGCAGCATTTTGGCTGATCGTTTCCGGTGTTTTTTAGCATTTACACATTTTTACAACCATGTGAGTTTGAAGATGCAGGAAAGGATTTTGTGAAATTCATGTCCCTCTTTCAGGCCAAGATCCTGAGTGATGTTGGTGGAATTGTCCTCGCCAATGCGTGTGGACCCTGCATTGGACAATGGGACAGGTATGAAGTTTGTTTGGAAAAAATATCAACGACGACTTGCCGGATTGCCACGGGATTTTGCAGATGTATCCAGAAGATCCAACAGAAGATTGATGTATGTTAGACTCAAAGCATCAGACTCATGTCCTCTGTGTTTTGACTGTCTCCAGGAAAGATGTGAAAAAAGGAGAGAAGAACACTATTGTCACTTCGTACAACAGGAACTTCACAGCTAGGAATGACGCCAACCCAGCTACTCATGCTTTTGTCACGTCTCCTGAGGTGAGAAGTGCTTGAGGTTGAACACCGAGCAAAAAAAAAAAAGCAAGCTTGGTTATTCCAATCTTGTGTGTGTGAGAGAGAGACGTGACAATGAAATTCTTGATGGCTTTGACATTTGAGCACCCTAAAAGACGTTTCTATAATTTAATGTAGATTGTCACGGCCATGGCGATCGCCGGGACCCTCGACTTCAACCCAGAGACCGACTTCCTGACCGCCCCCAATGGAGAGAAGTTCAAGCTGGAAGCCCCCACTGGTGATGAACTCCCCTCAAAGGACTTTGACCCGGGCCAGGACACCTACCAGTACCCCCCCGCCGAGAGCAGCTCAGTAATGGTACTTATGTTTGATTTAATTATTTTTGAAGATGCAGTGTGGAGCATAGCGCTACGAAAACTGACTTTTACTGCGCTAATTATCATCTGTCAAAAACCCAATAAGAGTTGTTGTCATCAAGGCTGGTTTTGATTGAAAAGGTGTAACGGGACAGTTGTCTAGACAGAAAAAGACACTAACATTCCTTTGGTGTATCAATAAAATTCAAGTTGTCTTTCCCACGTTTGAAAAAAGAGAATATTTTCACTGTAATCTAATTCTGATTTTATCTTGTTTAGGTGAACGTGAGCCCATCCAGCAACCGCCTGCAGCTTCTGGAGCCCTTCGACAAGTGGCAAGGAAAAGACTTGGAAGACATGAGGATCCTCATCAAGGTGAGCTGTGAAATGGAAGGAAAGTTGTGTTTCACTGGTGCAGATTAATAGTTTAAGTTGTTCAGAGACCTTATTTCCTTATTGTGAACATTCTCAGACAATACCACAGTTTCCAAACATGCTCAAAATAGCCAGAAAACACGAGATTGCAGATGCACATTTACAGTATATACCAAGAACCAGATGTGGTCGAGAAGTTTATAAGTTTTGCTTTCTATTGGGATTTGCCAATGTTTAAGAATTTGTTTTTCTTTTGAAGTAGCAATTAAAATATGTATTTCATAAGGGTCAGTATGGCTTTTCTAAAAGATAATTTATATTGCATTCAAAATAAGGCTTAAGCTCATTCTTTCTAAACGCATTGTGAAACTCGACTAAATCCTATGGATGTTGTTGTTTATTACCGTTCACTTCGTGCTCTCTCCGCTGTAGGTGAAGGGGAAGTGCACCACCGACCACATCAGTGCTGCCGGACCCTGGCTGAAATTCCGCGGCCACCTCGACAACATCTCCAACAACATGCTGATCGGCGCAGTCAACATTGACAATGACGCTGTCAATAAGGTCAAGAACCTGCTGACAGGGGAATTCGGAGGTGTGCCCGATGTGGCCCGCCACTACAAGGTGGGTTTGATGGGACGTGTCTGTTGATGATCTAAACATGATAACCTTGAGCCTTTATGGAGGCTGGACTGTTGTACTAGACTGCGTTTTTGTAGTAAAACCTAGTAGACTGGCCAGTGTTGATTGTGTAGCTTTACAGCTGTATGCTAGTGCTGTTACACAAAGCAAAAGCTCCAGGCTGTATTCTTTTTTGTGATGCATATTTGGGCCTTTAATGTCTTCTCTGTCCTTGTCTTGACAGAAGTTGTCAAACTGTACCTTTGTTTACCTGTGTAATCCAGGCCAATGGAGTGAACTGGGTGGTGGTTGGAGATGAGAACTATGGCGAGGGGTCCAGTAGGGAGCATGCTGCCTTGGAGCCACGCCACCTAGGAGGACGCGCCATCATCGTCAAGAGCTTTGCCAGAATCCACGGTGAGTTTCAGAGCCCAGAGGCAGAATATATGCAAACGTCACTGCAGCCATGTGCAATTGTATTCAATACCTGTGGACGGAATGTCTGTAGATCTCGCACAAACATCCACTTGGACTTTGGGATTCATTGACAAGAATCTGGTGGTCGAACAGAACACTTTTGGGCCATTGCTCAAGAATTCATGTGCTCATTTTGACATTTTACATGAATGTCTAAAAAGCACGAGACAACTAAGTGATTTTGGACTCACATGGATGTGAGCTGCAACTTGACTGCTTGATGGTGGCAAACAAAGGCAGCAAGTAGTATCTCAACCTGTATGTTTGGGTTCCAGAGCAAGCTGATAATTATTTGGTTTAGCATGTTTGCAGTCTGCCATAATAAGTGTCTACGGGAGTTATATTTAGAGTCCATTAGGGCCAGTTCAGCCTGGTCTACATGGAGGTGGGGAGAATGAAGCCTGTCTGATCCAAGCTGTTTTCATTTGTGTGAAAAGGGCCTCAGAACCAGAAACACACACATCTGCTTTTGAAGTTTAAATCTTTCAAAATAATTTGTTCTCTAAGTGTAGGATTTCCAACCACATGAATTATGTGTAGATGTAACAGCTAATTCATAATGACAACATGAGCTAAACAATAGCAACAGGAGTCACATGCTTTAATGACCGTCTATTACTGTGTAACAGATATATTTCTGACAGTCAAGGAGACCCTGTCTGGCCCCTCTGGGGACTTCAGTCTCAGCCTGTGTGTTGTCTTCTCATTTCTCCTGTGTTTCCTACTCAGAGACAAATCTGAAGAAGCAGGGCCTGCTGCCTCTGACTTTTGCCGACCCCAAAGACTACGACAAAATTCGCCCAGATGACAAGATTTCAATCAGTGGGCTGAAGTCACTTTCTCCTGGCAAGGTGAGACATATTCTGCAGTAATGAAACCTGCATCCAAAGGACAGCCGAGCTTCTCTCCTGCTGCGTTCACACCAGTGATCTTGTTTGCCGCCTGTGTCTCACCTGCAGCCCCTGACGGCAGTAATCAAGCACAGTGATGGCAGCCAGGAGTCCTTCCCTCTTAACCACACCTTCAATGAGACGCAGATCGATTGGTTCAAGGCCGGCTCCGCTCTCAACAGGATGAAGCAACTCCAGTAACTGCTGGAAAGGACGGAGGTGGGGCCTGTAGGGGCCATTGAGGGGCCTCGGCGTGGGTTAAGAAGGGGAGAAATGTGGGCCTAGAGAGGCGTGGACGGTAGAGTGTAACCAGACCTGTTGGTTTAGGGGGCAGCTCAATTGAAGACAACACACAAACATACACACAGGCATGTACATGCACGGTCAGAATTACTGTGAAAGCCCTCCCCAATGACAGGCAGAATAACAGAAACACATTCAACCAATCAGACCGAAGCATAATAGGCAGCATTGTTTTCACCTGCAGCGTTCCTTCACCCAGCAGTAAAGAAACCCGAATCAGCCCCTGAATTGATGAAGTAATAAAGTTTGTCTCAATGATTTCCATCCAAACAGCTCCATAAGCTCTCTGTTGTTCAACGCGCAGAAATGTTCTTTTCCTTCGTTTCCCCCAGAACCTCCTTGCTACGTTCTCTCTCCTATTGTCACCAAGCGGCGATTAACTCTGCTGGTCGTCCGTCATTTTCCACCTGTACTAAGCTGCTAGAAGGCCAATTGTAGTTTGGAGCCACAGTGTAAACCGTTCACCAGAAACAATCATTTACTGTAATCCCATCAGTCCCTGCTCGGTCATTGGAGCCCAGTGTGCATCACTCAGTCTGACAACTTGTGTTTCCATGCTGCTGCTGTTGCACTTCTTATTTTGTGCTTTCCCAGCCCGCATGTGAATCTGCACTTGCTCCCCGCTGCTCTCCCATCGGTTGCTTGCTCCTTCTCTTGTCTTTTTGTATGATATAACAGCCCATTGTGTGACAACAACCACCACACATACTGCATTGTTGTTAGCGCTAGCCTTGCTATTCTCTCTTCTTTCCATCAGTGATTCGTTATGGACGTGGGCTGTAATCCGATTTGTGTTGCTACAAAACAAAGTGTCATTTTTAATGTACATTCACTCAGACACAGGAAATCTTTTGTGTCGATAGGAAATGGCAGCATAACGGTTTCAGGAAAAGTCATCTGCGATGTCCAGAGAAAGCGCTTCTCTTTGATAGTAGGTCTTTTGTCTAATTGTCCCAATGAGATCCTGTGTAACAAAGCTTCCCCGATGTTATTGTGGTTTTCTCGCGTAGCTGCAATGGGAGACATGATGCGTTTGTCCAGGCGTTGAAGGTTTCTCTTCAGGTTGAGGTTGGCTCTTGCAGAGCATGAGGAGGGCCTGCTGTCTTCTTACACTAACTAACGCACAATCTAGTGTCCAGATGCCTGTACACTAGCACTTTGTAGAGTTAGGAAAGTAGTTGTAGGTGTGCTTTGCCACGCTTCCTTTCATTCTCTGCAAACATTTCACTCTTCAGCGCCCATCTCGTGTGTGTCTGTGAGAGAGACTGTAGGACTGACATAGAACTTCTAATATTCATTATTGATGCACATGTGCGACTGTAGAAATGATTCAAGACTAAGAACCAGTAAACTTTCTTGTTTTGATAGTTTTGTCTTGCCATGATGGAGACCCAGTACGCACCACTGAAACAGGCTGGTCATATATTTTTGTGGGCTTATGGATGTTTTGGGGTCATACGCTGTTTAGTTCTAATCACATCAACATCTGTCTTTTAAAGCTGTAACTTCTCATTTGTTCAGTCTATGAAGAACTCGCTTAGATTTGATATTTATAGTAACCTAGTAGTTCACTCCCTGTGTGCTAAAAAAGGAATTTGGACCTGTGTGTAAATGATGTGATATAAATAGCAGCACTGTATAGGGGTGTGTACATACATGATACATGAATTATATATATATATCAAAATAAAAAGAGAGAGAGCAAGTAACCTGCTGCCGTGTCTGAATGAGAGCTGTTAACTCTGACGCCTCGTAGCGCCGTGTCATGAAGTGTGACGGTCCTGCGTTCGTCGTGGATCTCACGGTCTCCCAAAGCGGTTCTGGATTGGGGCTCAACTTAAAGCACACATACTGGATTGTAGTGTTGCTGCTGTGTTTCGACGGGGGGGGGGAAGAGGACTTGTAAGTTCTAGGAAGGAGACTTTTGGCGGCGTTGTGCATAGTTCTTAGTAGTTTTGTTCAAATCATTTTCAGTGACCGGTGATCAGAAACTGCAGCAGCCCAATTTTTTTTTTTTTAAAGATGTTTTGGATATTGAGTCCATGACGGGTTCCTCTGTTCATAGAGTCAACAGCATCACGTCTTCATGCACTCTTTAAAAACATCACATTGTTAAACACTCACCACTGCCAAAGATGCCTAATCGAAATACTAATGCTTATCCATAAGTGTTGTTTGAGAAATCAACCATTATTATGTGATCTTTCAAATAAATCACTGTGTGCATCATAATCTCATTACGTTCAGGGTGTTGAACTAGAGAGTTAACCAGGGTCAATGCTAGTTGGGAAAACATCTTAAATACGGATTTGTTAATCATCCTTCGTCAGCACATTTTATTTAACAGCTGCCTGTGAAGCAGTTTGCTCATCCTGTGATTGTAGTTCCTGTGATTGTTGTTTTTAAAAAGCGCTGCTGTAGAGTGACTAATCAAATGTTATTTGTAACGGAGGCACACATACTGTCATTTGTACTCCGGTGTGCTTTGTTTGGTCAAGCTTCCTCTGATGTGTTTTAAGAAAATTTTGCAACATGCTTCATCTGTTCAGATACAGCAAATAAATATGGAATATGAACAGCTGTTTAATGATTCCCCACACAATCCTGTTTCAGCAATTAACTTTAAAGTATATTTCAAAATGCCTGCAGTTATATTGTTTTAAAGACTGAAAATATCTTGACAATAAGAAAATAACCAGTAAATTAATAAAGACAAAGTTGTGAAGTGAATGTATTTCTGGTTTTATTTGGACAATGTAATAAATATAAAGGATCAAGTGTGATAGATTGTAACACATGTGTTACAATCTATACACAGGATTCTAGGAGCTGAGGTTCTGGTTGCTGCCCTCGTCCGCTGCAGCAACTCAGACTAGTTGCAATCCTCATATTGATTATATTTATATTATTGTCACAACTATGGAACCTCAAGATGAACTTTCGTACCATTACATATTTCTGTGCATATATTGTTTAGTTTGTAAATGTGTGTAGAGATTTAGGGTAGATATAAACTATTAGTTATTGATTTTCTGTATTTTTTGTTTACCCAGTAAATATACTTGATTCATGTAATTATTTGATGGAGGTGTTAATGTCATTCTGTTAACAACGAATTGAATAGGTATTTCATTTTCAAGATCTCTAAAAGGCGCATAAGCCAAATAGCACGTTAGTGTAACACAAATAGCACATTAATTAAGAATATATGCGGTGTATAAACAGACTACTAGAGCTTCACAATTGTGCACTGTAGCTTTAAGTTTTGCGACATGTCGTAAAACATGTCGTAAGCCATCACGTGGACGCATCATGGACGCGTTTGAGTTTTCAGTGGATCACTTTACTTTCATTAGTGTCTTTAGGTAGATTGTGAACAATCATCGATATTTGTGTTCGATCGCATCTCTGCATGAACCCGGAAATGCCTTCGCGCCAGTAGGAGACGCCTCGGCGCCACAGAACCGCAGCGGCTCTCAGTCAGTGTGTGTGTGTGTGTGTGTGTGTGTGAGAGAGAGTGTGAGAGGACCATCTCACGGTCTGCAGCATGTTTGTGTTGGTGGAGATGATCGACACTGTCAGGATCCCGCCGTGGAACTTCCCGAGGCAACTCAACGAGGCCATAGCCGAGGAGCTCAACAAGAAGCTGGCCAACAAGGTGCGCGAGATGCTCACGAAATATTAAAATATAACTACTCACTTTGGTTCTAACCAGATCCTATTATAAACCACAGGCCTTGTTTTGGGCCGTTAATGTCTGTGGATTATTCTCATAAAGGCACGTATTGCACTGCGCATGTGCGTGAGCATGTTGCTTGTATTTGTTGTTAACTGGTTCTCTCTGCATCTCTCTGGTCTCCCTCCATCTTCAGGTGGTCTACAACGTCGGCCTGTGCATCTGCTTGTACGACGTCACTAAACTGGAGGATTCCTACATATTCCCCGGGGACGGAGCCTCGCACACTAAAGGTGACGAAGAAGAGCTCTCGCTTCTTCTTCTGCTGCAGCGAAAGATTCTTGACATATTTCTGCAGGTTCTTCCAATTAGTTTTGTGGTTCTATTTTGTCTACGACGTGTTGTGTCTCTTGTCTCCAAAGACGTCCTTGTTATGAAAGGGAGGGTTGATCTCTCCTCCTCTGAGCGCTTCCCATCATCCTTTGATTTGTCTTTCAGTTCATTTCAGGTACGTCGTCTTTCACCCTTTTCTCGATGAGATCCTGCTCGGCAAGATCAAGTACTGCAGTCAAGAGGGAGTCCATGGTAACTGCATTACATTATTGTATTATATGAATCATTCTAAAGGCTCAGTGATGTAAAATGTGGTTTTGTTTGAATTTCGGCCAAAGATATTGAATTTACAATACTTGAAAACTAAGAGAAGCAGCAAATCCTCCTGAAAATAGCTTTAAAAATGCACATTTTCATTGATTCATTTTATTTTGGACACACTTTATTCATGTAGTAGTGCTGCAGACAACGCAACATGAGTTTTAATAAATCCTTGAAAAGTGCACATTTAACATCTGATTTATTATATATTCCATGTGAATTTTCATCAAGCATAACTTGAATGTTGCGATGCTGATGAGAACTGGTGGATATATTAAGGCTATGAGCCGTCGCCCTGAAGGCTCACATGTCTGCTCACACCTGCGTGAGAAGACACAGACGTACCGCGGTAAGACTAACACCTCTGTTTCCCAGTGACGATGGGCTTCTTCGATGACATCCTCATCCCGCCGGAGTCTCTTCAGCAGCCCGCAAAATTGTATCCTGATGCATCGCAGCCTACGTAGATTAGATTATTGTCCCGCATTGATTGTGACCGGCGTTTGTGTAGCAACCGAGCCGTCCTTAGCTCCCGCCTCAGCGACGAAGCGGAGCAGGTGTGGCTGTGGGAATACGAGACGGACGAGGGCGCCCATGACCTCTACATGGACCAGGGCGAGGAGATCCGTTTTCGGGTGACGGATGAGGTCTTCGTGGACACCTCGCCGACGGGCCCGGCTGCCGCTGTGACGGAGACGCCGGCGCAACCGGGACAGCCGCCGGCTCCGCCGGCAGAGGCCAGCGCGGAGAAGAAGGATCCGCCGTACACTCTGATTGTAAGAACACGCCATCTACGTCACCACGAGACGTGTGCATGCAAACACCTCTGACCTGTAGTAAATCAGGAAAATCTGTTGGCATTGTGATGGAATCACACTCAAATTTTGAAGCTGGGTTTTCGTACTAATGTGGAGAAAACTCCACGTTTCTAAGCAAATTAGTTTTTACCAGTGTCAAATATCCGTTTTGGCTGCAGTCTCCTGTGTACCTTGGCTTATATACTCTGGCTGGGCAGGTTTATAAAAACACAGAATGCTGCTATTGCACCAAAAGGACTGAAGAAAACCCCCGTGTGGCTTTGAAGCTCCTGGTTCATCTTTGCCTTTGTCCTTCCAGGGGACCATCTGTGACCCGGGGCTCGGGCTGCTGTCATGGTGGAACAGTTAGCGACAGCGGGGGAAGGAGGACATTTTGGGGGGGTTACAAACTGATCGCCGACCCAGAAGCCGCTAGGACGGACACGGAAGCGAAGGCACAACGGGCCGCTCCCTGGACCAAGATGCTGTCGGTGTGTGTGAGACGGGCGTGGTCGGCCACAGTGAGACCGGTTGTGTGGTAATAACGCTCTGAGCGCACCAGCTCCGTGCCAACATGTGAAATTCACCATGTTTTTAAAACCACAATCATTTGATTTTTGTTAATTTATTGTATCTCACATAAAGTGCCCCACCCCAATTTAAAGGTAGATATTTATTATTTCATTTTTTCAATAATACTTTAGCGTCAAATGTACACAGGTCACAAGTGTGCTTTTGAACACTGAACAGCAGAGTCAGGAATGAATAAAGTTTTGTGCCTTTAAATACTTTTTTCAGATTTTTTTTTTTTTCTTTTACGTAGAAATTAGACCCACGGGGCAAATGTGTATTGAATTGGTATCAAGATTCAAACAAGGGTAACCACCACAATTTAAAAAACAAAAAAACAAAAAAACGTTTTCAACCTCAAAATATAAACGCATTTCAAATGTCACCTCATTGTTTTTATATTCCTGCGTTGTCCGTTTATTAAACAGCCCAGTTCTATTCTGTTTCTGTTTTGTTCCTCTGTAAAAAGGCGTATCATCAGCGAGCGTGTTTGCATGGCCAGAATATTTTGGTTGTGAAACTAGGTCAGACTGTACAGAGTTGTTATCAACAAAAACACATTGTTTGCATGTGAACATCAACATCTCCTGCACATCGAGCTTCGCTTCCCTTCACATTTGTGTCTCACTTCACACGCCAGCATTTATTTACCTATTTATTTACCCAGCATTTTATCCTCAATTTTTTTCGGACTTGTATTGATGATAAAACGTCATGGCAACAGAGAATACCTCTAGGCCATCTCTTTATAGAGACACATTATACACACGAGGAACGAAGAAAGGTATTTCACAAAGACGCGTGCGCGCGCGCGCTCGGCGTCGCATCACGCCATCGGAATCTCCGCCAGCTGCGCAGACTCCGCAGCACCGTCACATCAGGGCTCTCCGTTGGACTGCGCTCACCCAGTCGACTTATTTATTTAATAACGCGTTATATAATACACCGCGACTCGGGACGCTCGCTCACTCACACACGCCGATCGCAGCGCGCCCGATGCGGTAAGTCACGTTTCTGTGCAAGTAGTCCGTGCGCGGGGGGGGGGGTCTGCGTGTCTTTGTTTTTGGGGGATCGGGACAATGTCTTGTTTGCATGCTCGACAGGACGAGGGCCGGAGAACGAAGAACCGCTGATCTCGTGAGCTCGATCCGCCTGTGGTCGCATGGAGCTCGTCTCCGCCGTCAGACCGTTGGCTGCTCGCAATGAACCTGCTTTTGTTCATGTTACGTTTTGTCAAACAGCCTCGACGCCTTTTAACTTCCACACGCCTGCTGCTGAAATCAACACGGCTGTCAATTTTGTTTTCATTCATTGAATTATCTTGATAAGCTGAAATGAAACAAGCGTCAAATGATTAAACATCAAATGATTAAACATCAGAGTTCACGATAGTACACGAGACGTGTGTGAACGCCACACACACACACACACAGTGAATATACACGCTTGTACACGCTACTTATGTCTATTAGGTGTTGTACTACTGTTGTAGGAGACGCAGATGTTGAACGGGGCGCTGACGTCACGAACGAGCCGCTGTAGGCGGTGTTCTGCAGCTGTTGTGACGTCACGAGGCTGCATCACTAAGAGGAGTGGGCGTGAAAGACACGTAGACGCGGAAAACCACCCGGTGTCTATTTGCTATGCGGGCCGGTGTAAATGGTTTGTGGGGGTTTGGATTCGAGCCTCAGTGCTGACAGGAGATCCGTCAGTCGTCTCTTATTATAACCTTGAAAATACCACGGTGGGGACAAACCGGATTACGAGGTATTGAAGAGCAAGGTCACCTGATTTAACGCGATATGCTGCGGATTTTAGCCTCCGGGGATGATGATCACAGATGGACAGAGGAATAATTCCCCAATTCTCACAAACTGGAGGATAACAAGAGCACTGTGTTGCTCCCATGTAAATATTTAGTATACACTGCAATGATGGAGCTTTGTACTGGTCAGCATGAATCCCAAATATATCCATCCAAAGCTCTGGACGTCTTCAGCCACAAACCCTGGCGTGTAATATTCAAGAGGGTTCCAAGGAAATTGAGTCTGTTACCAACTGAGCATAAAATTGCATTATATCTAATTTGGGACTGGTTCAGTCCATTCATTTTACATCCAAGAGCTCAACTGGTCTTCAGTGGATGTTGTCTGTCAAATCAGAGAAAATAACCCTGTTGATGTCATTGGGGTGTTCCCACGAGATGAAAACATGCAATTGCCGATCTGCAAGTGAACATTTCTGGAGCCGGTCGAATTCATACCCAGTTATATAGTTTGGCCTCTGCTGCATTGATTTAGATCATTCTTATTAAATTCATCCCGAGAAAGTTCCCCAGCTTCAGGATACAAGATAACAACAGCAGTGCCCATTGAATATGAGACGGGACTTTATCCAAAGGACGTGAGAATTGACCACGGAGGCGTCACCTCAACATCTAATTAGCTATTGGCAGACTTTCTATTTAATAACGCAAGTTTGACATGTAAGGGGTATGACGATGTATTCCTGAGGAAAGAACCGTTCCGCCTCACAGGTCCCTTATTTCTAAGATGTGTCTGGAACAGACTTATTCTTGGCAGGATAACGCGTCCCGTCCACCCTCAACCCCATCGGGTCTAAAGCCACATGACAACTCCCCGACCCTCACCCATTCTCTCGCTGGCGTCCTCCTCCTCTTCGCAGCCCGTGCTCCTGACAGACCTGAGGTGACAGCGCTGACCCGGATAACGGCCGTGCCCTCCTGTGCCCCTCTGAGGCGGAAGAACTCGCAGGCAGACCAGCGGACGGACGCCTGTATCAGCGTTCCATCGGCAGCCTGCGGCCTGAACGCCCACGCCGTCTCCCCTCACCCTCCTCGCCGCTGTCCCGTCCAACATGGCAGACCCCGGCCTCACGTCGCCCTCGAGGACCCCGCTGCGCTCCCCCAACGCCTCTCTCAGCCTCTCCTTCCCCTTCCTGAGGGAGGGCAGCCGCATATGGGAGGATGGGAAACAGCAGCCGCTGCCCCGGGATCTGCCCAGCCCGTTGCCCACTAAGCGCAACCGCACCTACTCAGCGTGAGTTCGTCTATTTACCAACGGGGTGGAAGGAAGACGGTCAACAAACACACGCGTTGGGGGTTTTCCGTTTCATTTAATTGTCATTACATTAGAATTAGGAAAGCTGTGATGAGCCTGTAGCCACCAAACCAGAACTAATAATGGGTCCGAAGCACCGTTGTGATACCAACGCTTTATCGCGTGGTGCTGACGCACAAACCTCATGGAGTTTAAAGACTGACTGAATCCAGTGGGGCAAGAGGGGGTTGATGTTTGCAGATGAATAAACAGACACGGGGCTGTTTGTCACTTGTTTGCTTCTTATGTTTATGTTTTACGACTTCTAGCTATTTTAAGCCCAACCATGATGTTTGTTGTGTTCCATCCAAGTGGTTTTGTTACCTACACTAATCATAAGATTACTGCGACGTTGCAACAACATCAGTGAATTGTAAAGAGATGAGTGATGTTATGCTTATTGTGCTTATTGTTGTTTTCCTCTCTTTGGCTGCAGTACGGTACGTGCTACCTCAGGTCCCGTGTTTAAGGGCGTGTGTAAGAACTTCTCCAGGTCACAAGGTCACGGCTTCCTCCAACCATCCCACGGTGGAGAAGACATCTTTGTCCACATCTCAGAGTGAGTTGTTACAAGACTTCAGTCAATGTATTACAGAGGATGATGCTCTGAACTATTATCTTGTCTCAAAATGACTGATTTAAAAAGCAGAGACTCGACGATTGAGGTTCAAATTACATCTACTGGACTCATTGTATCCTGTTTGTTGAGCTGGCAAATGTGATTGATGGATATATGTGGCTTCACCGAGTCTCCCATGTTTTAAGCATGTTTACATTTGGTCTGTAGCCATTTAACAGCCAACACGGAATGAAGCAAGATTTTCTCTCATGGTTTAATCGGCCTACTTTTGCTCTATTTCAGCATCGAGGGGGAGTACGTCCCAGTAGAGGGCGACGAGGTCACGTACAAAGTGAGTCGAGTCCCTCCCAAGAACCTGAAGGTGCAGGCGGTGGAGGTGAAGATCATACATCTCAACCCAGGGACGAAACACGAGACCTGGTCTGGGCAGATCATGAGCTCGTAGACCTGAACTCAGGGCCTCGCAGGGCGTGGAGGGGGGGGGGGTTGGACATGTAGTTGGACCAATAACGTACAATTTGCTAAAATCCTTTCTTTAGAAGCATGTTTTATCTACGCAGCAAAGTGCCCGGGACGACTCGTGTGTCGGTGGTGTTGTTTAACAGCTGTGTATGTAAGACTGACTATTTATTCACCTTTAGGAAAGACACATTTAAAAAATTTCTTTCTATTATTGTCATGATTTAAGTCAGATTTAAAATAACGGGGTGATAGGCAAAAGATCGAGCTGGAAAAGTCTGTTGGGCCTCATTTTTCACAAAGATCAGCTTTGTAAAAGTATAAAAACTACCAAACTGTAGGTTATAACTATTTTGCAGATCTAAGGCGTGACGGAGTGTGTGTGTGCATCGAAGGACAGAATTCCGTTTCCCTTCTTTGCGTCTGTTGTGCACTTGTTTACTTCACCAGCGTTCCCAGGACGTTGGGTGCAAGTGTGGGTCAGATTATCACAGCCTGCACACTTTAGACTTTGGTCGAGAAGAAGCTTTGAATTGAACAACAAAGATAACAGATGTTAAAGTAGTTGAGGGAATTGATGTTGAAGAGATTTGAAGGAAAAGGTGATGAAATGGCAGGTAAACCAAGTAAATCCCTGCTACACAAATTAAATCAACGCAATGTCACTAAATATGAATAGACAGAAAGTGTAATGAGCTCCTATCGGGTGTCACGTCAAGTTCAAAGTTCTGAGGTTTGTCTTGGAGGTCCAGGGGCAGATCACATTAAACCGAGCATGAAATAAAAAAAGACACTACTGTGAATGGAAAGAAGGAGTATTCTCCTGGAAAACACAAATCCTTGGTTGTGTGTCTTGTTTGTGGTTATTTATTTTAGTTATTTATTTGATGATTTAATCAGATTTGTGTTTATCTTCAGATTGTAAGTACAGTGAAAGCTTTCACTAAAGAAATTTGAACTTCCAAAACGGAAACTGCCAGAAGAACAGCTCCAGACTTCACGGTCGGGTTTTTCAAAATCTGTTGTTTTGTTGGAAAGAAAATCTGCTGATTTAAAAAAAAAAACTATTTGTAAATCTCTTTTTCTATTATGAGAAAAACACGTATCTGTGTGTGGTTTATTAAATGTAGTCAGCGTGATGGTACACGACGTCATAGTCAACGTCACATCCGCGCTGTTTGTAGTCATTCAGGTTTTGCTCAGTGTGCTGTGTGTCATTTTCTATTCCATAGAGCATCTATGCATCGTGTCTGAATGTCCGTGCCACTGCCTGAACTTGTTCAACATGTTAGATTTATTTAAGGACACTTTCTTTTGTGGACGAGCCCATGATTACTTTTGCTGAGCCTTGAAAGAACATTAAAGCATTTTATGATTCACACGTCTGATGGAAGCTGTGTTTCTTTAGGTGCATGAGGGAGTGAATCTGGGGGAGGAAGAGTTTTCTCTTTTAAATAGTGGGGTTGAAAGTTAGCAATATAATACAATTAAGCAATAATGTTTGGTCTTTGGTGTTGAATAGATGAAATATAAACTTGAGTGCTATTTATGTATTTGTGTTATTTGGGCCTGTAGTCAACGATTGTTACATTTTCACATCCAAAAGAAGAAAGAAACACACAAGTTTGGTGATGTTATCAAAAAAGCTTTGTTACCATGAATTGAACAAATTCCTTTTTTATCCATAAATGACTGAGAGACAACAAGATCGATCTCTTTAATCAGTGAAACATTAACATGAATTAATTCCCTGCTTGTGGTTGTCGACATGATCCATTAAGTCTTATTTGTGGAAGGAGTGTACACACAGAACTGCAGCTGAGGATTCATCAAAAGCTTCATATTTACTACAAAGATATATCCAGGAGGCTCTTTTTTTCTAAACAAAACAAAATTTCAATATTCAAAATTTTAAAAGTTACTTAAAAAAACCCTTTAAGCATCTGTTAAAAACTACGTCTGAAAAAGATTAGCAATAAGCATGGATACAAGCAGCCAGGCAGCGTGCAGGACACGACCCAGCTCGTAAAAATATTTTACATACAAAGTAATATCAAGTGTCATATCAACTGACAAAGGTTTGCAGAGTGACTTGGTCACAGTAGCTTAATTCACTGGTTATGTTCTTTTGCATCATTAATGTTGAGCTTTTAAATAGAAATCTGAACTGAATATTTGAAATTTACGGGATTACACAGTAAATAAAGAATACATCTCATCCAGCTCAGAGCGCTGCAGAGACATGGAAATACCTGGAGTGAATTATACGTCGCCAACTGCAGACTCCCAACACCAGCAGATCCTTCTCACCGGCTTCGCTTCACTCTCCTTCTTCAGCAGTGATCAACACGACTACACCAACGTGCAAGAATCATTCTACATCATCCAACACTGCTGAATATTTAAGAATCTCTCCATGCTTTTTTTGGCTCCTCACATGCTTCACAGTGCCTTTACACTTTACACAGTATTTAAAACCTTCACATACATCAACATTTAACACTTTCTCAATTTTTTTTAAAACAGAATAAAAAAGCAGCCGGATTTATTGCGCAGATTTAGTCAAATCACCCGGCTGCGGCCTATTGGTCTTTAGAGTAATCCTATTAATAATGACATGATCAGTAGTACTTTTCAGCAGTTAAAATATGGGCCGGTGTTGCTCGTTGTCGTACCAGCGGGCCGAAGAAGGGTGGAGGGGAGGTGGGGGCATTCCAGGACGTCAGGGCTCGTGGGGTGAAGCATTAAAGAAAAGCTCCCGACAGAAGCGGGCCGTGTCCTCCGGGGAGTAGACCGTGAAGCCGACAGTCCGCGGGTCGTTGAAGATCTCATAGTCGTTTCCCCCCTGAAAAGAGCACCATGCAAAGACTATAAACTATATAAACCTTCAAGCCATGTTGAAATCCTCTCAGCCCAACTCTCGCTGAGCTTCGACCTCTGACCCTGGACAGACCGTTTGATCCGACCACTGTTGTCATGTCTCCAGTCAGTCAATGTGTTTACGGTCGGCTTTGATCACAGATTACAGTTGAATCTTCAAACTGAAGATCCTTTGAGTAAGATAAGATAATCAGATAATCATTTTGCTGCGGATATTGTCGACAGCAGTGTGAATGGGTGCAAATCTCTCAAGCCAGGTTGCTAAATTTGAAGAAAAAGAGTCTGTTGTTAGCAACAGTTCAGGTTTTGTAGAAAAGAGGTATTCAACCACTTTCGGCCGCGCAAGAATTGAATTATTAAAAGTCAGTCAGTCAGCACCTGCATCCACATCACTGACCCCGGCCCTTTTCTAAATCTTTCCCAAGATGAACTTACATCTGACGTCTCGTTGCCAAAGAAATAGATGGTGTCCAGACTTTCGCTGGCCAGCTGCTCCAAACACAGCCTCTTGTCCCAGCCCTCTGGGAAGATGTCGAAGCTGATGAGGCCGCCTAAGAAACACACGGACCACAGAACGTTGTCATCATCCTCGTCCCTGTCATTTTAGCCGTGCACATTCTAATCCTTCAACACACATCTTGCACAATACGGAATATTTTAAAAGAGGGAAATGAAGCATTGTGATATGAGCAAACACACATTTGCCAACACTTCCAGAAACGAGCTGACAAAGAAGTGTTTGCGTCTACAACATGAACCAGCTCACTCATTATGTGGTTGAATACTTTCCCTCTTCCATTCTTCCACCTATTTACACACAACAAGCCGAGCTCTGCAGGACAGACGTTGCTTGGTGTCTGAGCAGAGAGATCCGGCGCGGTTGGACCTCTCTGTTTTAACCGTTGGCAGAGGGACGCAGTGCAGTCTGGAAAAACACGACTCGCCACAAATGTGCGTCCATCATTGATCAACCAATTACAAAGACTTTCTACATTCAGGGAATCCAGAGACCACAGAGACAGGCGTGATTGCGGCTGCAGCTCGTAGATAAGGTCATTGATTGCGACGTGTTATGTGTTCTTCTCACAGTCCCCCTCCGGTTCTCCTTACAGCTCATTGTTCTCCACATTTTAAAGGAAAAAACTCAGCTGTCGAGTCAATTGACCTATGAACTGTGAAAATGTAGTCAAGCACGTCCTCCAAAGTTCAACCCAGCACTGACCTTTCAACCTTCCCTTCCCCCCTCGAATACTGTCAGTCAATAACAAAGGCAACGACTGGGAGCAACAAGGAGCATCCAGCCAATCAGAGGGCTGCATCGCTCACCCGCCCTCCACACGCCTCCAACCCGAGCACCTTCAACCCAACACACCTCAGGGCCTCAAACCCCCCCCCGCCTGCTTGGTGTGCTTCTTTCATTCCTGAGCAGAGGAAGAAGTCGGGCTGCTGACATGTAATCCTTTTCACCCCGAAAGCTCCTCCCCCTCTGTGATTACTACGATTCAAGATAAAGAATCAACACAGGATACAATCTTTGACCTGATATCATCAGTGTTCGTACATTCTGAACCCCCTTGCAGATCAGAAGAATTCTTATGCAACATCTATACATTTTATTTTAGAACCAACCCTGGAAATTATGAAGGTACTTGCAAACGATAAGGTAAGGCAAAGTGTATTTCATAAAGTACATTTGGAGATTTCATTAAAGTTATTTTTTTCTTCTTTTTACAAAATGTACCAAAACACTGGCAGAGAAGAATATCCATCTGTGGATACTAATAAGAGATCGGCAGCCGTATAGAAGCAGAAAGCCACCTGCAGCCTTTTTCAGTTTGGTTAATGTTGCGCAGTTGAAATGTTGTTCCAACGTTTACTTGTGTCTGCGTGTCAGGGATCCAGAACTGGCAGCAGCCTGTCGCTGGGCTTTGTTTGTCTGCATTGTGATCAGCCTTCAGGCGACGTCAGCTGGGGCAAACGCCTCGCAGAGCACGTAAGCAAACATCCATTATCCAATGAACCTTAGACCGCCGCGTTGCCACAGAAAGAGTCTGTCGGCTGAAGATAGTTGACAAAAGGCTCCGACGTAAAGCACAAGGCCCATTGCACAGCGTGGATGTCAGGGTAGAGGGGAAAGTGACAACAGATAAAACTACACGTTACCACTGTGTATACTTCTTGTGTCTTCGAGAGACATTTGAGGGGGACATTAGGGTTCAAAAGGTTACATTAAGACGTATGACCAATGAGTTGTATCCACTGAAATTATACAAAGGGGATAGATTAGGGGGTAAAATCTGAAGAGGGTGCGTGTTTTCTTGCTGGTCCACACGCTTGTAAACTTAAACGTGGTTTTCTGTCAGCTTCCTCACCTTTAGTGAACCGCAGTCCCTTCCCAGCAAACTCCTCTTTCAGGGCGGCAACAAATTTCTCCCTGATCTTCTCTCTCTGTGGAGAAAGTGACAAAGCAGTCAGACCCGGCTGACTTTTTAACTGCACACTGTACCTGCGCACCCTCGTACCCATCATCTGCCCTGCTCTCCAGATGTTAAATGCGTGCATTTGTCTTGTGCATGTTTTTTTTTTACCATATCAGTATACAGGATTGAGCTGCATTAAGGGTCAAATCTGGCTCCTGGCTCTGTGCACCGTCAATGGGCCTCCTGTTAAACGGTCCTGAAAGCTCAACATTGTGTTGACCTCTCGCTGTCTGCTTAATTGGGCACATTTCGTGGAACAGAGCCACAGATGGGCGGCCTTTGACTCACTCATTGCAAATCGGGTGAATTTGCACTAATGTCTTTTACCTTGTCGATTTCAGAGAATTCAATTCGCTCCTCCAGTGTGCAGCTCCGCCCGATGGGGGAAATGTTGAGCATTCCATTCCTGAACTCAATGAACGTTCCCCTGCCGGCAGAAAAGAGGATTGAGGTGAGACAGAAAGCTGGATCTGGCTTTGAATAATACCAAATCCTGCCGCCCAACCCAAAGATGAAGAAATGCAATTTTAGCTGTATTACTACACAACAGTCATAATGACTGTTGCTGCTGCAACTGGCTAGTAAGCTTCAGCGGCAGTTCAGCAAAGAATTTGTCCCACATCAGGATGGAGTCCAATCGCCAGAGACTTTTGGTGTAGTTTGTGTAATAAAGTATTAATAAATTCCAATAAAGTCGTACAGTGGACGTGCATTTGTCCACCTGGGGAATCAAATAACTGACTCATAAGGTCGGCCGAAGTCTCACCTTTTCTTTGGCAGTTTGATGAGCCCCATGTAGCTGAGGCAGAAGTTGATGAGGTCCTGGAGCAGCTCCTCGCCGATCTGGTTCTGTATCGCCTAACGGGATGAAAACGCACTTTACTCATTAACACACGACCGGCTGTGCTCTGTCCCACCATTGAAATAGGTGACTGAAACAAAATGCATTTGATTTTTTTTACCTGGAAATTGGGCTTGTCAAGATGTGGAAAAAGCGGTGGCCTCGGTAGATTTACAGCCATAACCTAATTTTATTCTTTCTCTTTTCTTTCACTTTCCCCTCTTGAGTAATTGTCCGTTAACCATAATCAGGCTAATGAATGATATCTTCTGTCTGAAACAGCTTATACAATACATACAATCGTGTCGCCTCAGTGTTCACTCACATGCTTTGAGAGGAGTTTCCCATCTTTGTATTGCACTGTCCCGTTCTCAGCAAAGACATAGTCAAACTTGTGTATCACTGCAAGAGAGGAGACAGAGGGCTAAATGGGCTAATATGGTAAATTAACAATGGCTCTTCCGCTATAATTTACCTGGTAGCAGATTACAGTGAATGTAACATTGCCTGGAAAGCCAACTTTATTCTTGTTGACCTTTCTACTTTAGTCAGTAACTGTGCCTGCAAACAGCAGACTGCTGGAAAAGTCTACAAGCGTCTTTGACCACTTTACCTTCAATAAGACATCAGTCACATGCAACATCCAGCATAATAAAGGCATATGGAAGATGACTATAAGATAACGGTTGGATTGTACGTGTGAATGGATTGTGCTGTAACAACAACAACAACAACAACATATGCTGCAAACGTGTGCATCACAAAGGATAAAAAGAGACACATTTTAGGACACTTGGCAAGGATATGAAACAACATGGCTCCTATTTGGCCTGACGTCTGCATTTCAGAGACAGTTTTTCACGCATGCAGCCATACGGGTTATAGATTAATAAAGTAGACCAAACCAATATTGAGACAATGTTGATGAGCTGAAATCCATCAGTTAGCCATCACATTGCATCACGATAAAGGGTTGTCGTAGTGGGTCTGATAGACGGACTTTGTGTTACTCTCTATAAAGCCACATGATGGCCTAAATCCCACATTATTCCCCGGACCTTCCTCCCAGTCTCTGTGGACTGGTGTCCAATTAAGCAGAAATCACACTAATAAGTGTCAGGTCATCAAGTGGGATCCAGCAGAGTAAATCACACAGCGTGCAGCCAGTAAACCGCCTGTGGTTCAGACAGGAAGAGGACCGCTCACCATCATCCCCCTCCCCGAGCTGCTCGGCTATCTTTGAGTAGTCGGAACCTCCCACGATGCCGATCTTCACTTTCCTCCTCAGGGTCTGGAAAAACTCGTCCAACTGGGGATCGATTTTCTGCAGATTTCAGGAAAATAAACGCACACCCACACACACAAATCTGTGTTATAAAGCCTCAGCGCAGACAGCAGAGTAGAATGGACAATGCTGCATAATTTGTAGTATGTGGTATTATAATTTGGTACAACTTTCCAATTATTCCAGCATATGGAAGAAAAGCTGCACCACATTATGTAACACACACACATACTCACACACATGCACGAACGCACAGACACACAGACACACAGACACACACACACACACACACACACACACACACACACACGTTACCTTAAATGAACCCAAACATTCAAACTCAATGGGCGCATGAAAACAAAAGGAAAAACAAGGAAAAAGGCAAAAGGACAAAGCAAAAAATATTACTAAATAAATCACACTAAATGAGGGAGGAGATACTCTTCTTGACATAATTCACTCAGTGACAAAAACAAACACAACTAGGTTTTAGGCAATTTGCATTTAAGACATGTTTCTTTGTGGAGATCTAAACATATTCATAAGAGGAGCCAGTATGCGCGACGTTTCCATGTGTGTTTTGACAGAACATAAATACGCCACCGTGCAGATGAATAAGACACTGTGTCCTCTCACAAACAGACGCCCTCCCTGCAAAGAATGCACAGTCCAATAGTGACAGCGGGAGAGCGAGAGGAGCTGCAGGGAGCGTGCAGCTGTTGAGGAAGCGTGTGCAATGGAAGGTCACAATAAGCGGTAACCTGTAAATATCCAGATGCTCACCTCTCGAGGTGCTGTCAAGGTCCCGTCCACGTCAAACAGGCAGAGGATGTTCCGTTCGGACGAGTAGCCGTTTGATTTCTCCATTTCTTCTTCTCTCCGTGTTGTTTTTTCTTTACAAATTGCACGTGTCACAGGTCCACGCTCGTGCAAAAAAAAAAAACCCGCGTAATTATACACAGAAAATAATCAAAGTCTCCAGCTGCAGTTAAAATATCCGCATGAATAACTGTGTTAAAGATGGTTTTAAATTAATTAAATCTCTTTGAGCTGGCTTGTTTTTCTTCTTTAGCTTCCTCTTCTTCGTGTCCCCGCTGTCACGGTTCGGCTCGGATCAGCCGGGTCGACGGAACCCTTCAAGCTCCACACACACGACTCGCTGGATGTGTCGCTCTTGCAAGACTGTAGGCTGCACAGCCGGCAGCCAATCAGAGCAGGGCTGCCTTGACGTAAACAAGTGGGCGGGGCGGTTGAGTCAAGCGCCATCTGACCTTTTACCTACTGGAGAAGAAGTGGAAGTGATGGATGTAGAACAGAAAGCGGAGACGTCGTAACAGTTATGTTATACCTTGTTAAATAAAAAGTAAACACCAGAGGGATTTAATAGAAATCCTGCCTGAGAATGTGAAAAGTCATTATTAATGAACAGGTCTAAAGGACGGAGCAACATGCAGATGATTCTGACTGGTTTGATTAATTTACGACTGTGATTGAGTAACTATCCTTGATATACACCCTTTGCAAGGTTTATTTGTTTCCCTGCTTCCCTTCATTTATCTTTAATAATTAAAAATGACATTGCCATTTTCTTTTGCTGCTTCTCTAAATAGATCAGGGTTTTCATGCTGTTTTGATCGTAAGAAATAATTAGGGGCAAAAATTGTTTCCCTGATTTTATGAGGTTTCATAACACATAGTAAAGATTCTTTTGTTAAGTCTCAAAGATCATTCTATACTCTGCAACATTGTTTTTGTTTCATTATTTTGTTTTTGTTTCATTTTTAAAGCCAGTCACTTAAGACATTTTCAGACTCAGAGATAATAATAATAATACTATAATAATAATAGTATCAATGTAGACTTTGAGGGCTACTAGGAGGACATACTCTCTGTACCGAGAGATGACAAATAGTTAAGCAAGTGACAGGTGTGAAGTACAGTACATCCCGCTGTGATAAACATATAGAGCTATTATCTAAGTGGAAGACACAAATAAGCTCGTTTAGATCTGAGTCCAATCCCCGTGTCCCCCCAAGGCCTAAAACCCTGGACCTGCAGGGACTCACGGACGTCACCTGGTCACTTTGAGTCTCTAGAGGCTTCAAATGGTGTAAATATAAATGAGACAGTTCTTTGCTGCAAAATCGTGACAACGTAAACAAACATGATGTACAATTGAGGGTATTTATTTCATACGCATTTCCTCCTTGATTTGAATGTCTTCCATGTTCTGTCCTGACATATGCTTAGCACATATGTGCCGTCCTCTTTGTTTACCTTTGTTTACGTCTTCGTGCTTTCACTGTTTTTCCCGTTTACATCATCACATTGCAATGAGTTGTCGGTTATTTTTGGGGGGAAAAGTCAGCATCTTGCTAAAGGGCTCAAACGGTCTCTCAAACACTCGACAGTTTGACAGCTCACACACAAACAACAGTTCATTTGATTCAATTACAATTCATTCCAAAAAATAATTGCATTACATTATATTATTGGATATTAGATTAGATGCGTTAGCGAAATTATGGTAGGTTTTAATATATTGGATGAGAATATTATATTATTTTAGAATATATTGGATTGGATTATTTTACATTTAGTGTTTAGACTTATTAGACTGGAGGATGTCAGCGAGATAGTTAAGAATACATCATGTACATTTGATATAATTACATTTAAGTCAAAATAGATGAAACGCAGCGCGGTGCAGGGCTGGTGACGTGCAGAAACCAATAACAGACTCACCAAAACTAATGCTGTGTGGCATTTTGCATTGAATCATTGTTAATGCGTATGTATAGACGCATCTCTCTCCAATGAACCAATCGAGTCACCACCATGTTATTTTCTGAGGGAAATAGTTACAGCGATTTGTTGTCATTCATGTGCTGGTGGTGTCTGGTGAATCTTGACAGCGTTTTGGTCATTTGAACCAACACATCCACAAGAGGGCAGAATGGCAGTGAGACAAATAGGCCGTCAGTGCTTTTGTGCTCACAGGAAGACTCTGATCAGTGACCCAAACAGAACCCAGCCAAAAACTCACATTTCTTACCCTACAAATGAAGTGCTCGGAAATAAGATTTTATTGTGTTGACTACAGGACTGAAGAATTCAGGCCAACTCTTAAATAACACATGATATAACATATGATATGCGTAGGATTCTTGCCTCGGGCCGTTTTGCAATAGGTGACAAGCTTAATACTGCCACCATGAATCACTTTTATGTTTTCTCTTTCCCACATTTCAAAGCGATCATAAATCACCACTGTGAGGACATGAGTTTCAGAATAAGAGATAGTGTCTGAACACAAACCAACCTGACCCCTTTTTTGGTTTGGTATATTCACATATGTTTCGTACCTTTGCACATAGGGCACTAGCATTGGTGCGTACGCCTCGACCGCGCTCATTTTGTCATTCATGTCGCAGTTTCAAAGTTCCTTTCGCTGTGACGAAAGCCAAGAAATGTATGGTCAACAAGGTGAGTCAGTAATTTATGTGGCCAATTGATATGATTAAATCGTATGATGAAGCCAGCAAAGGGCAATTATTGACTATTCATAAACAAACTAATCATTAGCCTGTGAAACCATGAACATTCCTCTTTATCCGACTTTGACCCCAATCCTCATGTTTCCAAACCAGACGGGTTCCAATACCATTAACCTTTATTTAAGGGTAATGACTGGCTTTAGTTTTTGTCAAAGCATCCCATGAACTGTTTATGTGTCTCGTTAGGCTCATTTGTTCCTGCTCATGTGAACCTTCAAAGAGATAAAAAACATCTTTTTCTCCAGCTGGCAATAACATCCACTGTTAACAGCGCTCAGTTGCTATTAAACAGTCATGAAGAGACGGTAAAACAAAGAGTCTTGTTCCTCTTAACACTTTACTATTTCCTCTGACAGGTAATAAGCCAGGGTGTGTTGGGACCGTGAGCCTCTTCACATGAGGCAGTAATGGGTCTAAATGGCCGTGTGCCCCAAGCCAACCATGCTATTACCACGTCATACGTGTGTGCTTGTTGGAGACGTTTACGACCCCGTATGGTGGCGGCCAGACAGGAAGCAGCGGGATGATGAATTGTACTGGAAAGACAGGAAGTTTTGAAATGTTGTGTCCAAACGTGTGTAAATGTTGCTTGTTTTGTGTGGTAGAATCACACAGCGTAATATTGTAGTGGGTTTTGGTGTAAATTGGAAAATGTAAAACAGCACACTACGTGACCGGCATGTGTTCTTCTTCATGTACGCAGCTGAACTTATGGAGAGAGAAGGCAACAGCTCATTCAAATTCACAAAAAGACATGTAAATGTTAATGTAAATATCTGTCCACCCCAATGATGATCATCAGCGGTGAAGCAAAAGAACACAAAAGGAGTGTGAGAAAGACAATTCAATCATGGAGTCATAAAGATTCTGACACCAGCGCGATTTAGGACCCGCAATAAGACTACAGTGTGTTTGTAGAAGATGAGTGACGAGGTTGCACGGATAATAAAGCAACGACACAAGAAAAAACTGCAGACATTATAGACGTGACATTAGGTACAAAGTTGATAAAATTGTGTACAGTAATTATTCCATCCAAAATCTGAGGTTACACGATAGAATCTTAGTTTGCTAACTGGACACGTGTTAGGATGGAGGATGGATGTGAGCAGGTGTAGGTTTGTTAGCATGTGAGGCTGTGCTTTGGCTCTGCATCAACATCTGACACACTCACAGCGACGATGCTAACGAGCAGACGTTCATCAAGTGACCTGTTCACCATCAGAAATGTCATTGGTTTTTGCGTTTTATTCAGTCAAGATTCAAAACACCGAACAAAATTAAATTCAGACCATGAATCCCAAGTCAAAGCCACCCAACAGTTATTAGACATTGAGTTTGATCATCTGGGACCAGAGCATGTCTCCGCAGACCAACATGGCTATTAGATGATAATACATTCAGTATTTGTTGAGTTATTTGAGTTTAGACCAAAGTGGTGGAATGCTGTTAGCATGGTTAAAGCCCAGCAATCTGTCATTACTTACATTGGGTTTCTTTTAAGAGCATGATATTAACATTTCTCAAACATTAAAAGTGGTTCTGATTCGGTGAATGAATGTGTATTTTATGGAGAGTGAGGGAATGAATCGCTTATAGCTTACTCACTTATTATTTTTAATAGTTCTTTATTGAATTGTCTGGCCCATAAGCTGTATCAGGCTTTGACCAGACGGACAATTTGTGCTGAATTTAGGTGATTGTTGATGATACAAAACGATAGAACACCTTATTCAAACACATTGAACGTTTATCAGAATATAACCTGTCCTAATGAAATGATTAGCATGAATTAATTACTGTACATATGTGAGCCAAGTGCACGGTCAGTTTTAACTTGTATTAGTCTTTCTAGCAGCAGACGCATTTTTGAAGATACCCCAAATGTTGATGCATTTAACTACAAATTCTGCGTCTCTCTCTATCCAAATAAATGCAAGTGAACAGCACTTCATTTGGTTTTGTGAGGTTTAACGCGACTTTCCTTAAAATGAGGAGACACTGGCTCATGAGCAGTTTGGCCAAGACTTTTATGGGCTTAATCCACCCTGCTTTTATAGCACACAATATTTATCAGCTCCACACAGGCCTTCGCTTTTATTGCCTACTATGACCTTTGCCCCTCTCCCCATGCAAGCTTTCCCCCACCTGTGCTTCACACAAAGAGTCTTCAGAACAAACCAGATTTTGTAAAACGAAAGCAGAATAATATTTGAACAGATTTTTATCTTTTTATCCACGTTTATCTTTCTTTATTGCAATTATTCTGCTCCTGTCAAATGAAGGACGCTGGTGTTTTATGTTACACTTACTGCAGGTTAATAAAGACAGATTAGCTAAAGAAAGGGAGAATCGTGAATAATCTTCATGTTATTGAGACAGGAGATGCAACGTGATGTCTTCATGTTTACAAACGGCACAATTTACCGCCTGTGAGGTTTGTAGGTGAGGTGTCAGTCCAGGTGGAGTGTGGGACTCTTTCCTCCCCTGCCCTGCGTTTGAATGGTGCGCTGTCACTTGACTGTTGTTCATTAACGTGTGGCGGACGGGCAGACTGGAGGATCACTGATCTCCAGCCTGCACTCGAGGACCAACGGGCGTGAAACCTGCCACGGATCCGTTTGTGTTTGCTCGCCTGGTTGTGCGGCTGGATCTCGGACAAAAGGTTTTTTTTCTTTCCCGCGTCTGGATGCGTGACGGCGAACCCAGGGACGGGGGACACTTCTGCGTAGTCGCCGAAGGGTCCTGCTCAACTCTTGTTTCTGGCCTCACATCGTCGATCTGCTCAGGCGAGCGAATGTAAAAAGCTGCATTCGGCCGTCTCTTCGCCAGGACAGCGTTTTTTAACTTTTTGACATGTAGAAATCCTGGAAGAGACACAACAATTCTCAGGGAAGAAGGAAAATCTCGGGGGAAACATGTACAGCTCACACTGTTTGCCTTACCTGGGAGTTTTAATCGTGGCGGTGGTAGGAAACATTCTGGAGGACTGTCTGTCATCGAACAAAACGTACACCATGAATGTGGTGCTGCTGGAGGACAACACCTACGGGTGGAGTCGGCCGTTTGTGCAGGCGGCTGTGGAACGAGCCATTGAAAAGGACAAGCAGCAGAATGATGAACATGGTAAGGACTGATATATATATGTCGCTTTTTATTGATTTTTTTGTTGATTTAAATAAATAATGATTAGGCTTTAGAATTCAATTTCACACTGAACTTATCTGAATTAAGAAACATGTGGTATCAATTAAGTTGATACTAACTAAATAATAATGGAAGATTAATCAACACTAAAGACGCTGTTTATTGAATATGAGGGCTCTAGAAAAGGACTTCTGGGTTTGGAGTCTTTTAAAAGATTTCATTACTGCTGAAATAAGGCCACCAAACCCAAACTTTGTTAAATTCCTCATTAGAAATCAAAGGGTTCCTTGTTAAACAAACAAACAAACAAACGTGTTATTTGTCTTGTTGATCATCGTCTCATTGTCTTACTGTCCAATGTTATGCACCGACCGCCATGTCACATTCCTTGTATGTCTAATATACTAATATACTAATAAATGTTCCTGATTCCTGACACATGCGCATGTGACTTATAAGTGACTAAGGTGATCTATTATCTATAGTAGCAACTGATGATGAGCTTTACTCTCTCTGCCATCACCTTGTCACAAGGTATCAAATGGTCCACCATTATTCAGCACTTTCCTTCCCACCACTGCAAATGTAAAGGCTGCACTCACACCAGTGGCCAATCAGGTCATTCTAATCTAATCCAACCAGCTCAAAGGAATTGATAAGCAATTTAATTTATATTAACAAGGCTTATCTTCTTTCCATGATGCAAGGCTTAGACTTCAAGTTGACGGCTAACTACAGCGGCTTCGACACCACGGTGTACAACCGGCAGGGCTGTGGGAGCAGCACCTGCGAGGGAGTGGCAATACTCAAGATGCTGCACGTGAGTGCGATCAAAGGACTGAATTGAATTGAAAGAGCGGATTGAAAGAGTTTCTGTCAGTGCAAACATTAGAATTAAACCAACCAAGGGTGCTGTAGTAAAAATGTTTGAGGTGAAAAGGGACTGAGATGCTTATAGAAATACGTGAGCTTCAGTGATAAGATTCAAGGGATCAAACATATGTTTGTCGTACAGTGACCAGCAAAAATGTTGTTTATTTCCTTTTTAGTGGTTTCATAGTTTACCAGCCCTTGATTACTCTTTAGCTGGCACATGTCAATTACTCCATGACAGACGGTGAGGGTCAAATATCACATATATAATATATAAATATACAGCAAAAAACTTCTGCAGTAGAAACAAACAAAACAAACAAACAAAGGTTTGCCCTCAGCGTCTAACAGTCAATGACAAACCACTTCTCCGAAGACTGATCATCCTGCACCCTTGAAGGGGTTGCCAACATGGTAGTAGATGGATTCACACAGTGCCTCTGTGATGACAGCATGAGGACACTGTATGTTTTTCTGCAGAGTAAGAATGAAGTTGGATGCATCATGCTGGGGCCGTCCTGCACTTACGCCACCTTCCAGTTAGTGGAGTGAGTATGAGTCTGTCTCTGTCTGATGATCCACAACCAGACCACTGGCTGATTTCTGACTCTGTGTCCCCCGTTATCCACCTAAGTGATGAAATCGGCCTGAACCTGAGCATTCCCATCATCTCCGCTGGGAGCTTCGGCCTCTCGTGTGACTATAAGCCCAAACTGACCCGAATTCTGCCTCCAGCGCGAAAGATCTCAGACTTATTAATCAACTTTATGATGACAGCCTTGCCGTTTAAGAAGAAATGGAAGCAGGTCTACGTCTACAAGAAGTCCAGCAATGTATCAGAGGACTGCTTCTGGTGAGACAACGCCGGCTGCCACTCACTCGATTGACCTTTCCAGCTGCGTTCAACACTAAAGCGTGTGTCACGTTCTGCTTCTTCCACAGGTACATCAACGCATTGGAAGCCGCCTCTGCCCGCTTTGCCTCAAACACAACGAGAGAAATGCTGCGTGGCGAGGAGGATCTGACGAGGGCCCTCGCCAATAAGAGAAGACACAGCAACAGTGAGTATTTTGTCTTTTTCAGTTACATCTCAACACACCGAGCACTTCTTCCTGAGCGGCTTCCTTCGACAAAGAATTGTGTTGATCTTAAAAACATCGTCTTTGGTGTACATGTACGTGTGAGTAAACTATGTAATCTGGTGAAGACTAGATTAGTATGCATGTGGTTAACAGGAAACCAGTCTCTGTCAAAATCTGGAAGCGGCAATGGGTAAAGTGGTGGCCAAATTGTAACAGGGGCAGTCAGTGTCTGTAATGTTTCCTGTATATTAAATGTTCATTTACAATGTGTAAACTACGTAGACAAACAAAATTAAACATAGTAAACAGCAGTAGATCGGAGAAGAGGGAAACTTCAGCTCAAGGCCTGTCTCCAATATGCGCCTGCTCTAATTAAAGTTGTTAACAATACTGATATACTATATGAGAAGGGTTATATTTCAATGACTCTAATAACTATAATTATGTTTTTAGCTAAGCGTAACTGCAATAATGAAATCATGTTAATTTAGGTGACATAAATCTATCTGTAGACTCTTATAATGTAATAATATGATGTCCTACTCTGCCCTGTTTGCCTGCTTTTATTTTTGTAATGATACAATTTATCAAAGTAACTTAAGCAAAACTCCTTTTTGGTCCGTTGGTGTGTAGAATATGTCATCGATAACATTTACCGAAGGCGTTGACACATATCGGACAGGTATTCATGGTCCTGAGAGGCTGAACCCCACTGACTTTGCCTCTGGCACCACCATGAGGTTGCAAGTTACTCATCACCAGCCAGATAGACGTATATAAATATGCAGGGAACCAGTTTGTTGTTGGTGAATATACAGTAAATATCCAACTCAACCACTGAAAGTCAATTTGTAACAGACTTAGGTAATTGTTATTGTTTGTAGGAACAATGAAATAATGTTTTTCTTTGTTTTAAACTATACTATTTCAGTTTTCATCTTATGTGGGAACCCTGACGACGTTGTTTCGATAAAGCAGACGTCCGGTCGCATTGATGAGGAAATCATGTTCATTCTCCTTGATATTTACAAGTAAGCCTGTCTGTGATTTCACAACTTTGCCAAAACACTGTGACAATGAAGTTTCATGATTTCTTTCAGTCAAACAGGGAATCAGAATGAGACGTGTGGAAGTGGGATTGTTCACGGTGACCCTGTCTATCCTCCCGCAGCCCGGAGTATTATGTCAACACGACATCCAGTAAGGCGATGCAGGATGTGCTGGTCATCACTCTGCCGCGGAGGAACTTCATCTATGGATCAAACTCAACGCACAACGACACGGTGAGCAACATCTTAAACGAGACTGCGTAGGGAAATGGGTCCAGCTTTGACTGTTTTATCCATCTTTCTATCCGGGCAGATAAACGACTACGTGGCCGGGTATCACGATGGAGCTCTGCTGTTCGGCAAAGTGCTCCGAGAGAAGATGCTCAGCAAACAACAAAACCGCACTTATGATCTGCCTCTGGATGACAACCCTTTTGTTAACGTCTCCTTTGACGGTGCGTGCGATCAGTGACATCTCAACGCAACAATAGGAATAACAATGAGGAACAACATTGCAAAATAACTTGAGTGAACTACAGAATGTGTCTTTTTGTTGTAACTTGGTAATCGAGTCATGAGATGATGAAACACTGTTCGGTTCCTTGCATACAAGGATGTTCAAACCCTGAAATGTTCCCTGGTTGCCTTCATTAGTGCGATGGAGGTCGTGTCTTGCAATGTGAGTTTAGATGAAAAATACATTTTTATATTTGAAACTTATTTTAGTGCCATATTTCAGTGTTAAGTGACTAATCCTGTTAGCACCCTGTTAGAGTCGCCATCAATTTATTGGATTGGCAACTGTTATGATAGACGGGTATACAACATAGTAAACTAAATATCTTTACGTTATGGAATGTCTGTCGGGTATAAAAGGTTATTTGAAAAGATCATCTCGGGTAATCAATAAAATTAATTTATAATGAAATGAAGTAGCAGAAGTAGCAGATCATGCTCTATCAATATGAGCTTTTTCATAATTTTCAAACCCATAGCAAAGACAAAGTCTACTTACTCCGTCTGCAGATTTACAGGTGTTTACGATGTGTGTGTGTGTGTGTGTATTTATGTTTGTGTGCTTCGAGCAGGAATGGGAGGACACTATGTGCTCGATGAGTATGGCGACAGAGACGTCAACTTCTCTATGATTTACACATCCACCGTCACGGGGAAGGTAAGACTGTTGTCCCTCCAGCAGTCGCTACCGTCGATGTGAGACTTCATACTTTGTCTTCGTCTGTCTCCAGTACGAAACGCTGGCCGTGTTTGACACATCGCGAAATGCCACCACAGTGATAGACACACACCCCGCGCTGCAGTGGAACGGTCACCTACCTTCTGATGTGCCAAAAAATCCAAATGGTAACACACACACACACACACACACACACACACACACACACACACACACACACACACACACACACACACACACACACACACACACACACACACACACACACACACACACACACACACTCTCACTCACTGACAACTTTCATGTGGATCTTCACTGTCGCCTGAGGATGGTTCATTCCTACTTTAATGATACATCTCGTTTTTCTGCGTGTGTTTCCAGACTTCGACATGCAGGACGTGATTGTGATCGTACTGAGTCTCAGTGTGATCGTGGTGACAGCCATCGCTCTCATCTTCTACAGGTAAACGGCTGCTGTATCACACGTGCTACATGCAGGACTTCAGTGTCAGCGACCTAAAGCTGACGCGACAATGCGTCAGCGAAGCTGCATTTAGATGAAGGTAAAACAGTTGTGATTAGAGCATAAATTGGTGACAATGGTGAACGTTCGGCCTCCTCTGTTTCTCCACATTTATATCTGGTCATTGTGGCGTCTAAATGTAGCGTGATTGGTGCATTCTGAAAGCAAAGGAGTTATCCCACAAAGGTAATGAGCGCAATGCGTGTTTGTGTACGTGTGAATACCGTCAGGCAGAACAGGAAAGAGCGTCTTATGCAGAAGAAGTGGTCTCACATCAACCCGCTTCTGATTGGTCCGCTGGATGAGAAGGAGGTGTCACTGAAGGTAAACAAACTCATCAATCAAAGGTTTCCTACATCTTTGATGCGTAGCTTTTCTTCAATGGGCGTCTTGACAAAGATGCGTAGCATTGGTTCACTCACATTTAACTTTTTCCTTGTTTGTTATTTAATCACACCGTTTGTAGGCATATTATTTACACATTAACAACCATTCTGTGACGTACGGCGCCAATAAGTTAATTATGAATCCCTGATTAGTTAGTTCCCTTACCTCTTTGTGAGGAGTGTATAGTTGTGATAGCAAACATGCACGTTAATAAAACTAAAACAAATAAAACCAAACGTCTGCACTGTTGGGGAACACCTCATCCATGTTTTATCTGTCTTTGAGTGGTCGCACAGGTTGTAGCCTGATTGTTGGAGGTGCTTTTTTGAAATAATTGGCTCAGAATACTTGGACTTTGCCCCTACTGATCAATCTTTGATGTTTTATTGCGTTAGGTCCACAATTACCGTGTGTGTGTGTGTGTGTGTGTGTGTTTGTGTGCATGTGTGTAACAGATCGATGACGATAAGAGGAAGGACAGCACATTCTTCAATCATCGAGGCCGCTATGACAAAAAGGTAACGATATTACATCTTTCAAAATAATATATTTAGTCTGAAAAAGGACCAAACAAATGAGATCATCAGAAATCTCAAGTTTAACCAGCGTCTTGTTTTATTGTATTCTTCAGCCTGTCATCTTGAAAGAGTTGAAGCAGACAGACGGAGACTTCACAGAGGACCAGAGGATCGAGCTGAACACTGTAAGACTGTATTGGGTCTCTGTTTATCTTCTGATAAAACATGTTAAACATGTTAAATTTATACAATTCTTCCCCAACATACATTACAGTTGAGATCGAAGATAATGTTTACAGCCTGACTGTTATTTCTAGCGTTGTTATTGTTATCATGGAGACATTAATATTTCTGTCAATTAGATATTGTGTCTTGTAATAGTGATAACATTATAAGATTAATATAATGAATGAACCTTTTACTCTCCAACATTGTATAAGTTACGCAGCTTTTCAATAAATTCATATCTGTGGCCTTAAATAACATGCATCTGTAATTTATGATGTTTCAGAAGTAGGTGTGTTGCCCAATCCTTCTTTTAAAACCCTTTTTGTCCAACTTCCCTTTCTCTTTCATTCTGTCTTTGGCGTTGCAGCTGCTGCGTATAGATTACTACAACCTGACAAAGTTCTATGGAACGGTGAAGTTTGAGTACGGTGTGTTCGGGGTGTTTGAGCTCTGTCAGCGAGGCTCCCTCAGGGTAACTATGCCGTCTCTTTCCCTTCGATCCTGATAGAAGTAATTCATGCAGATCCTCAAAGTGGATAAACATTGTGTGATAGGACCTTTTTGAACTTTTCCCACTGCTACTTAAACCAAATACCTGTATCATGTAACCCAAGACGACAAGATGTGGATCCACATACCGTACAATGAATTAATACAAAAACATTCAATCCACCAAAATGACAAATTTAGACACTTTGGCTTTTATAGATTTTAAAAACAGGAGCACCCTGAAATGCCTCTAAAGACAGCTTGCTTTTTGTCATTGTAACTGTCATTTTGTTAAGCGTAGTTATTACTTATGTCTTCTCTCATAGCATTTTATTTGACATCTGCTTCTTTTACCCTTTACATGGATTTTTAAAGCTTTTTAAACCTATATTGTAAATACAGCAGTGCATTTAGCTCTATTATACAGTCTGGTGCAATGATGATCTGACTTAATGCAATATTACCTGATTACAGTACCAACACATCTGTTGAATACCAATGTTCCATAGTTCCTTTAACTGATTAAGGCATGTAGTGATTAGTACAAGTGACAGAATATGAACTTGTTTTTTTCCTTCAGTACATTCTGAATGACAGGATCTCTTACCCAGACGAAACCTTCATGGACATGGAGTTCAAGATATCAGTCATGTATGACATAGCAAAGGTATTGATTTCTTTTGTGTTGGTTTATCATTTTATACACTTTATCAAATAGTAACAAAGTACATTTAACATAACATTAATTTCCCTCTGTGATATTTATTCAAATTTAAATGCATTTTCCAGATGGCCATGATTTGTAAAATGTGTTTTAAGATTTTCAGCTCGCTCGGGGTTTATTACTCAACCTCACACACGATGCATTTGTAACAGCGTGGGCGATGTTATTTATAACAACTCACTACAACTATCCCGGTCACTACTGTCCTCCTACTCCGTGGACACACAGGGCATGTCATATCTCCACTCCAGTAACATCGAGGTCCACGGTCGCCTCAAGTCCACCAACTGTGTGGTGGACAACCGCATGGTGGTCAAGATCACTGACTTTGGCTGTCACACCATCCTGAGGCCCGGCAGAGGTGAGTTTTTCCTCATCACGCAGGTCAACTTGTGTTCAAAACACGGGGAATAAAGTCAACCTCCTGTCTTCTCTCCTCTCCGCTCAGACGTGTGGACGGCCCCGGAGCATCTTCGTAAAGATGGGGTGTCTCAAAAAGGCGACGTCTACAGCTATGCCATCATCGCTCATGAAATAGTCATGAGAGGGAGCCCGTTTTATACACGGAACTGCTCCGATCCTGCAGGTAAACAACAAAACAAAACTTGTTTACAGACCTCTTTGCATTGATTACTCAAATGTCATCTGATCCCTCAGAGAAGATCAACAGGGTGCATTACCCCGATGGATTAAACGTCTTCAGACCTGACCTCAACTTTGAAGGGGCATCAGAAAGAGAGGTGGAGGTAAGACATCACTAACGTAACTGCACTAACTGCAGTAACAGTCACGCTGAGCGTGACGTTTTATAAAATAAAGCTGCTTGGATTCATCAAAGAAGGACAAAGAAACTTCCTGCTTCTTTTTCTCTCTTTGTCTGTGTGTGTTTGTGTGTTTATAGCTGTTCATCGTGATAAAAAACTGCTGGGATGAAGACCCAGAAAAAAGGCCAGATTTTAAGAAAATAGAGTTAACTCTGGGTAAGATTTTCAGGTACGTTAACACCACACATTCATTTAGGCAGACTTTCAATTATTTCACTGGTACACTTACATTATGGCCAAATATTTATTTGGTGTACACACCAAAAAAATCTGTGGACACTGGAAATTAAGCCCAACCAAATACAGGCCAGTCAATTTATTCCATAACCAGACTGCTACACAAACACACTCAACTGAACTGGTGTAAAATGAATACTGGCATTAAACGTGTCCATTGAGATTGCTCCTGCTGCACACTACTCTTATATTATAGTTAAATAATTAATTTAGGCAAAATGCGTACTGTTAGTAATGTTGTATATATTCTTCCTTTGAAACAGTAACCTGCACAACCAAGCCAGTGAGACGTACATGGACAACCTGATCCGTCGCCTGCAGATGTACTCCAGGACTCTGGAGAATCTGGTGGAGGAGAGAACCTCTTTGTACAAAGCTGAGAGGGACAGAGCCGATCGCCTCAACTTTATGCTACTTCCTGGGTAGGCTTGCATCATATCTGCTGATTAAATATTCATACCGATGTAATATTTTACCGATCACAAAGGTAGACAAGGCTAACAGCGAGCCGATTGACACAGTGGACCATTAAGCATTTGGAGTTGGTGGAGACGAAGACGGAGCTTGTGTGAATTTCGGACATATTTGTTCTGTCACTTGATACACAACTCTGAATAAATGTTGTTCCTCCATATTGGCAGTAATTATAAAACTTGATTTTGATTGATCTGCTTTGCACTGAAGACTTTTTGATTAATCTCCTTTTGTATCATGTTTTATTATCACATAAATCTTTGCAGCTGCAGACTTTTTAGATGTTTTTCAAGCAAAATATGCAATATATAATATACATTAAAAACAATGTGGTCTCCTCATTTTTGTTCACCTTTGGTAACAATAAATGTTTGTATTTCCTGAAGTGTGCCTGAAGACCTACTGCTCAAGGCAAAGTGCTATTTGCACGTAGCTGAGAGCAACTTAAATGTCACTAGAAGCCATCAATTAACAGCAGAATCCCCCCCCCCTCCTCGTGTCTCCTCAGTCCAGTGGTGCGTTCACTGAAGGAGACGGGCAAAGTGGAACCGGAGCTGTTTGAGGAGGTATCCATCTACTTCAGTGACATCGTGGGATTCACCACTCTCTGCCACTACAGCACGCCCATGGAGGTGGTGGACATGCTCAACGACATCTACAAGAACTTTGACAGCATCCTTGACCACCACGATGTCTACAAGGTACTTGAGAAAGAAACTTGGCCGTTGTTCAAGTTAGATTTTCATGTTTACGGAATAAAGATGATGATTTTGTCTCAGGTTGAAACAATAGGAGATGCGTACATGGTTGCATCAGGTTTGCCCAAACGCAATGGTGACAGACACGCAGTGGATATCGCCCACATGGCCCTGGACATCCTGGCATTTGTAGGGACTTTTGAGTTGCAGCACCTGCCCGGCATCCCTCTGTGGATACGGATCGGAGTGCATTCAGGTAACAAGTTATCTTATCGTCTTATTTAATGCCTTTTGTTGCCAATAACGTCCTTTAATGAAACAGTGTGTACAATCGAAAGAGATGAATTGGCCCAAATGGAACTTACTATGCATAACTATTAGTATACAATTATCTGAAAATTAAAATGATTATGTTTTATTTAGCTTAGAAGTCAGTGCAACTCCTAATATATTTTAAAAGAAGCCTTCACATGATTGTGAGTTGGCAATTACACACTTTCAGAATCCCAGAATCTCTCGATGTTACTGACATCTGAGTAACGTTGAAGTAACATATATAAAGACAAGTCAGACCGTTCTCATTCAAATGAAGCCTGCACACGTGGCAGATTGAAATGCTCGCTTGTTTGTGTGTATTGATGTGTAGGGCCGTGTGCAGCGGGAGTGGTGGGGAACAAGATGCCTCGTTACTGTCTATTTGGCGATACAGTCAACACTGCATCGCGCATGGAGTCCACGGGCCTCCGTAAGAGAAAGCAGCCACATTTCCACAAAAAGTCACATTCTCGGTGGTTTAGATGCAGCTTCTGTTCTTAAGAGAGCCGAGTGTTTGACCCGCGTGATCATCCCTCATGTTTTCTTTCCAGCTCTGAGGATTCACGTCAGCCAGTCCACCATCAGCATCCTGCAGAGGACAGACTGCAAGTTTGAGTACGAAAAACGAGGAGAGACGTACCTGAAGGTTTGCTTTGGCTTTTCATGCACTCATCACACAAAAGGCACAGAAACTACACACATAGTGAGTACTACTCTCACTACCTTTGTGTCTGTGACCGTTTATACCCCCCCCCCTCAGGGTAAAGGCAAGGAGATGACGTACTGGTTAACGGGAGTGACTGGGGGGAAATACAACCTGCCCACACCACCAACAGCGTGAGTACAAATCTAGAAATGCTGAGAAACGTTTCATTCCAGCTCGCTATTGATGTAAAGTGTGTTTAGTTGAAGATCAACAGTGAGCCTATTTGGAATAGAATACAATTATCACCCACCGCAATGAAGAAGTAGCACAACTTGTTCAAGCTTTTCAGGGCTCTCGCACTTGTAACATAACACAACATCCTTTTTATACTCTCACATTTGCATCCACAAAACCCAACATAATCCTAATTTTATAGGGAGAATTTCCAGCGGCTCCAGCAGGACCTGTCGGAGATGATATTGTCCAGTCTGGAGAACCGTGGAGTTGGAAGCGAGGGCTTCAAAAACAGGAAGACCCTGTCCACCAAAATCCGTCGGAGAGACACCAACAGCAGCCTGCGGGGGAGCGGCCCGCCGGAGTACTTCCACCTGGCTGTCACCGAAAACCCCAGCACCTACCTGTGAGGAGAGCAGACGTCAAAGTACGGCTCTACCAACTCAGCCCCACTGACATCAGATTAACTGTTTATCAGTCAATGTTTTGCTAAGAGGAAAAATCAACCCCCAAATTATTTAATATACCATGAAATATGTTTGTGGGGTTTTGTTGTGTTGGAGTAGCTCGTATGAATAAGCCTGCTCCTCCTTTATGGTGTGGAACTGACACCTTCTACCATAAAAGATAACATCATTGTAGCCGTGTACTCTGCATCAGTACGTGTGCAATGTTTTCCACGGGGAAAACAAAAGGAACCAACTGGCCCTGAAGGGAAGCAAACACAAGCAATATCTGCCAGTGTTCATTTTGATATTGTCACTTGGGGGCGCCAAAGCTTTACACCTCTATGCATGTGGGGACAGTGATGGACTTTTCTTACATGTTTCAATAAGAAACCTCATGGGTTCGAGCCTTTTGTAGTTTGTAACGCAGAGCCAACAGCTTCTCCTGCCATGTGGACAACGATAAGTCACACACAGTTACTGCAACCGCGACGTGGATTTGAGCTGTTATAAAACAAATGGGCAGCTTTCTACAAAAGGAATCCAAATAATGGGATTGAATGTACTCTGTCTTCACTCTATTTAGATGTTGCCTGCAGGGAGCTTATTGATTGACAAAGTTTGATAAAACCTATTTACCGTGTAAATTCCCTTCTGTGCTTTAAAGACAGTGAAACTATTTTTAAACTGTACTCGTCATAATAAAGTAGAGAACTGAGAATATTTGACTCTCACATACAACAACGCTACCTTGTTCTCAGAACATCAGAAATATCCGTAGTGGAAATGCAATTTGGTTTTGTGTTTTATTAAATTATGTTTGAAATATGATACAGGATCCGAGCACTTTTTTAAAAACATCCTTTAACAACACAAAAGAACACACAACACAACGCAACAGTCTGACGCCGTATAATTGGACACCAATCGACAGAAAAACGTTGTATTTCTTTAAGCAGCTGAAAATTATTTCTGAAACACAAAACCAGGAAAAATTAGAGGTAAAAATGTAAGATATCCCTAATCTGGGTTGGACAAAAATTCCCCACAGTGCGTGGAGCACATGCAGGGGCCGAAGCCCTACACAGTCTTAGTGGTGACTAACACAGTGCCACCCAGCTCGATGGCAGGAAGTGGGATCCTGTGTTCCCTTGTCGTGCTGCACGCACGCATCCCCGGGATCTCGTCCATCCCATCATGCTTTGCGGGGTCACTGCAAGCGGTGAAGCCCTCCGCCCACTTATGGCCTGTTTGGCCCCCGAGGTGCAGGTGAGCACAGGGGGACGGGGCCCACGCTGCTCTCTGCATAATCTCCGCCTGGCCGTTTCTTTCTGGCGACGATGGTTGGCTTTTGGCCGGCTGTTCTGTTTTCTGAAGAGGATGCTGCTGCAGTCCTGCTTCCTCTGCAACAGAGACAGCTGCAACATGAGCGTGTTCCTGAATATTTGAACAACGCAGACTGAATTGAATATATTGTGCAATACGATTTCCCCAAATACAAATGTGCAACGCCTGCAGCGACAATAACCCCTCTAAAATCAAGCAGATATCATACATTACTGTGCATGGTAGTTCCAACAAGCAGCCCAACAGCACAGACCTTGAAGTCTAGATACGATACAGATACGATCTAAACAATTAATTAGGTTTTAAGATGTTCAGACACATGGATTTTAATTAGTATTCTTCCCAGTATAGAAATCGGATTTTCTGATCCCCATATTTGACTTCATGCCGGATGCCCTTCCTGATGAAACACCATCATTTCAAAGCCAAGTACATGAGATTTGTGTTTTATTGGGAAGAGGAAATCGGCCGAGGGAAAAACATTCATGCATTCATGCATGCATCTCCAAGCGGACGAGGCTTTGCCCAGATAGATCAGAACAATAAACAATAGATATGAACATACGCCTCTTAAAAACCACTGCACCACCGTACAGCAATAAATGAAATCTATTGCCATACTTGTTCTTGCATACAGCTCCTGTAAGAAACTAAACATTAAAAAACAAAAAGCAAGCAAAAAGCAATGCAAAGACCTTTGCATTATGTCACGTTTGGAACAACAACGGCGTGTTTCACAACAAGTAGATGAGCTTGGCCGAATACCTCCACGCTGCGGCTTTACATGCTCTCTTGTCCTGTGGATAAAGGTCTATTGTGGGACATTTTACTCAATTGTTTATTGACTGCACAGGAACTGCATTCCAGAAGAATCAAGTTATGTTCATGATCATGTTGGAATGAAGCACAAAAGCTACCAAGTTCAGGCTGATCCAAGCTTTCATCTGCACACGAGACTGAGCCCATGACTTATGTTGAGTTTTAACTAGTTAATGCACACAGACATTAGCAGCGTTCAAATATTTGGCTGTACGGAGGCAGTATAATGTCTCATTGTCTACTACCATTGTCTACTGTCTACCACACTTCTTAGTGTGCCACTGAGTGAAAGCTGTCTGGCTGTTAGGGTCTCTCTGCAGGCCTTTTTGTCAGTTTTTATGTGTTGAGGGTTTTGTGAGAGCCCGTTGGTTGTGCCTAACCAAAGGATGTGTGTTGGAACCAGAATAGCTGGTGAGCGAGTCGAGCTGACCCCTGGGACTCCTGAGAAGAGAACAGAAACTGTGGAGTTTCTACTGTGATGAACGTCACACTTCATCTCCTGCCAGCCTGCGACCCCACTTCCTGCACGGTGCTCGTGCTCTACTTCTTGGACTACAGGTGCTCGACCTGCATGTCATAAGCCCGGTTTATGGTAAAACAAACCACTGGACAAAGACGAGACAAACCACTTTGATCAAATATGTCATTGAGAGGGATTTGACCTTGGATAAAAGCGGGTTCAATTATTATCACGGAAATGTTTATTTCTCAGGCTTTAATTATACACTTATTCCTGTGATTATTTGTTGTATCTAATAAGGCAATTGATTATATTTCAGCGTAATGAGAACCAGTTTGGATGGCACGTTCTAATGTCAATACTTGCCTGCCAAACATAATTTAATCTCCTATGTCACAAACTCTTGGAAAGAAGATTAAAAGAGTCCCGAAGAATTTGAAGAATTTCTTTATGAAGAATAAGGTCAAATAAATACATTGAATCATCAATGCCATTGGTCCTTACCCGAGGTGCTGGTTTGTCGTTTGTATATGACCAACCACAGAGCTAGAGCCAAGATGGACCCCATGGTGGCCAGACCTACAAACACCCACAGGGCCGGAGTCAGCAACATCACAGAGTGGGCCTGCGCAGCGGGGGCCGTAGATCTCAGCTGGACCACTTTAGCCAGAGGTCGCTCTGGAGGGGGAACAGAATGATCAACTCACTTATGATATGATCAAGTTGTTATTTAGGACGTGAGCATGCACTGGGATTTGTCAGCATCGATTTGTTTTGTGTCGTTCCTGAAGGAGCAGAACCGCAGTGAGCTGCACGTCAGTCACAGCAGAGTCAGTTGACAGATGGATAAAAAAAAGAAAATGTGCACATAAGATCAACGGTGATTTGTATCACGCTCTGGCTTTCAGGCTAAAGAAACCGGAAGGGAGAAAAACTCACCTGTCGGAGGTCCTGGTTCAGTTCTGGTTGTGGACTTGAAGACACATATGCTGATGAGACTGTCCCACTTTTTGCCGGCGGGACAGTCCTGCTTGGCCATTTCTGAATCAGGGTGAGGAGTGTGGAGACCTGCTGCGGTGTCACCCTCCCCAGAAGTGGTGTTTGTGTGTGTGTGTGTGTGTGACACAAACCCCCAAAAAGTATAGCGGACAACAAAGCAGTGTGAGGCATGTAGGAGGGATGTGAGGGGAGGGTTTCTGAAACTCAGAGTGCTAAACAGACGTTTCAGTTCCTCCATTTCAGAGAAAACAGTGAATCACTGGTGTGTCCCTCAGGGGACGCAGAGAGGGAGCGAATCGCCCCTTAATTACTATTAGTAAGGCAGCATGTAGTTACTTAAGAGTTAAGGTCTTTCCAAAATGACTTTGAAGCTTTAAGCTTTCAGTTCAAATCTTTACCTTAAAACTGCCACTAGGATCAGTTTAAATAAAAATCTAAAACTAAATCGAAGCCATGCCCTCTGCCTGAGTTGTGTGTGTGGTGGAGATGTGGATCTATTCTGATCTCCTCTTCTTCTTTGTCTTCTTCGTCTGTAGTGTTTAACGGTGGCTTGCATCCTTTTTTGTTGCATTACCGCCATCCTCTGGCTCCCACCGCTTAAACTTTCCTCATCAGCCCTGTTGCCCGCAAAAATTGTATAAAGCATCTTCTTCCAAGCTTACTCGACCCCACTACACCGTAGTACACTGTTTGTCTCGCTTCCTTTCAGCCCTTGCGTTTCCATTTCCTTTGCTCTCTGTGCTGTATCTATTACAGGCGGAGATAACGTGTTGCCGTTTCTGGTGACTGGCAGTGCTCACAGAGGCCAGTTGGATGCTTCCCGATCAAGTACAGTGTGTTTCGTAGGTTGCTGTGACCTATTCTTAGTCTTGCCATTATGACTTCTTTACAGTGGCCCTGAAGTGAAAAACCCAACAGCAAATAGGAAAACACAACGACATTCACTCCTTACGGAAAGGGTAGTGCCTTTTAGCCGGTCCGGCTTTTGCCTCTCCTGGCCGGGGAGGCGCAGATCGCGGCCATGGGGCTGCCACTGGCGGAGCGGCGCGACTACGCCAACATTAAAAGGGCCGTTGTGGACAAACTGGGGCTGTCGCCAGAGGACCACCGCCGGCGATTCCGCGAGGCCAGGCTGGGACCACAGGACCGCCCGTTCGCGTACGTCCGGCTAAAAGACGCCAACACGAGGTGGCTGCAGCCGGACGGCGCTGGAGAAGTCCGAGGGGTGACGGCGCAGGTGGTGCTGCAGCAGGGGGACCGGGAGAGCCCGCCGGCGACGGTCCGACCAGAAGCTGCACCGGTAGCTGCAATGGTTGATTCCGGCTGCACGTGGTCTATGATTCACCAGAGCCTGGTTCGGCCGGGGGCATTGGTGGAGGCAGACCGGGTGAGAATACGGTGTGTGCATGGGGATGTTCACTAGTATCCTGTGGTATCAGTGGAAATTAGATATGCTGGGAAAAAGCATAGAGTGAAGGTCGCGGTTAGCTCCCCCCATGATGCACCCCATCATATTGGGTACAGATTGGCCCGGGGTTCAATAAGGTAATGGGGGGGGGGGCTGCGGGAGTGTGTTAACTACCGACAGGGTAATGCGAGATGTGTGCTGTGCTCAGCGGTGACGCGGGGTCGTCCGACACTGCAGACGGGGAGGCGGAACACGCGGAGCCTCCCGTAGAGACTCCGCCAGCTCCTGAGTTTCGCTCCATGGAAGATTTTACACTCGAACAGTCGTGATGATACCCTACGCTCAGCCTACGACCAAGTGATACGTATTGATGGTCACCTGGTGTGCCCTGACGCAGAGCAGTCATTTCCGCACTTTTCATTGATTAGGGACAGACTGTAGAGAGTGAGTCTTGACACTCGGACGGGGCAGGAAATAACTCAGTTGCTGTTGCCGAAAAGCCGCCGGGAAATGATCTTCCAGGCGGCTCACTATAACCCGATGGCTGGTCATATGGGATACAAAAAAATGCTAAACCGGATAATGACCCGATTATATTGGCCAGGCATCCGGGGGGACGTGCGCCGCTGGTGCACGTCCTGCCCGGTGTGTCTGTTAGTGAACGCTCCGGCCATTCCGAGGGCGCTGTTGCGTCCTCTGCCGTTGGTGGAGGTTCCGTTCGAGCGGATCGGCATGGACCTCATCGGGCCGTTTCACCGGAGCGCACGCGGATATCCCTTTGTGTTAGTCCTCATGGATTCCGCAACGCGTTATCCGGAGGCAGTGCCGTTGCGCAATATCTCTGCAAAGAGCGTCGCGCAGGCTCTGTTTCAGGTCATCTCACGAGTTGGAATCCCTAAAGAGATTCTGACTGACCAGGGCACCTTGTTCATGTCGCATGTCACTGAGAGAACTACGGGTTACTGGGCATTAAGTCCATTCGTACTAGCGTGTATCACCCACAGACGAATGGGCTGGTGGAGTGTATGAATAAGACTCTGAAGTCCATGATCCATAAATTTATTAGCGAAGATGAACGTAATTGGGACCACTGGCTTGACCCTCTGTTGTTTGCAGTGCGGGGGGTCCCCCAGGCCTCCACGGGATTTTCTCCCTTTAAACTTTTGTTTGGCAGGACGCCGCGAGGGGTGCTGGACCTGATTAAAGAAAGCTGGGAGGAAGGTCCAAGCCCCTGCAAGAATGAGATCCAGTACGTCCTGGACCTGCGAGCAAAACTCCACACACTGGGCCGGATGTCACGAGAGAATTTGCTGCAGGCCCAGGAGCGACAACAACGGCTGTCCGAAAGAGGGGCCAGGCTGTGACGATTCACACCGGGAGAAAAGGTACTTGTATTACTTCCTTCTTCCAACTCTAAACTCCTAGCCAAGTGGCAAGGGCCCTTTGAGGTCACACGGCAGGTGGGGGATGTCGACTACAAGGTGGTGCGGTCTGACAGGGGCGGGGGTACACAGATATACCTCCTGAACCTCCTGAAAGCCTGGCGGGGGGGGGGAGTCCGTCTCTCTGGTCTCTACGTTATCGGAAAGGGAGGAGCTGGGGCCGGAGGTTCCAAATGCAGGTAATCATACCTCGCTCCCTCGAGAGGCTCATCTCTCTGAGAGCCAGAAGGCGGACGTTGCCAGGTTGCAGGAGCGGTTTGCTACTGGCAGATTCCTCTGTCGCCAGAGTCCAAGGAGAAAACGGCATTCTCCACCCCGTACGGTTTGTACCAATTTACCACACTTCCCTTCGGGTTGTTTGGGGCTCCAGCCACGTTTCAGCGCCTCATGGATCAGGTGCTGCATCCAGACGCTGCATATGCCGCCGCCTACCTGGACGATGTAATTGTCCACAGCACCACCTGGGAGGAGCATGTGCGGCAAGTGGGCGCAGTGCTGGAGGCGCTGGAACGGGCGGGGCTCACCGCCAACCCGGAGAAGTGTGCAGTTGGACGGGTGGAGGTACGGTATCTGGGGTACCACTTGGGGGGCGGGCCGGTGCGCCCTCAGGTGGACAAGACGGCAGCCATCGCGGCCTGCCCGCGGCCCAAGACAAAAAAAGAGGTGAGGCAGTTCTTGGGGATTGCAGTTCTTCTCTCTCCCCTCTATCCTGCAGAATGACACGTCGAACAGAGGGCTGGGTTTTCTTTTGGTCCCAGGAGGTGGGGGGCGTGGGGGGTGGCTGTCCGAGAGGGAGGCCAGGTACAGCACGGTGGAAAAGGAGTGCCTGGCCATCCGGTGGGCGGTCGGCTCCCTGCGCTACTACCTCCTGGGACGCTCTTTCACCCTCTGTTCGCACCACGCCCCGCTCCAATGGCTCCACAGCTTTAAAGATGCCAACGCCCGGATCACTCGGTGGTATCTCGCTCTACAGCCTTTTAATTTCAAGGTGGTCCATAGGCCGGGGGTGCAGATGGCTGTGTCGGGCGGTGGGGGTATGTGGTGGCGGGCGTGGTTTGGCTCGTCTGCAGAGGGGACGGAGAAGGGAGTGGTTCGGGGAACGGTGCCAGGAGGAGGCATAATTGGCCTCAGGTGAAATTAATCATGTTTGTGTGTGTTCTGCCTCAAGTAGGAGAGATCCGGCGACAGCGAAACTGAGCGAGGCGAGGAGGCGGCCGTGTGTTATTTGTAAATAAAGTGTGTACAATGGAACAGACCGCTGCATTCTCGTCATTCCGAGACCCCCACGTAGGACGAACCTGTCACAGGGTCCAACCTTTTACCAGCAAGGGGTAAAGGATATTTATATATATACTACTCTTACCGTGTAGATATGTGTTTTTATAAGTATATTTATATATATTTATAAGTTTTAAGTAATTATTGGTTTTCCCTCAGTCTTCTTTTACTGTAGTCCTTCAGTTTTCCTAAAATCACATGGTTTACAGGAACTCAAGTGCTTGTTTTTTTTAGTTTAACTCCTGAATCCCTGTCAAACCTTCACAAACAGGCTGAAATATAAGTAAGCCGCATTTATAAATGAGTGCTTGACAAAGCATTCAAACAATTCTTGTATATACATGTGAATGCAATGGAAAAGGGAGTTTGACACACGAATAACATATTAGCTGAATGTTATTAGTTACACACTGCGTCACTTGTGTGCATTTTGTGCTCTGTTGCAGTCTGGTAGGTCCGCCAACAGCTTTTATTTATCTTTTATTTTTATTATTGCTTATTTGTGATTGTAAGTTCTTCGTTTTTTTACAATGTCTCTGCTTGCACGTCACCTGTGCTGCTGCGATATTTCCCCGCTGCGAGACAAATGGATTATCTTATTTTTCTGATAGTAGGACAGATCAATTTCTTATAAATCACGTGACTGAGAGGAAATCACATGTAATGGGTTTTCCCCATTGTGACAAAGAGTGTCAGGGGTCAGGACTTCGACTCAGGTGCAGAGCAATAAGGCACAGAAGGTTCTTTGCAGGTTTGAAATCTTTTACTAGAAAAATAAACTAATGCAAGACAAAAAGGGTGCACAGGCAAAGGCGGAATCCACACGCTCTTTGAAGAAACAAAAAAGGAAGAGAGCCTGGCAACGAAGTAAAAACAAGTTTACCAAAAACGGCACTGGGGACTTCTAACTACAAACATACACCTCTAGGAAACACAAAAGATAACCTGACACAGACAAGTAGGGAACTGAGGCTTAAATACAGGTGGAGGTGATTGCAAACTAAACTCAGCTGTGGGGGGGAAACTAGATACAGGAAGTGCCGTGGTTACAAAAATAAAAACAGGAAGTTAATCTTCACAGTCTCTTCGAGTCGTCACAAAGAGGATATCGAGCTCTCTTACTTTCACTTACAGATTTGTTGTTGCCGGTTAAACTTTCTTTGTTTCACCTTCCTTTTGTCGTTACTCATTTGTGGATGCAGTTTCTCATTAAACCTTTCCCCACACATTATTTTATACGTTTAATCGAGTAGTGATGATGTCGTCTCTCCTTTAACTGCCACATACAATTGTCTTTCTCTGGCATATGGCGACAGAAAATAAAACCTTCTAAAACCTCAAAGTGTATGCAGATGCAGTCTTCAACATCTGATTTCAAACTCAAGGGTATTTGTGGTGGTAAAACGGTCCATTATCTTTTAGATTGGATATCCCTTCGAGTGTCACAGGTTTATTCTTCACAATGTGGCTTCTGATTGAAATGTAGCATCTAACAGTTTCAGTGACTATAGTGCGGTTTCCTCTTCTGCCTGTTTGCAGGTCTGCAGTCTGGGTTTGTAACTCTGCCTCGCCTCTCTCGCCTCGACAGACAGTTTCAAGATGGAGACCTCAACAATGGCTCTTTAGCAGAAAGCGGAGGCCTCAAAATGACACGCTCAGACTCCCTCTCCTCGTCCACCGTGGACCTCGGCCGTCCCTTATGACTGAGGTACTGAGCTTGATTGACAACCAGAGCTGCTTTCAGAAGTTCAACTCCAGACACACAGCATGTGAGGAAGAGGCTGCAGAGGAAGAGGAAGAAGACAATGACTTCTTGGGGTTTTTAGCTTCAGCTGTCATGGTATTCTCAGCCTGTAGTAAGTGGACAGAATCCCATAAAAGGTATATATTGTGGAGCTCTAGTGGGAACATGTGAAAAATTCAGTGACGATCGCTGGTCCAATAACTTACTTGAAGTGTAGTTGTTGTTATCTTGTGGCACGCTTTTACAAACTACAATCCGGCTGAGACATTAACACAATAATATGTACCCATGGTGGAGAGTGTAACAGAGTGAGGTGCTGAGGAACGAGGGCAACATTTGTGAAATGGAACCCAATGCACAGAGGGGCCAGTGCAAAACATTTGTAGAGAAATAATCACTGATCCATCATCTGACATTTAGACGCAGCAGGAGCACTCTTAATGACGACAAAACTGAATCAAAGTAGAGGCCCTCAAGGAAATTTTGGGGAGACTTAAAGACTTTTGGAATCTTCTTCTTTAAAGGAATACAGACATCATTCATAGCAGTAACAGGATCAGGTTGTGTGGTTTCACATACAAGGACTTGCCTTGTTATTGTAGTTATACTAAATCAACATAACAAATGCTGCACAGAGGTCAATGAGCATCAAAACAATTACAAAACGCCATCCAGGCTGCTGAAATGCACCCACTCAGACCAGCGCCATAGACATCTGTAAGACTATAAGTCTAAGTAGTCATATAACTGTGCCCATTCTTAGTAAAGGTTAAATTCACATTTACATCACAAGGTTAGGAACTGTAAAATGCTATCAGTACATATGGAAAACTTAACAATTAGCTTAAAGACATCTCAACGAATGTGTTATTGTTGATAAAAGGTAGTTTAAGGAAGATCTATGAAATGATAAGTAAACTGATGTAAGATGAGTTACACATTATATATAACAGCTGAGGAGACACAATGCTAATTATGATCAACTGGCCCCCTCAGTGCTGCTTCCCTCTAAGTCATATGGGTTATGAGGAAAGGAGCTCTGATACTTCCACTTTTACACTTTTTCACTTTTGTTGTTTCTGAAAAAATAACATGCATGAAGAAGATAATGATACACAGCTGTGCTCATAAACAGTTAAAGGTTTGTTGTCTCACTGTTCAGTGTAACAGTTTCTGCTTCACTAAAACATCCTGAGCTCGATATAAACATTTACACCATTTTCCTTGAAGTCACATGGTTTTATTTTTTATTACAGGTTGGGCCAGTTGGACTTTATCTTTGGTATTTCACATCACTGATTAACCATCAAACTGCCTGCAGAGCTCTCAGATTGTTATAACGAACACGTCACATCACTTTTCTTTAAAAGCAGGGGGAGGGGTTTGTAAACACTATCTCTCTACTTATTCAGAAAATTTCAGCCTCCGGATCTCTTACTGAATAAATAGGACATCAAATCCACACCTTACCTACTTAAAGGTAAGACGACACGAACAACAGTTTATACAAGTGTATTGTGTTTTTGTGTACACTTCTAAAGAGCTCATGGGTTTTATAAAAGACGTTGGGCCTCATTCACCAACAGTTAAATATTGTTTTAGTATTGTTTTTATTATTTTTAAAGTGTATTTTGGGCTTTTAAAAATAGAAAAAATACCACGGCAATACTTACTCACTAACTGATGAGTTAGAGCAAATAATGCATTTTTTTGTTGATTTATGTTGTAGCTCCTGACGCTACTAAATATAATATATACATTATAACTTAGTTTTATGTTTTTACTGCTTTATTTCGAAAAAGAGAGAGACTGACAGAGAATTTTCTATGCAGCACGTATAATAATATGAACACACATTGCTCCTGCATTTGGTGTGATTATATTATGACTATATTAAGTTATTGTAATATTTTGTCAAAGTTGGTTGTAATTACAGAGTTGTTGATGTACTGGAAAATTGACTCAAGTTAACAAAGAACGTTTGCAGCTGTTACTATTAAAAAGGATTTACAATCTAAACATTTGATTTATCTCACATGAATCCCCTTTTGCTTTCTTTACATTAACTTCCCATCAAGTTTTGAATCCAGTTCATGATGCGATCAGTACACCTTGTACATTTAACAATTAGCTTAAATACATCTAAACCTGTGTTATCGTTGATGAAAGGTAGTTTAAGGAAGATCTATGAAATGATAAGTAAACTGATGTAAGGTGACACGTTATATATAAGAGGTGAGAAGAAACAAGGCTTAGATCGACTGGCCCACCCATCGCTGTTTCCTTCTAAGTCACGTGAGTTAGAGGAAATGAACTCTCGTACTTACACTTTCACTTTTGTTGTTTCCAAAAAAAAACAGTTAAAGGTTTTGTTGTCTCATTGTTCAGTGTAACAGTAGTTTCCTTGAATTTACGTGGTTTTATTGTTTATCACAGGCCAGTTGGTGTTTATCTTTGGTATTTCACTTCACTGATTAACTATCAAACTGCGTGCAGAGCTCTCAGATTCACGTTGTTTTAGAGCAGACGGGAGGGGCTTGTGAGGGAAAGATAGAGCTCAGCCTCCCGATCTCTTTCTGAATAAACAGGACCTGCACACTGACATCACATCCACACCTCCTCAGACCGCGCAAAGGTAAGACGACACGAACAATAGTTTATACAAGTGTATTGTGTTTTTGTGTACACTTCTAAAGAGCTCATGGGTTTTATAAAAGACGTTGGGCCTCATTCACCAACAGTTAAATATTGTTTTACTATTATTTTTATTATTTTTGATGTATTTTGGCTTTTAAAAATAGAAAAAATTCCACGCCAACACTTATCAAAACTGATGAGTTACAGCATAAACGCATTTTTGTGTAGTTAATTTATGTTTAATTTTAGTAGCTCCTGACCCTACCTAATATAACATATACATTATGACTCAGATTTATGTTTTTACTGCTTTATTTCTAAAAAGAGAAGTGAGAGAGACCGAGAATTTGCTATGCAGCACGTATAATAATATGAACACACATTGCTCCTGCATTTGGCATGATACTATAAAAGCATTGTAAGATTTTGTCAAAGTTGGTTGTACTTACTGAGTTGTTGTTGGAAAATTGATTCAAGTTAACAAAGAACGTTTGCAGCTGCTACTATAAAAAAATGATTTAGAATCTAAACATTTGATTTCTTTACATTAACTTCCCATCAAGTTCTGAATCCAGTTTATGATGCTTTTAGTCATGTTGAGAGCGTTACATGGCCAGGCGCCATTTATGTATCGTTGCATGTATTCATTGCTGACAGGGTTCGCTATTGATATTGTGACCCGTGAGTCTCATTGCATTTTTCCTCTAAGTCACATGCTTTGTTATGAAAAAGCTCTAGAGATAGAGATGTCCTGTCCAATACACATGAAACCACATGGCCAATACACATGAAACTTTATAATGTAGTACCGGGTTCTGTTGCAGGTGTTCAGGGTTGGCAGTTGTCTGTGTTGAGTTAATTTAGTTTTATCAATATTATGTTGTCAGTTTTCACAGAAATCCTGTGTCAGACGTATCCTACTTTCAGTTTTTGTCATCAAAGGTTTAAAAGAACTCTTCAGCTAAACACATCAGGCCTAATATGTGAAGAGGTATTTGTAAAGGACAGAGCTACTAATCATGTTGAGATATTTGTGTCAATTAAAAACATTTTTCACAAGGCAGCACATCTACAAGGACCAAATTCAGAATCAAAATTCAGACCTCTGGACCTTTCTCATTAGTGAGGTTTTCTCCGCCACCACGTCAACTTTGCCCCTTTTATAACTTAGAGTTTGGCCCAATGCCCCCATAAGGCCTTAAGCCCTGAATCCTCAGGGACTCACTGTCACCTGGTTGATTCTGAGACTGCAAGGGCTTGAAGCCAAATCCTGGCCAAAGGTTTTGATAATTTGAAAAAAAATGTGACCTGAAAGTTTAAGTTTTGGTTTTGAACATTTCAGATCGTTTTTTTTCACATTCAGACTTTTGGCCCAGATGTGGTGTAGGGGGCGGGGCATCAACTGAGATGGGCGTGTAATCATGAATTACAGCTTAACAAATAACGGAAATAATCAGACAAATGTCCAACATCTCTGAGAGCTTCAACAGTGACCAAAGAGGGTTTCTTTAAATCTGAGTCTATATAAATAAAATAAAACATATATTATGTCTATTTGGTGTTGAACGATCAATCTTGGAATGTTTGAGTGACCCAAGACAAATTGTTTTTTGCTTGATTCTGCGATCTGCTTTCTGTTGCTTTGCCCTGCTGTAGGCGAGCTGGAGGAGAATGCAGCAAAATAAAAGGTAAATGTGAGATTTTTTGTTTCACACGCGGTGTGTATTTATTAATGATACCTCTCTTAAGTCAAGTTATTGGTAAGGATTGGAGTTGGGTGCTTTTGTAGTTTATATTTATACACTCTATAAACCCCCTCTCCCCCCATTATTTGTGTTCTCAGTGTGATCCAGTGAAAACACCGGCTGATATTGAAATGAACTCTGACATCAAGTCTGGACAATCTGTTGCTAATGAGAAAGGTACTACCTAATGATAAGTACAATACCTGGAAAAAGTAGTTGCTCACAGTGAACATTACCAATATAAAGAAATACACATTAGTTCAACAGCACATTTCTTGTATTATTCTTGATTGCTTTATAATACAGTCTGTTACTCTACACCAGGTACCTTTTGATATGGATACGAACGGAGACATGGAAATGGTAAGAAACTGAAAATGAATCTTTATGACGTTACTACACAATGTGGTTATATTTTTTTACATACAATTTCGACTTATTCCAGAAGTCAGAAGACGGGATCAACAGGAAGAAACAATATCAAACACTGCTTAGCAGACTTCGCCTTGAAGAAAAAATGGTTAATTCCCTGAAATTAGGTATAAAACAGGATGTTGATGTATCTGAGAAAGATGTGGCTTATACTTTTCTCCAGAGGTTGATGATGTTAGACTACAGAGCCAGATATATTCCTACAAAAAAAGAAAATACAGAGTTAAGCCATTCCGACCCTTTGGAAAATATATTCACTGATGATACTGAGGATGATGACTTGGATGACTGTTTCAGCACCAATGATGACTTTGATCAATCTAATCTCCAGACTCACGTGCATCCAATGGATGTTCAGATGGCAGTGTTTCACTGCTCAGACAGCTTTTTTAAGCAGAACATGATAACAAAGCTCTCCCAGTGTCAGTATGCCTTACCTTTGCTTGTTCCTGACCCAGTAACAATGGATATTGAATGTCCTCTGTGGACATTCAGACAAATAAGAAAGACATGGAAGATATCAGAGATGAAAGATGACTCAAACGTGGTCACCATGAAGAGTATGCCCATCTGCAAAGCTGAGACACCCATGGTCTCATTCCTCCGCTTGGGTTCACCATCTCTGTCTAAATCTCAGCTGATGAACACTTTGATCAACGATCGTCACAACACCTTCTTCCACAGAAACTGCCCAGGTAGCACCGAGTCTCGCCACCTGATGGATGGTGTTGCAGAGATTGCCTGGTACTGCCCCGCTGGGAAACCCAACGATGCCTTCACTGACTGCATCGCCTTCTGTAATCTTCATGGTGACGCTCTGTCGTTTGAAAAACAGCGTGAAATACTGACTGACAAATCTTCAGTCAATGTGGTACTTGTACCAACTCTGGAAAAAAATGATAAAAGCAGTGCAGTGATCTCGGCCCTTTACAAGTGTGAAAAACCTCTCATTTGTCTCATTGCTGATAGCGATGGTGTTGGTGTTGAAAGGAAAAAGGGAAAATACAAAATGGGTTTGAACAAAAGAAGCCAGTCAGAAATTTCTGAAGAACTGAGAGAAATCATTAAGAAGATTATGTCTCGATCTCATTCACTCTTCCAGCTTGAGTCCATGAATAAAGTTTGTGGAATCAAAGTGGATGAAGACGACACAGTCTGCCAAAAAGGGAAATCTGCAGCAATGAAAATTGTGCAATTGCTTCAGGGGATCGACGTTTCAAATATCAAAGATAGATATCTTCCTTGTCAAGGTCAACTGTGGAAGGAATGGAGCAAAATCCACAAAGAATTGTATCGCCTCAAAGAAAACATTGAGGATGACAAAGTTCAAAAGGAACAGAAACTGATTGAAAAACGACAAGAACAGGTCAATGTTTCCTCCAGTGAACCAATGAAAATGTTCATTGAAAGCCTCTCAACTTTGTTAGGAAATGAAAAGGATTATTTCTTGAAATGGACTCAGATCTTAATAGATGCCCTCTCCACAGACAACCTCTCTTCAATCCTCCAAACCTATGATACAAAGTGGGCTGAGGTCTTGGCCTTGAAGAAGAGGCATGACAAGACTGAACTTCTGAAAACAAAGCAAACTGAGCTTGATAAAATATCAACAAAACTACAGTCAGCAACGTTTGGCTTGGAGCACATCTTCAGAGAAATGGGACAGATCTATGAAGCCCATGAATCTCTGCAGAAACCCACAAAGAGTGGACCGACTGACTGGTCTAAATACCCTGAGCTGGCTGCAGAGCTGATGATATCAGGACACCCAATGGAGCTGATGGATGGTGATGCAGGTCATGTACCTCTAACATGGATCTCTGGTCTTTTAGAGGAAGTCATCAAGAAACTGGGCGACAAGAGAGTCTTTGTTCTGTCAGTGTTAGGCATACAAAGCAGTGGAAAATCAACAATGCTGAATGCCATGTTTGGGTTACAGTTTGCAGTGAGTGCTGGCAGATGCACCAAGGGTGCCTTCATGCAGCTGGTCGAAGTGTCCGAGGAGACGAAGAAAGATTTTAAGTTTGACTACGTACTAGTGGTGGACACTGAAGGACTGCGTGCTCTTGAGTTGGAAGGTAATGCCACTCTTCATCACGACAATGAACTGGCAACATTTGTTGTTGGTCTGGGTAACATGACACTGATCAACATCTTTGGAGAGAATCCAGCTGAGATGCAAGATGTTCTGCAGATTGTTGTTCAGGTTTTCATGAGGATGAAGAAGATTAAACTTTCTCCAAGTTGTTTGTTTGTTCATCAGAATGTTACAGATATTGCTGCTGCAGAAAAAAACATGGATGGAAAGAGACGGCTGCAAGAAAAACTGGACAATATGGCCAAACTAGCAGCTCAAAGAAGAGGGCTGTGATGCAGAGTTCTTCAGTGACGTCATTGCATTTGATGTGCAGAAAGATGTGAAATACTTTGCCCAGCTTTGGGAGGGAAGTCCACCTATGGCTCCTCCGAATCCAGGTTATAGTGAAAGTGTCCAAGAGCTGAAGACCATCATCCTCTCCAAAGCTAAAGAGTGTGCTGGGATCACTCTCTCACAGTTCAGAAGCAAAATTCAGGACCTGTGGAAAGCCCTGATGAATGAACAGTTTGTTTTCAGCTTCAAAAACACACTTGAAATAGCAGTGTACAGAAAGCTTGAGGTTGAGTATGGAAACTGGACCTGGAAACTGAGGAGCAACATGCTAGACATTGAGAACGAGCTTCATACCGAAATTCAAAATAGAAAACGTGAAACGGTTGAACTCACTTACCTTCAGCAAAAAGTGAACACAACCTATGAAGAAATCAAAAAAGAAATGAGAAAATACTTTGATGATGACAGGGACAAAGACATGTTGGTTCAGTGGCGAGGTCGATTTGAAGACAAAATCAAAGAGTTTCGTGATGAACTAGTGAAAGGAGTGAAAAGAAAACTGGATGAAGTCATCCAGCAGAAAAAGGCTTGTAAAAAGCTTGAGTGACTTAGTTACACAACTAACTGCAGATACAAAACCTATTGAGGACATCAACTATGATGAAGATCAGTTTACTGTCCTTCAGAACCTGGGTTTTGAATGGTCTCTTTTTAATGAATGCAAAATGAGTGGCAAGTACAAAACAATGTCACTTGCTGGTGATTTAAGTCATTATGTCTCCTTCACTACAAAAATAAAAACTTTCTTCATGGGGCCTTTTCAGCCACTGATCAAAACCCTGATTGATGATGTTGAAGAACAGACCATAAACAAAATCAAGCAAAGACCCGTTGCTTCAACAGGCTACAGTTTAACTTACCTGCAAGAAGCTGCCAACACTGTCAAACAAAAAGTGACTGACTTTGAATCAAAGAAGAAATATGCTCTAAAGAAGGAGTTTACAGTTGATCTCTCGCTGTATGTATTTCACAGAGCACGGACATGGATTTCAGAATCGCACAAGGAATTCAAAATGAACAATGATGCACATTCTTATGTAGACAGTAAGAAAATGCAATATTACCGATGTTTTCCGCAACTTCTGCAAAGGAAGCTCATCTGCTGTTGTGCTTGGAGAACTGATCTGTGACAAGCTGAAGAGTGCCGTTGTCGAGGCCGTCTCCAACAAGGTTGCCAAAGATCTAACTGATACCATGAAGAGCAGTTACCCAGCATTCAATGGGAACAGGTCAGACTTGGAGAAACACATGTTGAAGTCACTTGCAAAGAAAGGGGACTTCAATAGTTTTATTACTTACATCCAACAACCAAGGAACCACACAGAGACGTATATAAGAGAAGAAGTACAGAAATACATCTCCACAAAAGAGGGAAAAGAGACGGGCATGAAAATACTCAGGAAACATTTGGACGACATCAAAAATCTTGTGAGTCTAGATTTATATAATGCAACAGAGAAAGTCAAAACCAGCAGAGGTGACACAGACATGTGGATGGAGGAATTTTCCAGTTTGCTTCAAGCTAAGCTAACATTCAACACCATCTGCTGTAAAAACTTCAGTGACTTGAAAAGTTTTGACTTTCTCAAAGAAGAGATAGACAATGGTCTTGAATCCATCGTAAAGGAGCTGAGAAGCCTCTCACTGGATGAAATGCAGGAATCCAGGATGAAGCCTGATCAAATCCTCATTGATCAGCTTTGTAACTGCTGCTGGGTAAAGTGTCCATTCTGTGCAGCTGTTTGTACCAACACACTCAAAGATCACAGTCCTGACAAACATAAAGTCACTTTCCATCGCCCCTCTGGGATTACAGGATTTCACCGTAGAGGCACAAAGGACCTGGTCATTAATTTCTGCACTACATCTGTTGCTAGTGATAACAGTTTCTTTCCCAGTTCTGATTCAGAAGTCAGCTTTCCTTATAAAGAGTATCACAAGGGTGGGAAGAAATTCGCTTCATGGGAAATTACTCCTGATGAGTCAAAACTGGCATACTGGAAATGGTTTGTCTGCAAATTTCAAGAGGAACTGGAGGCCCACTACAACAAGAAGTTCCAGGGCAGAGGAAAAATTCCCATTGAGTGGAACAAGCACACAGAACAAGAAGCTGTTGACAGTTTGGATAGATTGTAAAACTTCTTAGTGAGTTACTCGAACCGGGGAACAACTCGAGTAACAGATACAGCCGAATCTATTCAAAAGCAATACACATTATCAAATTGCAATAACAAAAATCAGGATGAAGTTGTTCCAAAATGAATGAAACGGAACCTGTTCATTAGCGTCATCATAAAAAATGTGATTTCCTTTTTACATTAGTACTAAATTTTCCTGAAACGAAGAAAACATTCATAACAAAGTACATAATTACCATTTATGTTTGTTAGTAATAATAGGATAATTAAAATTTCTTTTAGGTGAATATTTAAAAGAAAGAAATGTTCAAAGTAGGAATGAAGGTGTTTCCAAGTTCTAACATATTAAGGGGATATTTTTACAATTGTACTTTTATGTGAAAATGTCAAAAAACAGACGTAACACTGTTTAGTCATATTCTTTTCTGAAGATAGCTGATCAATGTGTAAAACTATTAAGAGTTTAAGTCACTCTTCCATCAAGAGCCAGAGTTGACAAACTATGCTTCAAAATAGATTTTAATTGTATACAAATTATTGTTCACCATTTAGCTTTTTGGTGTCCAACTTGTCTGACTTTGTCTTTACACAAACCTTTCAATCTTCTTATTTTGTATTAGTTTGTGTGCTTGTTAAGAGATTGATGAAGTTCCTTTTCATTCTCAGATAAGTGTTTAAAACCTGTAATGGGAAAATGATATGTGACCCTTTTAAATGCTTCATTTGTATAACCAGTTTATTAGTTGCAAGTGCTTAGATCACAAAGGCCCTGACATACGAACTGATGTCTCCCACTTGGATTAGATGTTTCCAGCGTCATAGCTGTAGAGATTGAACAAAGTGTTTGTTATGTCTATGACCACCTTTGTTTAAGCATGTTGGGAGAGCAAGGATACGGTCAAAGAGCTGACGTGTCTTACATGGATAAGATGTTCCCAGTATCCTGACTGTAGATACTCAACAAGATGGTTAACGGTTTCTGTTGACGCCACCGATATCTAAGTTTAGGTATAAGAACTGCCTCGATGTGTTGGGAAGAAAAGGAGGTTCTTGACAGTCTACTGACCACGTAGCTGTTGTGACCCTTTTTCCCTTGCAAGGAAATAAACGGAGAAAAGACATACTTGACTCAGAGCCTTTGATTCTTACTTAACGATTGTCTGTGCAAAATCTTCCACCACAATTTGGTGTCAGAAGTGGGATCGTTTGAAGCTCCGTCGGGACTCCGAGGACGTCCGGGAAGGGACCCCTTCAGGATCCACCAAACGTGATTCTGCCCTATACCTCATCACACTCAGAGAGAGGGGACCGGCGACCAAAAGAGACCTGATTGGCTTCAACACGATCCGATGAGGAAGATTTTCACACGAATCGGGTAAGAAGTTGATATTCTGATTTTCAAACGGGGCTTCCTGAATTATAACGGGTGATAACAGATTACAAAGACGGGTATTTAGTACTTTGGGATTTTTTAAAAATTATTTTTTCTCTCTCTTCTTAGAAAATCCAAATTTCGGTTATTTGATTGGGCTTCTAATGATGATAACTTGTCTTTTTATCCGGTTATTTGAAAAATGTGTATAAAATTATAAGAGTAATTGTACAGTATTTCCGGTTCATCAGCATCCAACTTTTTACTGAGGAAGACAGGGAGCAATGTGCGCATTTACGATTGTATTCAGACTAACTATCTGAAAATCGCATAATTGTGACCCTTGACCAAAAAGGGGAAGACAGGGAGCAATTTGCGTATTACGATTGTATTCAGACTAACACTCTGAAAACGCATAATTGTGACCCTTGACCAAAGGGGAAGACAGGGGCAATTGACAATTGTGACCCTTGACCGAAGGGGAAGATAGGAGGGATTTTGAGAGTTCACTGAAATCGCAAAATCTCAGCCCTTGACCTAACAGGAAGACAGGAACAATATCGGGGTTTTCGGACAGAAGTCTGAGAACAGATATTTGCGCCCTTGACCTATATTTATTAACCAATAGTTCTGGTTGGGTTTTAACTTGTATTTTTCCTACGTAAAAGAAAATCAAGACTTATAGTGACGACTATATTTTAAGTAATAAAAAGTATACTTCACCACGCCTGAAAGATGGGTGGTGTACACGGTAAAGGTAAAAAGGAAATGGGTTCTCCGGAGGGACCCATTGTGGATCTGATGAGAAGGAAATATGGAGATCAATCTCTAGAGTTTTTGCCCGAGTGGTCAAAAGATTTTGGGTTCCCTGCAAATGGTTCTTTCAGTAGAATAAAACTGAACATGTTACGAACAGGCTTAGAGGGAAAAGAGAAGGGTATAAAATCTCAGAGGGTGATAAAAGGCAAAGACTTGGAGGACATTGAGAAACAAAGTAAATGGTTAAAATGGTGGGAGGATGAATGTGAATGTAGAGAAAGGAAACAAATGGCTAAAGAATTGACATGCGCAAAAACCACATTGGTTGAAAAACCAGATCCAAATGTTATTGAACAAAATGACCGATGTGCTTCTTCTCCCTTGTATCCGAGTCTCACAGGGGCTGGCGGCCCTCTCCTCAACACATGCCCACCACCGTACCCTGCTTCATCTGCGAACCAGCAACCTTCGTCTGCATGGTCACAAGCTCAAAAAAGTTCCACTTCACCCTGCCGAGGGAGGAAAAGGAAGCGGCAGTGAAAAGCAGCACAGGAACGACTCCTCGGCGAAGAAGGAGGAAAGAGACAGGCTGCTCTCCTCACTCGCTCTCGCTCTCCAGGAGCAACCGGAGGGGACACTTCTGCCATCAACAAACTGATTGCAGAGCAACCATCTACATCAGATGTTTTTTCCCTCTCTTTCGAGCCAGAGGGAGTTCCCCCGGATGCAAAATCTGTGCTCCAAACCCCAATGATTCAAGTACCAGGACACTCAGGTCCCATACTTGTTTTCCGGCCTTGGACTGATACGGACATTAGAGCTGCAATGGCTCATCTCCCGCCGATACAGCACTCGGGAAGACTGTTTGCTGAAGCATTCATGGACTTCTGTAAGCAATTCCTGCCCAACTTTGCTGAAATTCGACGTGTTCTAGAGTCACGTGGGTCCGACTCACTACCAAAAGCTCAACCAGCTGGTTGCAGGAAACACCAGTGCAGCCGATGTTGAATGGAGTTCAAATCAAAATAAGCCGTACAGAGACGCACTCACGGCTTTGAACGAAGGCATAAAGACATTGTTCCCTGACAAAGTGGATATGACTCCCATCAACAATACCAAGCAGGCAGCGGGTGAGTCCGTCCGTGATTACTACCAAAGACTTCTCACAGTGTTTAATCTTAACAGTGGCATTCCACAACCCGCCGCGTTAGGAGACGCTCTGGGGACGTGGGAATCACACCTGAAGAATGCTTTCATGAATGGACTATTGCCCGACATAAAAATGAATGTGCAGCGTTCTGTGGCTGGAATGGAAGACTCGCGACTCGCGGATGTAAAGAAACATGCTGCGCATGCGCAATCCATGGACATAGAGAGAACTGACCACGAGGGGAAAAGGCGCTCACGTCAGATTGAACTCGCCCAACTGACTATGCTCCATGCTGTCACTCAACTTGCCAGAAACGACCGCCCACGGGATCCCAACCAACGGGGCGGATTCAGGGGGCGTGGTCGGGATATGACGAGGGGACGCTCCTCCTGGAACCAGGAGGGATCACAGCTGTCTCCACCCAATGACTATGATACGTGTTTCCGCTGTGGCGAACAAGGACATTGGCACAGAGAATGTCCACAAAATGCACCTCGTAGAGGATGGGGGGCGTGGACTGGCCAGACGAGGAAGGGGTGGCAACGCACATTCCGATTGACGTTGAGGCGGAGGGGGAGGAGGCTGCATGTGAGGGGGAGACGGCAACCATGCTGAGGCCTCACATGATAAGGGAAGTAAAACACACACACACCGCAGCCTGCAATGAAGAAACGCTTTCTGCACTAACTCCCTGCACGCACACGCACACTCACACTCACACACCAGAGCAACAACAAGCTCTCGTGGACATCACAGAGCAATTGAGAAAACAACAAAAGCTTTCACTTAAACACACATACGCAAAGTTTTCAGGAAAATCATTTGAAAATATGCCCACCACTATGGTGCAAATTCAAGGGAAACTTTTATCGTTTTTGGTTGATTCGGGGGCTACACATTCTGTAATACAACAAAAGTATTTTCCAGGTCAGAAACTTAGTGGAAAACAGGTTTTCTCACAAGGAGCTTCAGGGATGACTATTGTAGAGAGATTTACGGCACCTATGACCAGTACACACACTGACTCAACTGACCCTGAACCAGACATCACAGTAAAACATTCCTTTTTGCTGTCCTCTTGCTGTCCCATTAATCTAATGGGCAGAGACCTCATGTGTTCTTTCGGCATTAGCCTCATCTCCACTCCTACAGGGTTGCAAGTGGTGAGATGCAGAGCCATTGACCAGATGGCAAAGACAGTTATAAGTGATCCAATGTTTGTGTACCAGTGGTGGCTTCCGGTTGACTCACAATCAGAACTGTCCCACCTGGCAGCATCACGCGTCCAGCCTGAGGCAGAGTGCATGGATGCTTCATATCTCCACTGCACAGCTCATGTGTCACATGGGCCAGATAAGCAATATGATGCATTATTTCTACAGGATCTGAATGATCAAATTGCATGTATGACATTGTTTTGGTCCACACTTAAATGTGATGTTTCCGTTTCTCTCACCCCCTCTCAGCAGCACCTCTTTAATGTGGACTCTTCTTTCCCACACATCTCCTTGTCTAAAGCAGCAACAGACCAATGGAGAGATTTGGGACCCTTTGTCGCAGCGTGCGAGGCATTGGCAGATTGGGAGGCTACACCAGATCCACTTGTGATGCGCTCTCCGTCGACAGGCTTCTTTAAACAGCCATTCGCATTTTGCACACCTGCTCTCAGATCTGTTTATGTCATGGATGAAAATAACATATTTTCTGACACACACACTGATACATTTT